GGCCAGCGGGAAATCCTCGCCACCAATGCGCTTCAGAATGGGGACCTCGTTGGTCTCGAAATGGTCATGGAACTCCTTTGGGGTGGCGGTGGATTTCGCTGGATGAGCGCGATGATGGAATAGGACCTTATTTTGATGTCTTTTCGGTGAGAAGAAATGTAGGCTTCTTCTCTTTCCTTGGTTTATTACCTACATTTGGTTCAGAAACAAGTACGTGAGTGCAGAGTAATATTTGGAATGTCTGGAATTTCAAGTGTACCTACCGCAATACGATAATTGTTATGGGGTTCGATCCCAGTCTTTCTATACCCAAAGGCTTGATGGGCTTGAATTTGAAAAAGGATCTATAAAATACTTATGACTATGCGTATTTAATATTCAAGCCCACAGAAACGCAATTGCAGGATGTATGTGCTAGATAGTACATGCAGCGTAGAGAAGCAGAGAATCTCGGAGTCGTTGGAATGTATTCTCAACATGCGAAAAAGTCCGAGTCGAGGCTCTATTCCAAGATGGGTCTATCGGTACTCCGTATTTTTAGCGAAGATCAACCGGTAAGAAACTCCGGCCAAAGTACTCCGTACTCCGTACAGGCACTGCCTCATTATTTTCATTTTCATTGTCATTCATTTGTATTGTTATTGTTAATTTTTTTTCTTTGTTTGTTGGACTCGGTTCTATCTTCCCGATAAGAAATAGCCCCTCCCGATAATGCCGGGAATTCCCTCTAGCCCCGGGCGATTGAAGGATTCCAATGGAGACTAAATCAGGGATTAATGAAGGGCCAATACGGAGTCAACTAAGTTAAGTTGTGGATTGAGGGGCCGGAGATATCGCAGATAGTCGCAAATAGCGGACTTTGTGGGACACCCTTAGCCCCGGTGTCGACACGGGCAAGTCCATATAACATCGCTCCCCTCAAAGGTGGCTTGCGTTAAGCCTTTTGAAATCCTCCAATCCCGTCCATCCCCCAAGAGCCTGACCATCCTGGATTAATCCATCATGCCTTCAATCAAAGGTTCCAATATCCTGATCATCGGCGGCTCGTCTGGAATTGGAGCAGCAGTAGCCAATCTGGCCGCCGCCGAAGAGAATGTTCAAGTCTCAATTGCCTCATCGAATCCTACGCGTGTGGAAACGACAGTCCAAAAGATCCAAGCCGCTATCCCAAATGCACAAATCAAAGGCTACATAGTTGATATTGGCGGGGATGATGCTGAGTCTCAACTACAAAAACTATTTACAGAAGTGACGGCGGCAACGGGTCCTTTGAACCATGTCGTCTACACCGCTGTAAAACTCGAACTCAAATTCCTTCAAGACGTGACCATTGATTTCCTTCGGGTCGATGCTCAATTCCTTGTCTCTGTGCCACTTCTGATCGCCAAGATTGCTCCTCCTTTTATAGCCAGTAGCTATCGATCATCCATCACATTCACCAGTGGTCGTATCGCGGAAAAACCTATGAAAGGAGCAGCGGTATTAGCGGGTTGGGGTGCCGCTTTATTTGGTATTGTGCGTACTCTTGCGCTCGATTTAGCCCCCATTCGGGTCAATCTCGTCAGTCCCGGTACAACGGATACGGAAATTCAAGGTGCCGACGAACAGCGTCAAAAGAAGATGGCGACCGCTGCGGAACGGGCATTGTTGGGGAAAGTGGGGACACCCGAGGAGGTGGCTGAGGCTTATATCTATCTAATGAAGGATTCGAACAATACAGGCAGCTGTGTGAGCACCAGCGGCGGAGATTTGGTTCAGTAAAGCAGGGATGTCCAGGTGCTTTTTGAATTTCTTTTACTTTCAAATCTATGGTCCCCTTTTAGCCCGTAGCTTTACACATGTATAGATTCATAATCATGTAAATAATTAACATAAACATGAGCAGTACTATATATGCTTTGATATGAAAGGTGTAGAGGTGGAACTGCAGGCATGTAGTCAAGCACTGGGGGCAGACTTCCAAAGTTGCAGCCCCATCACATCTATAGATCCATGGATAGTTTATGTTTGTGATGGATGTCCCATCTGGGTACTCAGCATCTTCTTTCAGGGATTGATGTCTACATCTGATCAAGTGTTTTGTGATGGCCACTCACATGATACCCCAAGTTCGATGCATCTTTACTTAAGTAGTGATAGTTTTACCAATTTTTTCATGAATCAAACCTGAACTTTGAGTGTATATATGGGCACCGAAAGGAAGGCGGATGTCTTTTTCTTTTCCTTTGACCCAGGTGCCTGTTAGGCAATAAGAGGGTGTCTAGTCATCGGTACATTGCACTCCTACTCTACACCTTGACACACAGGAGAAGACCAACTCAGAAAATATATTGTATCAACATTCTTATATGTCTGGGAGTGGTGTAAGTACCACACTATTACTTAAGCGATCCTGACACACGACCAAGATAGAACTGTCTATGCAGCATTGTTCTAAAGTTTAGGCAATTAAAATGAAAGTGCACTATAATCTCTAGACCTAGAAGCCCCAGAGTTCTGTAGTTACACTACATCTATAACAATCAATATTCATACAGAACACCGTAGGATATCAGAAATTGATTGGGTCAGTAGACGGAAATATGAATGGCTGAGGTACCGTCCCGCTGTCAGAGTTTTCTCGAATCCATTTCGGATTTTCCAATGATCCAATCCCTGAAGTGGCCTGAAAAATGGACTACCCTCATGACAAGTTAGTTTATTAGACCCCGAGATATAAGAGGTATTGGTCCCCTTACCCACTCACTCCCCAACGAAACCCCAAACCAGTATTTTGCCAGATTCGCTTTGAAAAGAGATACAAAATAAGAGTGCAATAGATCCAGCCCTCTGCAACCATTGTGGTTCTCGGTCTCACTATTCTGGGATGCCATGGCCATCAATTTGATCCTCGCTTCGATGCCCCAAGTGACACGTTTGAGGTGGATGTAGCCATCATTGGTGGCGGTGCCACGGGCAGCTATGCGACCATTGCGCTCACGGATCTCAATCGCAACGTAATCGTGGTGGAGGCAACCGGTGTTCTCGGTGGTCAAACCAACATATATGTCGATCCTTCGTATAATGTCTCTATCGACTATGGCGTCGAGCGATATGGAAAGGATGCTGGAACTCTGGCATTCCTGGACCGACTGGGCGTGACAGACAGCGCCCACACATCTAGCGCCGCCAATACTTAAGTACCACCGTCTATACCGATTTCAACACCGGAAAGCCCCTGCAGCAAATTGTTACAGGTACAGATTTCTCTGGTTACCTGAAGCAGCTGCAAAAGAGTCCCTACTTAAGTAGGCTCGCCTTGATCACTACACCCTTCGTTGTCTTGTCTGCGAAGTCAGACCGCCATCGCGCTCTTCCCATCTCGATATATATACAGCACTACTCCCCTAAATATATGACATATGATGTAATACTTTTATGTAGCGATACTCTGAATTAACAATCAAAACCGCCCCGACGGGATCGTTCGTACTAATCCAGTTTTACTATACTGACAACAGTTAGGATGGCCCGGAGTCGACCTGATCGGCTCTGTCAGCATGCGGAAAAAAGTAAACAAAGTGGTTGGTGATGGTTCAGATCAGCGATAGGCGCTAATAACCTGATAGCAGAAGCAGATCCACAGGGAAGCGTATTGCTAAACAGTAGATGGATTCTGATAAGCGAAACAAGGACAGGGAAAAGAAGGAGAGAGGAAGAGAGAGAGAAATCTATCTAGTGTCAACACCGGTCATCTGGCCACCTGACCACCTGACTACCAGATCTCCAACAGTTTCGCGATAGTGAAGCTACCCAAGTCTGCTACCTAGGTAGAATGCTTGAATTTTATGGATCCAGGCGATAAGGCCATACTTGGAATCACCTATCTATTTTTACCTACTGGAGAATGATGGTACACTCGTGGTTAGAGCGGGGCTCTATGATGATAACTCTAGTATCGTACTTAATTTATCGCTAGATTTTGGAAAAAGACACCATTCCTGCTGTTAACCGGCGTGATAAAACATTGTCCTTTGCCGGATTCAAAGGAATTGATATTTATGTAGCCCGTATGTATCTACTGCTGCCGATGCTAAGTATTGCCGACGCTATTGCCGACTGAAGCGATGTGGCGCGGTGGAGCGTGCTGCGTGTCGGATCCACTGCCCAGGTGCGTTGGGTCGAAGATGACACGCTTAGGAGGAAAAAAGGTACTTACGAACCACATCTAGCGGATCTCCCTTCCCCTCTCTCTCTTTCTCTTTCCCTTCTCTGTTCTTCTTTCCCTCCATATAATTGGATCTCTGTAGCTCAGAACCCGATTCTTCTTTTCTCGACTTGCTAGCACCTATTACACCACAATGTCCGAGTTCGCAGCGCGACACATGTTCAAATCAAGGGGCACTTCACATCATCAGACATGGACTTTCAAATGATTTTTGCTGGTGATACTAGTGCCAATCAGGCGACGAGATCTCCACTCTCCACAGATCGACGCTAATGCTAGACTACTCTCAACTGGGCAAAGCACATTCTTTTCTGTGCTGTGGCAAGGAAAGCTAAGCTTGTTGTCCTCCCAATGGGCTGTTTATTAATTGGTACGAGGTACCACGTGCCTTAGTGGCATGGGAAGTGATCAAGACACAAAAGAAAATAATATCTTGAGTGTTGGGGTCAATCTAAAGTGGGCAGTGGGTCGAGATTTTTGACCTTTTGTCTACCTATAACTAGTATCCCCAGACTGGATTGTACTATCAGGTAGATATCCAAAGTTCACTCGAGAGGAATCACTTCTGCATCAAGGAACTTTCAATCTCCCAACTATTGTTGAGATCTTACCGACCTTGGTCATATTGTTGTTTGAGTTTTCACGTATGCATGATGCATCTTAACTATCGATTTAGCAGTGGGGCTGTATCTCAGCTGAAGATCTGCATAACAGCTGCACTATTTAACTTCCTTTTCTTTCGATCTGAAGAGCCAGAAGCTATTTTGCACTTTTCCTCCATTTGCTCGACAAAATGGCTTGTCCGCCGTTCTTTGATCCATATGTGCTGACCGAGCTTGATCACACCCTTCCGCCTGTTCATGTGTCTGGCTTCCTCACGTTTCGTCTCAAGGAGCCAATCAATGCCATACCTGTTCTAGAGGCAGCTGTTGCTCGGCTTGTCCACCTTTTACCGTTTCTAGGCGGGAATGTGGCTTCATCAACCAGAATACCTGGCAAGACGAATGTTCTAGAGGTTCAACCCCCATCAGAATCCTTCTGGTCTCAATATCCCATGCTCGCCGTCAAGAAACATGACCTCTCAATAGACCCTGGACTCGCGTCATCTGTGGTCTCCGATGATGTTTCCAATGAAACATTCCTCCCAATTGGGTACGAATTTACAGGAGTCGATCCTGTCTGGCGGTTCCAGGCAAATCTAATGCTTGACGGGGTCATTGTATCATTCTCTCTCAACCACCAAGCGCTTGATGGTGTTGGGGCAATGTGCGTTATCGACGCATTTGCAAAATGTTGTCAAAACCCAAATATCGATGCTGGTTCGCTACCAACGAGCCCTGAAAAACAAAGCAAATCTCGGACAACCATATCTGATCTTGCCAATGTCTCTCAAACCGCCGGCGCATCAGAAAACGGGAGTCCGATGGAAGTTGCGAGTCACTCAGTCGATATCGACGAACTCAATCAAAACGCCCACAGTCCCGTTTCTAAAAAACTTGTCCTCAATGGAGAAAGGATAAAATTGCTTCGAAAGACATGTGCTGAACAAGCTCAGCCCAGTGACCAAGGGACTTCAGTGTCTGGGAATACAATTGTCACTGCCATCCTATGGATATGCTTGATCAGAGCTCAATTCGGACCCCATGCGACGGCCCCCCCGCCACCTGAACTGTCATCTGCCGCAATGGTGTCTAATCTTCGCTCTAAAATACGTCCAGCCCTACCTATGACGTATTTGGGGAACACCGTAGGGCACGCTTGGTCAAGCTTTTCAGTCGAGCAAGTCTTATCATCCATCTCTCATCTCCATTATGACTCCCGAGCAGCGGCGTACTTGGATCCTCAATATATGAGAATTGTCGCAGCTGCCGCAAACAGGCTTCAAGATGCGGTTCAAAGCATTTCAGACCATTCCGTTCGAGACATCATTTCCGAAAAGAACGCAGCTGATGACTGGGCAGCTCAACCTACCATAGCTGACCTCCATGTGAGTTCATTGCGTCAGTTCGACCTATACGCACTTGACTTTGGATCTTTACTGGGAGGAGTGAGCGATTTTGATATGCCAGAAAGCCGCTTTCCTGGATTGGCTTGGGTCCTGCCCTCCCGTGGCAAACCTCAGTTCGCCCCATGGGAGGTCAGGTTGACACTACACCCAGAGGTTATGGAAAGAATTCAAAAGGATCCGTTGCTGAGGTGGCTATCATCCGATGTGATGTCAAAGCTATAGTCTGGAATAGACCCCTTGTCTGGCTACATACCTTCATTACTTAAAGTTTGTGGCGTACAGTTGCACCTGTGATTCTTGTTCGCGCCAACGTTGAATATCAGATTGATCAAGGTGCTCGACGTCTTTCAATTGGAAGACCTCAGCACTGTGTAAATAATTTGTAACTTGACACTTCCCGCCTTCGCGAGACACCGAAACCTCCGTCTTTATTTTATTCGTCCCTCCAGAATTGGGGGACTTTGATACCTTTGAATTGCCTTCCGTGGATGGTTTCTAAGCGTCGGTGGAAGATCCGTGGCACTGAGTCAAAATTTCCTGACTTTGGCTTCAATACTATCAAAGCCCGCTGACTGCACAATGATTATGCGAATACTGAGTGTTCACTGTGGTCGACTTGCATACTCTGTTGGATGTGGCGGGGCATGCACACAGAGCACCTGTCGGTGTGAGAGCAGCTGGGGGAGTGAGGGCGATTCTACTGCATGGCCTACCTGAACGCGGTGCTGAATGGAGTCAATCTATAGATATGCCTCCGGAACCCTTCCACCCTTATGTCAACATAGCACAAGGGTACAGCTTGATTAAATATCGATTTAACCAACTCCATCAACCCCACCAAAGGTTGACTGAGACGATGCAAAGAGTTCGAGAAATTTATCCTTGAAAGTTGATCCAAAAATCCAATTCTCAGCTTGAGGCTCCAGTAGTATGTGCAGTAGTGTCATATGTGAAGAGGTGAAAGTGTAACCATTTTTTACCGAAGAAGGGTAGGTGTGAGGACCACGCGCCCAGGCACGTGAGAAGAGGGAAGAGAGAAAGACAAGAGAAGCCTGATCTCTTGTTATCTCGGATCTTTTTGTTTTCAGACAGGTCCAATGGTTTATGTTAGGACCGCCTGGTGCACCATGTAAGGAACAACATTTGAACACCATAAAGTCTGGAGCCACCTCAGATGGGCAAAAAGCAAAAACATACAGCGGTGCAGTATTCGCTGGTGGTCATCCACCCAACTATTTTCACCGGCATGTGGCTTGAGTACAGCTAAGCGGATCGGAAGCCTTGTTTTCCACCCTGTGGTCGCATGTGTCTCCAGGGCTGAATCCTCTTCTTTATAATCTATATAGTAAAGTTTTAGGGGTTTTTTATCTAAAGAAACCAAACAACCAAACAATATATTAGATTTATTCTTCTATTATTTAAATCATAATTACTGTTACTATTATGCAAATCTACTTAAGTAATTAATATTACAAAATATTAATCCCTTATTATCGTATATTGAAATAGTTTAGTAACTACTAAATACAATTTAAAAAGTATCACACTATGTGATCAGAGAAACTATTCCTATGTCCATATTACAAGCAATGTTGGAGTATCTGGCTTTCGGGGCATTCATTCAACCAACAACCTTGGAAGGATTTCCTTGTTTATCAGGACTTTAAGGCTGCTGATAGATACCCTTTTCAACTAATTCCAAGAGGTATTCCATTCAAGCAAGGCCCAAATAGCAGCTCGCCACATGCAGTGGGTCTATTAATTATTGTAATTAACTGATAAGATGTCAATTAATACAACAAGAACCACTTGAGTCAGACAACTTTAGAAACTCAGCGCGGATAGAATGCATCAGTAATCCAATCATAGCGCAAATTAGGCGGACTGAGCGATCTGGGTGCCCGAAGGATCATGCGCTGTGATAATTGGCGCAGCGTTGAACCCTGTTGCAATTGGGGCTGCCGGCGTCGTCATGGCTGTCCAAGTCTGACCTCCCGCCCCAGTTAGAACACCTAGGGGCCCTGGTGTATCCGGCGGTGTAGCTGTAGCCTTGGTAACCTGGGTTTTGGTGTGTAATACTGGCCTTCTTCTCGATGGTGCGACAGATTCCATTGCGGTTGAACAGCGTGAACCGGCCAACAGGTGCAAGGAATGAGATTAGATACGTCGTGTTGCTGGTCTCTGTGTCGGACCTGTGCTTGGAGGGGCGGCAAGTGGAGAGCTGCGGGGTTTTGGAAAGCTAATCATAATAAGTGTTTTTGACATGCATGTGGAGGTCTGTTTCGGTCTCAATCCACCAGCCCCGTGCGTTGTGGGGAGGGGAGCATAGCCAGTGAATACTCGTACTACTTGGTGGGATAAACCTGTGGCTATTTAAGCTCGCAAGATCCCCGGGCAAATATGACAAAGCAGGACTTCCGTCGTCATTTCGAGCTACAGTCATGGCGAACGAGGCTACATTCATTCTCTTTTCTCTTTTGATTTGTTGCTGGGTAGCTTGGAAACTGGTGAGCCTAGCTCACTCTACCCGCCGGCCCGTATCATTTCCTCCGGGGCCTCGAACCCTGCCATTCCTAGGTGATTCCATCCGACCTGGACCTGATGACCAGCTGTGCTAAATGATTGATCGAAGGCAATTTGCATCAAATACCAGCCCATAAGGCATTCTTGAAGTATAAACGCAACACGGATCAATGTTCGTCACCCACCGCTGACCTTCCTTATAGGTTCCAAGAGTGGTCACGAGTTTACGGTCCGATCATCTCACTGAAGACAGGTCCTTCAAACCTTGTCATCCTTAATAGGGCAAAAGATGTTAGAGAGTGAGTAGCACCAGCGGTTATTTGTTCTACGCTCGGGATGCCGACCGTGACTTTGCAGATTATTTGACAAACGAGGCGCAATATATTCAAGCCGGCCTCCAAACCATATAGGCAACGAGCTCATTACACGTGATAATGTGCACTTACTTCTTATGCCCTACGGAAAAGAATGGCGGAATCAGCGGAAAATTTATCAAGCGATTCTCAGCATTTCGGCTGTGCGCGCTCTCACACCATTGCAGGAAGCTGAGGCTACATTGACTATCTCTCAACTCGCACAATCTTCTGAGAGCTACTACGACCATATTCGGAGGTACTCCACCGCCGTCATTTTGTCTTCTGTCTTTGGTATCCGTGGGCCTGAGTTCAATCACCCCAATATCACGCGCCTCTACCATGTCCAAGACCAATTTACCGCCATCCTAGAGACAGGAGCAACGCCTCCCATTGACGTATTTCCATTTCTTAAACATCTACCAGACTTTATGTCACCCTGGCGCCGTTGGGCCCAACGGATTCGAGCGGAGCAGCGACAGCTTTATTTTGAGCTGCTACAGGAGGTCAAGAGCCAGCGAAAACGGGGAATTCAACGTAACTGCTTTATGAGCCAATTGCTTGACGAGGAGTTTTGTGCGAAGCACGAATTGGACGAGGAGCATATTGCATACATTGGAGGTGTGTTAATGGAAGGTGGATCGGACACAACTTCGTCCACACTACTTTCATTCTTACTAGCTATGGTCAAATATCCAAAGGTTTTCCGGAAAGCACAGGAAGAGGTTGACCGTGTATGCGGGACTAAAGAGTCTCCTACATTTGACCAACTCGCGCGATTGCCTTATCTTAAACACTGTGTTTTCGAAGTAGGCTTTCCTTATCCTTCGCTGAGAGCGCTTCATCCACTGACAAGCATTTTCGAAGGTCCTACGCTGGAGGCCTGTCGCAGCGGGCGGCATTCCCCATGTGCTGATCCAAGGTATACGCTGATTCCCCACGACTCCAACCAGCTGCTAATGGTTGTAGATGACGAATACAACGGGTACAAATTTCCTACAGGCACAACGTTTCTAGCTAATACATGGTATGTATTGGACTCTTGATGCTCTTATACAGAAGCAGGCTGACCAACGCATCCCAGGGCAATCCACCATGATCCAGAGCTATACGAATGTCCGCAAGACTTTGTCCCAGAGCGCTACGAGGCCAATCCTCTTGGTTTAAAACCGGACATTCAAGAACTTCCGGATGGCATCCGCCAGACATATGGATTTGGTGCTGGTAGGAGAATTTGTCCCGGGTCTCATCTCGCTGAAAACTCCCTGGTAGGTGACGAATGCTCTCAATTCATATTTCTCCGCAACCCTATATAATACGACGAGGAACGCGAAGTTAATAATTTTTAGAGTATCAATCTTGCAAAAATCCTCTGGGCATTTGATATTCGCGCGGGAATTGATCCTTCCACCGGACATCAGCTACAAGGCGAGGAAGTTAATGTTGACATAGGCACACAGTGGACAGATGGTTTTCTGATTGCGCCGAAACCGTTCCCGATCGTTATGTTATTGCGCTCGGAGAAACACCGCGAGGTACTCAACCGGGACCTTGATGAAGCTCAGAAGATTTTTCAAAGCTATGAAGATTAAGGTCTTCAATCATTTGCCTAGATACGGTCAAAAGGAAGGTTTAGAGAATTTTCCGAAAGGTTCTATTCCTGTTCTGTAAGAAGTGCGGCTTGCGGCGCTCTCCCCATCCAGGCCAAAAGACCATTACAATCTTAATCTTTTATTTTCCACATGAATGTATAGTACTCCGTACGAAGTGCAACAATTTCAATTTTTCGGATTTTCACCAAGATCACAGCGAAGTGACAGGTGTTGCGGAGTACTACTCGTAGCCCACTTTCGGGGATCTACAGCCGATCGCACCGTCGACGAATCGTGACTCGGTGGATCGAGATCCAATCTCTTAGGCCCCCCCCCCCAACACCCCCAGGTCCCGCGTGATAGGGTGAAACTCCACGGAGTAATGTGGCAGAATGTACAAGGTTTCAAGGCTGAGATGGCCCCCAAAGCCGCATGCGTACTTAGGCCCCCAGCCCGAGAATGAGGCGATTATGACTGCTACTTAAACATTCTTCTTTCCCCCCACACCCCGGCTTCACAATCTTTTCTACTTAGGTAAGCAGCAATGTACGCCCTCCAACGATTACTCTACGGTTTCCCCGAACCGACTCCACACCGACGCAGCAAGCCTGTCGAGGTACTTTGCCTGGGCCTACCACGCACTGGAACCGAGTCGTTAAGCGTCGCATTGAGAGCTCTTGGTCTGCAAACATATCATGGCTGGGATTTGGTCTTCGAGCCAGATGGCAGCAAGTTGCAACACTGTAATGAGCTCGTGCGGCGGAAATACAACGGTGCTCGCGACGGCGAGGTGGAGATTAGTAGCGCCGATTTCGATATTCTTATTGGTGATAGCCAGGCTGTGGTTGACTCCCTGTGCATTTTATTCGCCCCTCAGCTACTTGCTGCCTACCCAAACGCCAAAGTGATACTCAACGTGCGTCCCGATATTGATGCTTGGTACCGTAGCATCGATAAAACCATTGTCCAAGGTGTTGATCAATCATGGACTATGTGGGCAATGCAGTGGTTCTCTGCAGAGTTTCATTGGCTGTATAGTCTCTACTTAAGGCACGGATATCCAGGCATTTTTCACAGCACAAACACTACAGATGGGATCCAGAAAAACGCTAAGTGGGTTTATCGCGACCATTGCAACATGATTCGGGGCATGGTGTCTGAACATAATTTGCTTGAGTGGTCCGTTGAGGATGGCTGGGAGCCGCTTTGCAAGGTGTGTGTGATTTGAAAGAATCGAGAATTTCCCCGTAATTATGGCTGATGACAGTGATAGTTTCTCGGCAAGCGTGTGCCCGAGGAGCCATTTCCTCGGACTAATTCACCGGGAGATTATGCTGAGCGCGCAGATGAACTCGTCAAAACGCGCATTGTTCAATGTTTGCGCAACCTGACTCTAACCGCCGTGACTCTAGGAGTTACCACTGCCGCGGTAATGTGGTACCAGGGACGGATTCCATGGGCTACGAAGCCAGGCGATGTCCTCTGGCGACTTACTGAAATGATTCAGAGTAAATGGATAGGACCAACCCTTAGTTAGAGGGTTAAAAGTCAATTTGACTCACTTTCCACATCACTCATCTGGGCAAGAGAACAAATCTGACTTCAGGTTAGGGGTAAGAAAGACTTTTTACATATACCCATGAATTTCGATGAGGAATGCCATATTTTAGGGACGAGTAAATCCACTGGTTTTTGTACTTCCGTAGTTCTAAGTTGCATCACAAAGATTATATTGAAGCCAATCTTCATCCAGACCCATCCCGTCCGCCAATTGCTCCGCTGCGATCCTTGCATAGGATCACTTGATTCGAGGAACATCTGACACAGTCCGATTTGAGGAAGGTGCCAGGCAAGGCATTGAAAGAGGCCTCACTCTATCCCTCGAGATCGAATCCAATAGGTGATGGCTATATTTTGCCCCAGGGCCAGCAGCTTGAATCCATGGATCCCCTTGCTCAACGTGAGGGGAAAGATTTTTTCACTTGAAGACTTATGCTCCATAGACCACCGGGCGTATGTGTATACTAAAGTACTTGATGTGCAACTGAGAACATCCTTGGAGAATGAACATTAAGAAAGCCATGCAATGAGAATGAAAAAATATATTCATCAAAGATAAAAGCATGCCCTGTCAAGAAATAGCAGCCCTGGACGTATCGGCCCACGCATGATCCGAAGCCTTCTCGGGCTATTCGGAAGGCCGAGGCCCAGGGGGGTCACTGTAACTCCTTGCAAATGCTCCAGTGCAAAAAGCGTTTGCACAAGAAAAACTAAAATATATATCTCCTCTTGATCAGGTCGGACGCTCTCTCAGCGACAGCATAGAGAGTACTGGTCAAGTGACCACAAATCTGAAATGGGACGATTGAAGCGTCCACGACTCGAACATTCTTGGTGCCGTAAACCTTCAGATCAGGGCCAACGACACCACCTTTGTCCCGCGGAAGCATGCTCGCCGTGCCGACCGGATGGAAGTTTGATCGATCTAAGATAAGAGTTAGCCATCAAATCCCCAACTCTTCCAATGTTCAGCATGCTCACAGTGTGACTTGATCCAACTTTCCCATGTCGTGTCGGATGCGTCCTCTGGGACATGCTCAACGCCCGGGGAGAATTCTTCCCCAATCAGGTGATTGAGCGGCGCAGTCGTGAATGCTTTCCGGATAAACTGAGCGACGTCGACTTGTGCTTCCAGATCTGGCTGAAACATGAAGTAACTCGGGTTGATCGCGGGTGATTGTGACGGATCGGAGGACTTGATATGGACGCTGCCCCTTGAAAAGGGTAGCAGTGGCCAGTATTCACTGGAGAATGAATGTCCAATAGGGATGAGAACGATCTCCGCGAATGGAACATGCGATTTGAAGACCAGGTCATACTGCATTTGAAAGGCATCCAGTACATTCGATTCCTGGACTGCGCCCTTCGAGGAGATAGAAACGTTCTTCGCATATTCCCCCAGATTGTCCATTACCTTGGATGAGAACTCTGACAGCTGATCCCCATATATCTGTTCTGCGTGCGGGAGAACAGAGAAGGTTGGAAGACCAAGCCAAAATTCCCTGCCTTCATAAGACAACCCGTTATTCGTCTGATCCTGCAGATTTTCGCCGACCGAAGAGATATTGACCTTCGGCAGAATGTCATATTTGGTCAATACATCCGGGTTCCCGATACCCGAAAGCTCCAAAATCATAGGTGATTTCAATGAGCCCGCCGACACAATGACTTCCTTCGAGGCATAGATGGTTTCCACCCCGTTAGCTCCAGTAACCTCGACCCCGATCGCCACGGCATCTCCGTCCGCGTCGTCCTTCCAAAGAATCCGATTGGCATAGGTGTTGGAAATGATCTTGAGGTTGGAGCGGTTTTCATAGGGCCAAAAATACGCCCTCGCGGCGTCATGACGAACATTGGCCTCTCTGTCAAGCGTGTCAGGGTGGACAGTGAGCCCAACCATACTGCCTCCATTGACATCTCTGTTATAAGACACTCCTAGTTGCTGGAATGTTTCATCAAGGATAGGGAGCATACTGCTGTTGGTCATCGCTTTTGGCCACCCGACCTTCAACGGTCCTTGTTCACCATGATAGCTCTTGTAGTAGTCAGCACCACGCGCGGCCTGATCTGCGGTGGGAACTTGAAATTGCTCTGATTTGAGGTAGTAGGGGAAGAGATTGTTCCAGTTCCATCCTTTGCTTCCCGCCCTTTCCCAAGCATCAATTTGCACCTTCTGCGCTCGCGTGTACGACATGCCTGTTTGCATAGAGAGTTAGAGGAGATTCAACGCCCTGAAGATGGCCTGTCTCAAGGCTTACCGTTGATCGTGCTGGTGCCACCGATGGCCTTGCCAGCACGCATGGTCTGCTTTGACCCTCCTCCGTATATTTGCTCCTCGGTCTGGTACGCCCAGTCGATCGCCGTCCCAAAGCTGAGGCCATATCCCGTGGTTGTCGAGACGTTGTGGTTATTCAAGACAGAATCCCCCGCCTCAATGACCACCACGGTGACATCTTTCATCTCCGAGAGCCTGTTGGCGACAACCAACCCACTGGTTCCTCCCCCGATGATAACAAAGTCATAGCGTGAATCTGAATCTTGGCTCTTTGCGTCGACTGGCAAAAAGCACACCAACGCACATACAATCACTCGAAGTAGCATTGCTTCGACTGTCATACACAGTAACGGTTCTGATGACAGACACACAAGATCATTACCCAAAGGTGATCGGCGGGTATTCTAACGACCTGACACGCAACGTGAAAGATGCCATGTCGCAGACCCCGCTCAGATCCCGTTAGGATTGCCTGGTATGTCGATTCTGGAATGCTGGTGTCATCTATTTAATCCCCCACTGGTCGGGTGCCATCCCTACATATCCCATCAAAGCTAAACCAAGTTTCTCGTCACTTCGCCAAGATCAAGTTGCCGAAGCAGTGCTCGAGTGCCTTCGCAGAAGTAAACTGGACTCGGACTTGTCGATGAGGCGGAGCAATCGAACGGGTACAACTGTCACAACACGCGGTAACCAGCCATGGCGATGGATACCTGGACAAGTGAAATATGAGATCAGAGTCACAATTCGAATGTGTCAAAAACACATACCGATTCTTCCGTGCAATAACAGATTTCCACATGGTCGGCTCAATTGTATTCAATTGTATGCATACCACATCCCTTGATCTGGGCCGTCCGGAACTCCTAAGTACTATTGGATATTGCCCATACCCGAGCATCCTTGCAATATTCGCTTGAACCTAAATTACAACTCACCTGGGCATTCACTGTCTGGATTTTCATGCACTTAACCATCAGTGAGATCGGTCCCGGACCGGAGATATAACAAGAGGCATATGGTCAAGTAGCCCGGTGCCCCAATGCATATTTTACGTTGGGGCTATGCGTTTCTCAGACCTTGGAAGGCCACCTTTCATCGTCTTCCCTCAGGAATGTGCCACAAACAACGTCGTGGATTTCACCAGGCCAGATCAATGTGATCTGGCGGCTGGAATCGCCAAGTTTGCCCTTTAGAATGAAATGGTCATCAATGTAGCAACATATCGCTGGGTCTCTGCATGGTGCTATGTACAGCGAAAATACCATCTGCAAAAAACAATCCCCAGATACCAGCGCCTGATTCGCTTTTGGGAGTATGCTCTATTGTTTCGATCTTGTCCAGCCCCCCCCCCCCCCCCCCACCCCCCTTCAACCCCTTCTCCTAGCACATCAGTTCAGGGGCAAATGCCCCATCTCGGGCCTGCAGGAAAGTTTGCCCTCGTGGAGATATCACAACACCGGTAGTCAGGTAGTTTCAGCAAATCTTTTGGGTTGGGAAACCACCGCGACCGGGGGAGTTGACCCACGCACGGTATGTTTTCCGGATTCACCCATACGGGATGGAGTATGCTGGATGAAACTAGTGGTTCACACTGCCTGGTGTTGGAATTGAGGCTTGTATTGATAGTTCACGGGGTGAGCGCTGCTCGACTCGGCGAAGACCCTGGAAGTTGATGCGATTGATGGCGGAACGGTCCAGGTCAATTCAGCCAATCCTTTGCTTGCGCCGAACCCAGACTTCCTGCTCAGTCACTCCGGGGATCGTTGAGGCCCGCACGTCAACCTCCCACACCTTCAACTTATACTTGCCACGGTCTGCTTGGCCGGAGAATATGTCGAAAGACCAATCATGCTTCGGGCACGTAATCCCCGCACTGAGAACGACTCCAAAGTCCTCAATATCAAACAGTCGCCCCTGCGACAGTGGGTAGGACGAGTGGGGGCATTGCTACGAAGAGTGAGCTCCCCATTAGGTGGCGGCTTGCGGATAAGACTCACATGATCGATGGCGTGGTATTTTCCCTTGTACTTGAAGACCAAAACTTGATCTTTCAGTTCCCCCGGGAGGTCAATGTCTTCAACGCGTTCCATAGGCCCATTGGTAGGAATGGTGAAGGCCTTGCATCTAGGAGCGACCCGCTGGCCATCCTCATCGAGGTTTGGCAGATCGGAGGCGAGACCAACCGAGTACCACGCTGCCGTTGATCTCCTTGTGAATGGATTCATTGCTTCGTCGAGGGTGGGTGGTGTCGGAAGAATATTTGAAGTCTTTCACACCCGCCCCACATCGTCGGCACCGACATCGCCCGTTTCCAGTGTGCGGAGCAGAATGTGCGAACCACACACTATGTATAATAATGTGCTGCAGTTTGCTTGATCCCAATGATGAGTCATGGAGAATGGATGGCTACTTAAGTATGTGAAGTTCTAAAGTTTGGAAGGGTCTCCTGGCCAGGGGACTATTTCAAGGAGCTTTCTACTCCGTACCATGCATGTGGTATGTTGATACATTGTTCAATATATATGGCTATATCTATACATGGATCATTTGATGCACATAAAGCCACACCCATCGCGAGCCCGCTCACAGGCTTTCTTGAGGCTTTGTTCTTCCACATCAGTCCACTTGTGAGTCAGCTCCTCCCAGGGCTTGCCGGAACGGAACTCCTCGCGGTGTTTCTTGTGGATGGATTGAAGACGACTGACTTCTCGGGGATCGCCCGTGCCAGAATAAACCATGAAGAGTGTACAGGCGGGGAGGGATTCGTAGATTCGTGAGATATGGGACACAGTTTGAGAAATGGTCTTGACCAAGACATCAGACTGTAAGCGATCCGAGGGTTGGCCGGTGATGCCCTCTGTCGACGCATTTTGGTCTGAGGGAGGAACAGAGGTTGATTCATTGGCATTATTGGGGTCGGGGAGTCGATTGCACCAGCCGCGAAGGTATTCGAGCTCGCGAAGACGGGCCCAGGTAAAATCAACGCCACCGGCCGGGATAGAATGGTTCGACTGATCGCCTTTTACCACAGCAGAGACCCCGTTGACGACCGCATCATCATCCAAGCATCCAATGGAAACGGCCGCCTGTGCGCCAAAGCCACGTTCGGGATTACCCCAATCGACCACAGCTCCAGTTCGTGCTTCCCCGGGACAAGGCACGTAGTTCGGCCGAACGGAGCGCGCAAGTCGTCGGAAAATACTCTCGTTAGAAACCTCGCTGGTTCCCCAACGTTCGCCCTTCTCACACTTCATTTTCACAAGTTCAAGGACGGCACGGGCATCCTCGACGGAGTCATGACCTTCCATTCCGTTTTGGATCTGCTTGCCTTGGTACTTCTGGGTGAGCCATTTGAGACTGCACTTCAGCGGCGGGCCTCGTGGGTGCGGGTATATTATACTCGTATCAACAATAAAAGGGTGAACAAGCTTCAGAGCAGTTAAATCGGAGTTCAAGGAGTGGCCGACGAGGATGGCACGGGGCGTGAGGAGGGTGAGGAGCCGTTGCTGAATATCAACCAGGGTGGTCGTGACTGGCTCTAGCATCTCTGGCGTGATTCCCGAATATCGCGTAAGATAATTAATCACAGGGCGAGGAGGTTTGACCAGTTCATCCATAACTACTGCACCATCCCATCCCACAATACTGATGCGGGTGAGCTCGGACTGGCCTCCCTCGGTGATGCACATCTCGCAGTCGAGGGCAAACACGTCCCGTCCAGCAGTCATGCTGCCCTGTTCGACTTCGGCGTCGGGCGGCTGCGCAGACTCCAGGGAGGAAACATGAGTGTCCACCCAACCCTCTTCCACCGACTGGCCACCTCTTTGGCGGGCGCCCGCCTGAGCTTTCCTTTCTTCGTCGGAGGTAAAGTAGACCGGGTGCAAGATATAGTCGTTCTCTAGGAGATCTTCACGGGAAGTGACGTATGTTGAGATAGGGGTTCGTTTGGGGACAAAGCCCTTCTCGACTTTTGCAGGGCGTGCACCTTTCGTGCGGGAATCATCGTTCTTGGTTTTGGGAGGCGCAGATAACAACAGAGCTTGCAGCGGCGAATGAACCTTGTTGTACTTGTTGTCGCCAGGCGCCTTGACCGGCCAGATGTGGGGGAACATGTCGGCCAGCGGTTGTAGGCATTCAAGAAGCTCGTTGCGGACAAGCGATCGGGGATTGAATCGGTGGGAACGGTCTGGTAGAGGGAGACCCTTTTTCCATCGGTCATAGTCAGTAGCCCTGTCGTCTTCAGGCATTGTGTTCGCATCATCTGGATTGGGTTTCGTTTCTTGTAATTGATCCCCAATATCTAGATTCTCGGTGAGGGGGATTGTGCCATCAAACATGCCCATCTCAAGGCCGGGCACCATCAAGACAACCACCTTGCGCACATGCCCTGAATGTTTCAAGGATATCCACTGGGGGGCAATGCCGTCAGCAAAGCAGTAGAGGAGTAAGCCCTGGAGATCGGCAATGCGAATTGGTGATTGGAGCTTTCCATCTGCATAGGTCAGGTCTGGGTATTTGACTTTCTCGCCGTCTACCCTCTTGCGCTTCTTCGACGTGTGACTGTTCGTCCCCTCCGCTGTGCTATCCTGTACAGTGGGTGAAGGCTCGCTCGAGTCAATTTTCAGAGCGCCCGACTCTTCAGTGGCTGCATTGTCTGCGCTGAGCTTTCTTTTCTTGTCGCTGCTCATGGTCATTCTGTGGATAAGAGCTCTTGCCTGTCGATTGGAGAAATCTACGAGGCCCGAAAATCTCGGGCACGTGGAGATAAGCGATAAGCGATCGGCCTCGTCCGGTCATGTGATTGTATCCCGTGATCCATAGGACGGGGCAGAGCTACCATAGACGCCGAACGATCTGATAACCGATTGGAAATCTAGGATCGCCGTGCATGAAGGAAACCTGTGTCTTTTTTGGAAACTCATCACGCCATCACTTCAACACATCTTCTCTCCCAGACATTCCCCTCGGACTCTGTCTGATCACCCTCTTGAAAATATCGCCGGTTCCGGCCATTGCCCCTCTTCATCCACCTTCAACTTACCATGTCGGCACTCACCGAAATCACGTCTGAGGCGGACTTCTCGTCGCATCTATCCTCCCTATCGCCCTCGGCGCTGGTGGTTCTGTACTTTCACACCCCATGGGCTGCACCTTGTGCACAGATGGGTGCTGTCCTTGCAGCCCTCGCTTCACAGTACCCCGCCACTGCCCCGCCAACCATCTCATTTGTCAGCATCAATGCTGAGGAACTGCCTGATATCTCGGAAGAATATGATGTCTCTGCTGTTCCTTTCGTGGTGTGTTTGCGCAGTGGTCAAATCTTGGACTCAATCAGCGGAAGCGATGCCGTCAAGGTGCGCGACGCTGTCGAGCGCCATGCAGGCCGCGGAAATAGCGCCGGTAGCGATCCGATGGATGGTGTGAGGGCTCACATCCCCCCACCACTTTCTACTCAGCCGCGTGAAGATGGCCCAACCACTGCTACACAAGCTCCCGTCACTGCATCCCACGCCCCTCCTGCCGATGCTGCCAACGCAACGGCTGTCTCATCTGCTCCGGCCCTGACACCGGAACAATCCCGCGAAGCGCTCTTTGCTCGCTTAGAGCAGTTGGTCAAAGCTGCGTCCGTTATGCTGTTCATGAAAGGAACTCCTAGTAGCCCGCAATGTGGATTCAGTCGGCAGCTGGTTGGTATCCTGCGAGAGCGTAGTGTGAAGTACGGCTTTTTCAACATCTTGGCCGACGAAGATGTGCGCCAGGGCTTGAAGGAGTATGCAGAGTGGCCAACATTCCCTCAATTATGGGTGAGCGGAGAACTAGTTGGTGGCTTGGATATTGTGAGTATCCCCTTTTACCCTGGTCAACGAGTCAATTGCTAATGCCAATTGACAGGTGCGGGAGGAGATCAACGCCGATCCGGAGTTCCTCACCCAGTTCTCCGTCAATAAGCCTGCCGCGAGCGCTTGAAAAGCTGGTTAGTGTGTGCACGATACCCATGAACCCCATCACCGCTGGGGCTAGATGCCAAAAACCTAACATAATCAACATTTCTGCTCTGGTGAATGCTGCTGTAGACGTTGAACCATTCAAATATTGTAAGATGGGGTGAATTGCGCTTCCCTACATAGATCACTTTAACACATCTGAATATGCACTGCCAGATGGCTATCCAGGTGGGGATTCGATATCCTTTCCATGGTTCCAAGGCTCAAGGATGAGCATCTATAGATTTCAATTCGCGCGCGTTTGAAATCGGCGTTGAAAGCATTGTGCCTAAGTATCTATCCATGGGCCTCACCTGCCCACCTCGGCGGGTGGCCATACATCGATTATACAGACTTTCTACTCAAACTCGATTTATGATGTACAGATACCCCAGTGAAATATCTCGTATCCTTACACCTGGATACTCATCAATATATACTTAAGTACTTAAGTATCTATAGATCGACTGAAGAAGCTTGGTCAACTTCTGGTATCCAGAACTTTACCTATAGTAATCCATGCTTCTCTTCATTCGCTGGTCTTGATTTCTCCCTCTCCCTGAGAATCAGTGGCTTGGTTGGTTTGCGGGACATCGGATGCCTGGGAAACCGGAGGCTTGTTCATGTTCTTCCAAGCTGTTGGATGCTTGCGTCGAGAAACGGCAAAACAAGATAGCAGGGCGTCGGTGTCAACATATGCACCTGCTAGCCACCGGGATCCTTCACTGGCATTGAATTGGCGGCGGGCATGAACCACTCGCCGGTTGTCAAAAATGACACACACTCCCGGTTTGAGCTTGAGCTCAAATATGGCGCCCTCTGAGTCAAGCAACTTGGTGAAGATATTGATGGCGTCTACCAACCGTCTCACAGATTGATGATCATGGTCCTTTCCATCTGGTGATGGAATAGCGGATTGGAAGGGAGGAGAGTAATTGACATGCAACAGCTCATTCGTCTGATGGTCAATTTCAAAAACTGGCCGCTTGTTGTGGTAGATGTGCTCGTTATGTCTATATTCATAGCCCAAGCGCTGTTCGCAAAGGAGTTGGTACTGTTGGGGGTGCGACTTTTTCATCAAATGAGCCGCCCTAAAGGCGTCCGCAAATAATGACTCGCCCCCGGAGCAGGAATTCTCCAAACAGTGTAGCAGTTGATACCCGGGTGGCTCATTCATATACATTAGATCCATGTGGAATCCAAGGAATTGGTTGGTATACGCCACATTCGTCGCCTCTGGGACGGTGCGCACGTCAAATGTTGATCCATAGAATGTGTTGCGCAGTGGGCCCATGCGCGTTGCGATTTTCTCAACCATCTCCCGGGACTCGGGGATATTCTCGACGAAGATCAGGCCCGATCGCTTCAAGCTTTGCATTGCTGCAGCGAATTTAAAGTCATGGTTGATGTAGTCGTCGAAGGAAATCCAATGCTGATTTTCGCTCATTGTCTTCTTCGACCATCTAACTGGTTCATTCACAGAACTCTGATCGTGAGTGTCTAAAATGGGTTTCTGCAAAAAGTCATAGCTCCAGGTAGAAGTATGATCAGATGCATACCCAGAAATATCGTTGGCCCACTTGATCGATAACTGGCGTCCATCCCATTTGATCCATCTTGGGCGAATATTCTGGGGAATGTCGCCCGTTCGGAATGTGCGTTGCTTGGAGTATTGGTCTTTACACACCGGACAAAGGCACGTGTCCCGGAGATAGGTAAACGGCAATTTCAGCACGCCGGTCTTGGACAGCAAGTACACCTCCTTGTGTCCAACCCAAGAGGGACTCGAGCTCTCAAAGGTAATGTCATACGCGCTTGGCCGAGGACCTTGGCCATGAGGATTTTTGGACCATTGCTTGAACTCCACAGAACGTGACACCGGGTGAGGCTTGTTGGCCTGTCTGGAGGACGCGGTGAAACAACGACGAGCAAGAGAATGCGACAGAACCCGGTGTTTTAAAGGGAGATATCGTAGTGGAGCCGAGCCCAGGAGAGACATGGTGTCTTTGAGGCCAGAATGGAGAACAGAAAGGAATCCAACGGTGATCTGTTCAAGTGGTGAGCTCCGAGGATAATCCGGGGGTGCCAAGCCTTGATTACCTCGGCTTTGTATCGATACCTCACATTTAAGGCTGAAACTGACACCTGCAACCGGGCTACTTCGACACCTCACGTACACGGCATCAGTTTACACCTCAGGTGTCATTTCATCATCTCAACGCGAATTTCCAGGAATTCTTCCCAGGGCCCGGCACTTACGTAAATTCCTCTGCTTTTTCTCAAGAGAATCGACATGGAGTTTCAACTCTCTATCTGATTTGCCATATACACTGCACTCTGCGAATCCCTCATGTCGGCTGGGGGAGAGCATCTCAAAGATGAGGGCACCAAGCGTCAAGTCCTGTTAGCCGGTGGCATCGCCGGACTGATTTCGCGCTTCTGTATCGCACCGCTCGACGTTGTCAAGATTCGGCTGCAATTGCAAATCCACTCTCTGTCAGACCCTTTTGCTCATCAAATCACCAATGGGCCTGTTTACAAAGGGACCCTTTCCACAATGCGGGCCATTGTAAAGCACGAGGGAATCACGGTACGTGCAGGTTGCGCAAACACATTGGAATAAATCTAATCACAAGATATACAGGGTCTCTGGAAAGGTAACATCCCCGCGGAGATAATGTATGTCTGTTACGGTGCAGCGCAATTCACGGCATATCGTGGCACAACCCAAGCCCTCGCTCAACTCGGTCCCCATCGACTCCCTCCTCCCGTCGAATCTTTCATCTCTGGCGCTGTAGCAGGTGCCTGTGCCACTGGAGCGACCTATCCGCTTGACCTACTCCGGACTCGGTTTGCCGCGCAGGGCCCAGACCGCGTATATTCCTCCTTGCGAGCATCTGTCATGGATATTGCGCGGCATGAGGGGGTGCCAGGGTTCTTCCGAGGCTGCTCAGCTGGCATTGCACAAATCGTTCCATACATGGGTCTCTTTTTCACAACGTATGAAGCGCTTCGACCAGCGATGGGCATATTGGACTCATTGCCCATGGGCACCGGGGATGCTGCTGCTGGTGTTATGGCCAGTGTGTTGGCCAAAACGGGTGTATTCCCATTAGACTTGGTTCGCAAGCGATTGCAGGTGCAAGGCCCAACACGGACGCGTTATGTGCATCGCAATATCCCGGAGTATTCTGGGGTAATCCAAAGTATGGTGGCGATCGTGCGTACCCAAGGCATCCGTGGCCTTTACCGCGGCTTGACAGTCAGTCTGATCAAGGCCGCACCGGCAAGTGCTGTGACAATGTGGACTTACGAGCGCGCACTAAGAGTCCTCCAAGACTACAACATCGCGGCAGATAGCTGAGAGCGGTTCTGAATCTGTAACATCACTCATATTCATTTGCATGGAGCATTCAATGGCGTTTCTCGTTCACATGAAATACAAAGACCGAGCCGGAAGTGCTCAAATTTTTTTTCGTTCATTCCAACTACATCTCATTGCATACCATATTGCCCTGGCTACATCTCCGAACCGTCGACCTATTGACCACATCAGGAACTTCGTTGGGAGCGAATCGTGAGACTGGAACTCGCTTGGCACATGGTTATCGTAATAATAGGCATGCCGACTGTGGGCGAATTGATCCAGCAGCAACATCAAAATCAATGCTCAGCCTCTCCATCCCCCTGATTGCCATCTTGGGCCACCTCATCATAGTCTCTCTCGAGGGCTGCAAGATCCTCCCGGGCCTCGGAAAACTCTCCCTCCTCCATGCCTTCGCCAACATACCAATGTACAAAGGCGCGCTTCGAATACATGAGATCAAACTTGTGATCAAGATGACTCCATGCCTGCGCAATCGCGGTCGTGTTCGACAGCATACTCACTGAGCGGTCGACACATGCGAGTTCGTCATTGGGACGGCGGACCGGTTTCTGGTAATTGATGCCCAGTTTGAATCCAGTCGGACACCACTCAACCAGGCTGAATGTGCCCCTGGTCTTGAGCGCATGCACAGCCTGGGTACACTCGAGAGGTACAACATCCCCTTTGTAAAGAAGTGCAATTGCCATGTACTTTCCTTGTCGTGGATCACAGGCCACCATCTGGTTGTTGGGCTTGAAACCTGAGAAAGAGTTAGCGTACGCAGATATTATTCGGAATTGCGGGATACCAACACTCGAACGTGAGGTCCTGGACCTTGAAACTTTCGTGAGAGCTGCGCTCACTACTAATCACCGGGGCGTACGAGATCAGGGGGTAGTGGATGCGTGGATACGGCACGAGGTTCGTTTGGAACTCGGCCAGGTCCACGTTCAGGGCACCGTCAAACCGCAAGCTGGAGGTGATGGAGCTCACCACCTGGGCTATCAGACGGTTCAGGTGCTCAAAGCCTGGGCGTGGAATATCCAGGTGGCGGCGGCAGATATCATACACGGCTTGGTTGTCGACCAAAAAGGTGCAGTCGGAATTCTCAATGGTGCTGTGTGTCGACAAGACAGAATTGTAGGGCTCCACCACCGAGGTTGAGGTTTCCTTAGATGGGTAGACCGAGAATTCGAGCTTCGACTTGCGGCCATACATCTTGGTGATGTGCTCCAACAGCAACGATCCGAATCCGGATCCAGTACCTCCTCCAAAGGAATGAAAGATCAAGAATCCTTGCATGGATTCGCAGTTTTCTATCACGGGTTTAGCCAATTGCCTTGGTTCCAGCTGGTGGCAACATACCAACTACACGACGCATGCTCTCGGCTGTAGCACCTAAGATATCCCTTCCAACGGTATAGTGGCCACGCGCATCTGCAATCCGTTAGCCTCGTTCTGAAGACACCAATTGGAATCATACAGTTGTTGGCAGCATCTTCCTTCCCACTGATCAATTGCCCGGGGTGAAAAAGGTGGCGGTAAGTGCCAGTGCGAATCTCGTCAATAGGCTGTGCCAGTCAGCTGTAGCTCTCGTGTTGCTCTCCAGAGTTCGCCACACACCGAGGGATCAAGATCCACGAAGATAGAACGTGGTACGTATTTGCCGTGGGATGTCTCGGTGAAGAACGTTTCGTAGGACCCGGTCTTTGCGGTTTCATCGGTGACTTCAGGATCGATGTACCCATCCGGCTTCAGCCCATGCTCGAGGAGATACCTGTCAATCTGTTAGACTCAGTAGACACGTTGAGACGGCAAGAGGACATACAGTTCCCAAGCAGCGTTGCCCAGCTGGGTGCCAGCCTGGCCCAGGTGGATGTGGCAGATCTAGGTGGTCAGGTTAATGAGAGTCTTGGTTCATGATGATGGCCGTAATATGCAGAATAGAGTACACACCTCGCCTCGCATTTTGAGAAGGGATTAACTTAGCAGGGTGGTGTAGGGGGAAGAGGGAAAGAGGAAAGAATGGAGAGCGTAGAGAAAAGGGCATCAACAACAGTTGTTTACTCTTGAGGTCAGGACAGTTGACACAAATATTCCAATCTTCAACTATGCATGCTATCATTGTATGAAGTGAATTTCAAACTAATTTATTTTCAATTCCTCTATGGCCCCAGGGCGCTTCTTCCAACAAAGAGTCCCTGTACTAGGTAGCCCAACCTGGAATTATCCTTGTTATACTTAGATCAAGCATTCTCTGCCAGGTCAAAGCCTCTAGTGCTCTTACTTGGAGTTTCCAAGGCTATAAGCTTGGAAGCAAATAAATCTCCCATGGCCACCTGCGGCCATATCATGTTCCCCTGTTATGTAGGCGGCTGCGATGTGACTATCAAACTGGTATGACGGAGGCGTTGTGCAATGAATAGTATCCAACATGCAGAGTGCCGTGAAAACAGGCTGCAAAGGGATTCCCTCCCAATGTGACAAACTAGCAGACCAAGCCACTTGAACAGCAGTTGGATTGTACTTGAGTACAACGATTGCAGGAATGGTTTTTGGGTATATAATTGCTTCATTCGCCATTAGGAATATATGAGGCATGGGGCTAGCCAGAATTGCAATGATACAAATGTGTTCGAATGTATTTGTATTTGAATCAAAACTCAGCCCAAATGCTGTATGTAATAAGAAAGCCGCCAGTAGATGAAATGTTAAAGACCGATATGGGGATATATACATATGATAGAATGGCAGATTATGGTTCCATCGAGGTCGATGTTCCGATTGATGTGCAGTTTTGGAGGGGAAAGAATGTAAAAGGAAAGAAATGACACCATGAAGTATATAATGAGTGGGGGATTGAACAAGAAATCAGATCAGATCAACGTTGAGATCAATTTGGGTGCTCCTTGAAGGCGGGAGCGGCAGCTGGAGGGGGCTCAGTGGGCGAGGCGGAGCGTCCCTGTTCCATAAGGTCATCCCGATCATGGGTAACGCTGCTCCGGTGATGGAAGAATCGGTTGCGACTGAGGGAGGATTGGCCGCTGCGGAAGCTGTGGGCGTCGGTCGACCGGCGACCTTCGTCTTTATTGCTAGGGGCACTCAGGTTGGAGGGACGACGGTGCCGAGACGATGAGGTCCGACTCCGGCGCTCTTCTTCCTCTTCGGTTTCTTCCTGGATGCGACGCTCCGCGGCGTCACGATTGGCGGATCGGACAACGTCATTGATGCGAACACCGCGATCTTCGAAGACATCTCCCATGACATCGTTAGAGGCCATGTTGGACATACCCAAGGAGAAATCGACATGCTTGCGCTGGGAGATGGACGGACCACGGGCCCGTGCGGTTGCAGTGTTCATACCCTTGCGGAGAATGGAGGGGTGACGAACGGCGCCGCTGCTGCTGCTGCTGCTGGTGGCGGTGTTCTCGGGCAAATGGTGGGAATCCTCCGACAGGGGAATCTCTTCCGCCTCGATGGGTTCCCCGCGGCCACCGCGGCCAGTTCGCTCGTTGCCATAGTTGACATGGAAGGGGATGTCGAACTTGGCACCCTGGAGGTTCATGCGTGGGCCCTCGATGCCGATCTCTTGAAGGGCAACCATAAGCATGCAGATGAACTTGTTGCGGCGCTGGAGACGGAGACCCTCGTTCTGCCAGTTGGACTTGTAGAAGAACACCACGTTGAGGGTCAGCGAGAAGTTTTCGGTGACAGCACGCATCTCGGTCAGAATGTTGCTCTGGAAGTCGCGCTTTTCGCTGCGGACAAACTCCAGGAGTCGCTGACGAAGGGCATCAAGTTGGTCGATCGTGGTACCATACTTAATGATGATAGGCACTGCCTCGGCCAGGGCACCAGAGCGACGCTGGTTCAGGATGAAAAGTCCGTTCAGATAACTGTTGGGGGCCTGTACCACATGACCCTGCATCTTCTTGAACTCGGTGTACAACAAGGTGATCTCCTTGACAAAGTAATCATCGCCGAGACCGGAGTCGCCGGCGTTACCGTAAATAGTGACACGGTCACCAACGTCGAAGGGGTGCTTCACAAACACGAAGATGACCGACTGAAGGAATTCCTGGGCAGTAGCGGAGAACAACCAAGACAGCGCCAGGATGGCAGAACCGGCAGAGGTGAGGACACCAGCGGCGGAGGTGGAGATAAGTGACAGGAAGACGATCAACACAATAACGAACACAAAGAACATGAAGACGTCATCCAGCTTGGAGACGACCGAATCCAGATCCTTCAGAGACGCGGTGATAGACTTGCGCTCACGGCCGATATCGACACAGACCGCCTCGAGTTCTTCCATGGAAATATCACCGTTCATATCACGATCGAACATGGTGAAGGCAGCTTCGGCCTCCTCGCTGTCCTCGAATGCGGCTTTCAGGTCTCCTCCAAAGACTGTGTCGAAGCCATCACGCACGAAGGTTCGGTACAAACGGCGTGCCAAAACCTGGCAGCCGCCGGTGGTGCGCAGAAGAGTCAAAATGACCTGGTAGGCATCAGTGCTGCGTGTAGTGGTGCGACCTGTGACATCGGCCACCACCGCGCCGGCGACGTCGCCAACGCGGTTTCCGACCTTGTTCAGGGCCCCCTTAGCCTTCCGCTGGGCTATGCCCGCGTAATGCAAGGGCGTCTTGGTCCCCGTCGGGGTCTCCTTGGTGTCCTTTTCCTCAAATGTGTCATCCTTGTCCTCCAACGTGGTGCGCGAGAATTCGTAAAGTTTGGTCAAACTGCCAATCTGGAATTTGTTGATTTCGATACGGTCGGCATAGGTGCGCAGGTGGAAACTGATGGCGATCAACTGGATGAGAATCTTTTCGACGAAGTTGAGAATGGTCCAGACAAAGATAACGATGATGATCTTGTTCAGGGTGTTCTCCCAGCCTCGGGTGCCTTTGTCACCGTCCACATGGTGGTTCTTCATGGTAGGCAAGAAGGAGATCTCGACTCCGAGCCACCAAAAGAAGAGCGCCGCATGAATCTCGAGCTGCTTGGCCAGGTCGCGCCATTTCTTGGCGTTGTTTGTGAAAATGCTGGCCAGAACACCAATGACCGGAGGTAGACACTTGCTCACCAGCTGTTTCCAGTCGATTAGCAGTGCTCGTCCATGAGGGGAAGTCTGTCACTTACCCGTCCCGCCCAGAGCGTCAACCAGACAATCTCGAGCCAGATCGAAAACCACATCAATTTCACGCCCCCGACGCTGGCGTTGGGGTACTCCAGAGCACCGACCAGCAACGGGATCAAAAGAAGGAGGACCACCGGGGAGATATAGGTGATGTAACGCACGAGAAAGCTGGACTGGTGCAGCTTCTTCACGAACACCGCGATCTGAGTATTGGGCTTCTCAGGGGGCTTGTAGATGGCAGCTTTCTCGTGTAGCGGATTGGTGGCCTCGTCAAACTCGTCGACCTGCTCCGACCGACGCGACCGGGCGCGGTTGATGGAATTGCGGTCGTGTTCGTCCTCGGGCTCATGAGTGGAGCGAGTGGTCATGCGCTCGGCTTGCAGCAGCAACAAATCATCCTCGAGACGAGTGGCCTGCTCCCGTCGCGCGGATGGAGTGCGCATGGAGGGCTCGTCCTCCCCGGGGGCATGCGAGGTGTCGACGCGGAGACCACCTCCGCGCTGGTCGCGGTCCGGCTCGGTCACATAGGTTCCATCGTCGGAGGTCGGTGAGACATCTGCGCCTTTCTGTTTGTCCTGTGATATGAAGGTTTTGCGTTCCTCCACGGGGGACGACATGGCACCAGGCCGAAGAATGTGGGGTCAATGCCGGGAGTACTCTAGAAGGTCGGTAGAACAAAAAACGAGATAACAATAAAGAGAAAAAGAAAATACAACAGCGAGGGTAGGGGGGTTAGGGAGGTAAGAAGGTAGAGACAGCGACAGAGAGAGAGGAGAGAGAGAGAGAGAGAGAGAATCGAGGCAAAAGAGCAAAAACCGTGACGATTGAAACTCGGTGGAGCCCGTGGAGCAACGCCTGGGCCTTTGACGATTCAGATTTCGGTGAATTGTGATTTTGTGAATTTTAATGAAAATGGCAATTGTCTTAGTTTAGTCTGTGTTTTAGTCGATCTAGTCGATCTAGTACATAATCTACTTGGCTTGGCTGGGTGAGATTTTAGTCTTCCTCTTACGAGTATAGTCCATCTATAGATACTCTCTGTTGATATCTTCAAGGTTGTATTCATTGTAAGTCAGTATACTCCTGAAGTCTATGATAATTTCAGAACCCCCTACATCATTACCAATATAACTTTGTGCACTCTTGGCAAAGCCTCGAAGGGCCGCTGGCCACTCTGACAGGCCCAGCACGGCCCACTAACGGGGGGGAATGGTCCACCCGGTGGCGACAGTCCTAAAATGAGTATTCCACGTACAATACTACTTACAAGTAGTAATACATACATACTCCGTCCGAGTACAGACATCTTCCCTTGTAGTAGTACAGCTACATGGTCACACCTATGATAACCTTGGAAATGCTGAGGTACAGGCGCCACATACGCCCCTGCGTCAAGCCAGTTGCTTATAAGCCTGTTTACTCCTTTACTTAAGTACTCCATCCTCCGTGCTACTTAAGTATTAACCCTATTTATCCCAAACGGTCTAGAGCCGTCCCATTCACATCTATATATAGCTGACATCTCAAATTTCCTACCATCTCAACTTTACTTATAGTAGAAGTTCTAAAGTTAACCTGTAGACCTAAAGTGACAATACCTTTGGAAGTCACACACCCAATGAGATCAATGTGCGTTCGCTTCACACATCCTTGGCAGGCTAGTGATGCACTCGCAGACCTCCGCCTGACTGTACACGTACGTGCGTGGTGACTGGCGTCTACGGGTCTCGAACTGCACAATTCCACTGGGCGCACTTGTCGATCGTCTCCATTTGATCCCCATTTGACAGCACCGCCTTTACCCGAGTCTTGGGCCAGGCAAGATCATCATCAAAGCCGGCCAATCGTTGCTCAATAGAATCCCCAGACTCCATCAAATTACAGATGCACGGGATACCAAATGTAGACCTCGATCGATCTACACCATACAGTAAAATATACTCGAAATTGCACAAATCACCCTGGGAAACGAGAGAAGCAGCATCAAGCTGTTATTTTGATTCCAGTCACATGAGAAAATTGCTGTGTAGACTGCCATAGCTAGACAATGTAGATGGTGAAAAAAACATGATGAAACAAATGATAAAAGACAGAGAGCGGAAGAAGTAAACAACAAGAAAAACAAACGAACCGGAACGCCTTGCTCCAAGAAAGCCGGACAACACATTCAGACATAAGAGACGTGAGAGAGCGGATACGGGAAAAAGTTCGCGGAGGGGAGTATCGGGCCAGAACGAGGGCACAAAGCAGTTTACAGTGAAAAGGTAAGGGCTCATCAATATGTAGACAAGAATGGAAAGGGATTGTGGAAGGAAAGACAGGCCTTGTACAGGCCTTGTACCAACGGGTGTAGCATCTCAAGCAGAACGTTTACCGTTGGCACGCAAGGCTCAGGTCCGATCGATGACGTTCTGACGGACGTGGGGTCTCCTCCGGATCGGGGGAGGGATGAAGAGGTCGCGGCGTGGCCTCGGAGTCGGGGGTAGGACTGCAGTCGGCGTCGACGCCAGAATCGCCAGAATCAGGGTCAGGGGCCAACGAAGTGCCCGAGATTTTGACTTCTGGGGTGATAGGGGCAGGGAGACGAAGGGTGGTGCGCTGGCCCAAGTCCCAAGGAGGAGTGGTTTGCCCGCGACTTGAAGTCGTGGAACCAGTCTGAGCCGGGCGATGGTCGGGAGCTCCCGAGTAAATCGAGGTATCCTGGTGCGCGAGAGAGGGCCGGTGGGGGTCAAAAGGACCACTGGACCTGGGAGGAGAATCTCGAGGGCCGAGTGATTCGTCACCCTCCGATTCTTCGGGGATGCTCAGAGCCTCAAACCGATCCTCAATGCTTGTGCTCGCGGGTGAGCCCAAAGACCCCTCGCTGTCTTCATTGTCAACCGACGGTGCGCCAAGGTTTCTCAGGGCCTCTCTCTCCTTCTTCAAGAGTTCCTCACTCCCACTGACGACACTGCCTCGGCTATTGGTTCGCATCATCTCGATGCCCAATTTGGAGCCGGGGCGGCGGCTTCGAGATGGGGGGCTACGACGCGCTTGGGAGTTCCCTAGCTCTTCGTCCTCATCGTCGCCAGATTCGGCACCCTCATAGCGCTTCTTCTCGAGAGATTCTCTTTTAGCACGGATCCCTTCACTGGACCGTTGCTTGCGGGGTGTGAGTCCGCCAGTTGGGTCCATGGCTGCGGGTGCCGAGGAAGTATGCAGAAGGTGAGGGACAGGAGGGGCATGAGCATCGGGGCTACTGGGGTAGGCAGCGGGTTCCTCTGAAATCCCCAGCCCACCCTGGTTTTGGTCCCACTCATCTGAGCCACGGTTGATAATCACGGGAACCTCCTCGGGTTTGAATGCCTCCATTTCACCAAACACGCTACTACTCAGCGAATCATCCCGACTGGAACCGCGATACGAGCTTGGTGGGTTCAGTACAAATCCGGAAGAAGCAGAGCTGGGGCTCTCCTCAGTAGTCGGGCCATTGGACTGAGGAGTAAAGACCGGGACGGGCACAGGCGAAGGGTTGTAGTCCGACGGAGGAGCCTTCCACATGCAAAATTTGGATAGCGCTTCAGTCAATTTGGGCAAAGTCGGAGGCTTTTGGATCAGGGAATCAAAGTTGTGATTCTCTGGTAGATCTTTCAAGTAGCCCGTCACAGCGATGATGGGAGTGTGCCGGTTAGCACTGCGTGTCTCTCGCACCATTCGAGCAAAGTCAACACCATTGACTTGAGGCAAGCGATATTCAGTCATGATGATATCAAACTTCACCTCACTCAAAGCGAACCGGACGGCTTCCGCACCGTTTGTAACTGTAATGGTACGACATCTGAGTTTCTCAAACAGGCGTTCCATGACTAGTCGCGAAACAGGGTGGTCCTCGCAAATGAGAACGTCCAGTGGACGGAAGTAAGGCCCTTCCATGATATTGATTTGCGATAGCCGCCTGGAGCTCTGTCTGCGGCGCTGGACCTTTAAGAGCGCTTTGGTGCGCGGATCCTCATTGTCGGATGATGAAGGTGAGATATCAAAGAGTTGACTCCTTCGTTTGTGGTGGTGTGGTACAAACGGCTCCTTGGAGAATGACGAATTGTCCCCATCCTGCGAGCCAATCGTGTGAGAACGAGCGCGACTCGCTGGTACGCTTCCATGTCTTTGATTGTGGGTCACTTTCTCGGGGCTGTGAGCCGGGATTCGGTTGGGTTTGACAGGAGACGATGCGACTGAGCCAAGTCTCAAGTTAGGCATACGACCTTGGTCAGCAGAGGAAGGCTGGAAGGTGCCACTTGATTGGTGAGATGCTGACGAGGAGCCAGAAGTCTTCCGCCGCTCTTGATTGCTTCCGGTACTGAACTGGACCAGAAGGGGTGAAGATGGCTGAGATGGCCTACTGGGAGATGAATTCGTTTGACTGAGGCCCGATGGGGAAGAAGGCCGATTGTTTCCCTTGTTTTGTGACAAGGTCCGCTGAAGTGACATCGGAAGTGGACTTCCCTCCAAGGATGGCTGTGAGGAACTGACGGGGGTTTGGACGGCTGACGAGGGATTTGGCTGTCGATGCTGTGCTTGCATTGCCTCTTGTCGCATCTTTTGGATGACATCTTTGTTTGCCTTCTCCAACATTGGCAAGTTTTTGAAATTGAAACTTCCAAAATCGTCGGCCAAGGCTGGCTCACTGAGCCTGCGACTTCGCGAATCTCGAGCGTCGCGGACATGGGGAGGGATGTGAAGCGGCATCAATGGCCGTTTCGACGAGTTTACCTGAGATCGGACCTTGAAAAGCGCATCATGAGGACGATCAGGACCAGCCGCAGCAGAGGGTTGGGGCGAGTTTTCTTCTTCCAATTCCTCGGCAAAGGATTGTAAAGTGGCACCACGAGAGTCAAAGTACTCTGTGTCCTCCGGATTCTCAAGATTGGGGACAAATTGGGCTTTGTCCTCAAGTAGAGTATCCCAATTGATGTCGGACAGCCACGGATGACTGCAAATCTCTGCACCGCCGTTGGGATATTTATCTTCAACATTGGCTCCAATCCTTTCACGGGGGTCTAGAGTCATGAGTTTGTTCATGAGATCCAAAGATTCTGCGGAGGTGAACTCCTCGGGGTCATCGGGCCAATTGATGCGACGATGAAGAATGTTTTCGAACACTTCATCCGGTGTATCTGCATTGAATGGCGGGTACCCAAAGATAAACTCAAACATGATACATCCTAAAGACCACCAGTCACTGATCTCATCTTGGCCGATACCGTTGATGGTCTCTGGGGCCAAGTAATCGGGTGTACCCACGAACCGGCGGTCATGATCTTCGGGATCGAACAGAGCCATCACGGGAGGCATCATGCCCTGCTGAGGAGGTGTGTTTTGGGCATGAGGGTTGCTAAATGTGGGCTGCAACGGCTGAAGACGCGGAGATTCACCGGCCTCACTCTGACTTTCTTCCTCGACCATGCTGGTCGAAAATATGCTGGGCGATGATATAGGAGGGTCATGGGAACTGTCATTGAGCGAGAATGTTCTAAACATCCCGTTGAGGCCATCACTTCCCATGCTATCACTGCGGTATCCTGAAGCCCGACGAGAGCTTTGTCGGCTTAACCCACTCTGGTTGAGACTAAAGTATGATGGCTGGACGGCGTTGGCAGACACATCCGGTGTAATAAGCGGGGTCGACCCAGGAGAAGAACTGGCCTGGAAATCGAATGAAGCAGACCGGGAGGATGCGATTGAGATCGCGCGAGGGAATGAACCTTGCTTCAGAAGATCGGGAGCAGATTCATCGGGGTTTTTCAGCACACGTTTCTGACGGCCGACCAATCCCATGCGAGATAAACCAAAGTCTGTCAACTTCAGGTGACCAGTTTGATCAATGAGGAGGTTGTCGGGCTTCAAATCACGGTGGACGATTCCTCGGTTGTGTAAATGTTCAACACCAAGAACAACCTCTGCGATGTACTTCTTGGCCCAATCTTCCGGGAGGCCACCAAGAACCTTGACAAGCGATGAACAATCTCCTCCGTTGAGGTATTCCATGACCAGATAAAGATACTCTTTACTAGAGAATGTCCAATAGAGCTTGGCAACAAAGTCACTCTCTCCTTGCCACATCATGATAGCACGCTCGGCCTTGACGTTGGTAACCTGATTCTTGGCAATCATATCGGCCTTTTTGAGAACCTTCATGGCGTAATACTCACCAGTGGCTTTCTTTTTGACCAAATACACACTGCCAAAGGCACCTTTGCTGATGGGCTTGATGATCTCAAAGTCCCTGATCGACAATGGGGCAGGGCGAGGTTGTTGCTGGCTAACCGAAGGTAGGCGTGGAGACGGCGGTGGTTTGGCGACATCTGAAGATGTAGCCGAAGACTGCCGCCGGTGGTGCTTGCAATGGTGCGCCAACTCACTCGCGTAGGTAGACGGAGAAACTATTGGGGAAGGTAAGCTATCACCGCCGCTTGATAATCGAGGCTTCGGCATGCGTAGTGGGGAATGCGGACCGGAAACCCGGGCAGGAGAATGCTGCCGGCGGGGAGAGCTTGACAGCCCTGGGAGCACCAAGCTCCGACGCTTTCGATCGAAGCTTCTTTCGGATGATGGTGAATCCGTTCTCATGCCACCGGGGAAAGCTGAGGATGGCAGGCTGCTGTCACTGCTCTCACCAGCGTCAATCTCAGCCAGCGATAGAGCCAGTCGAGAGGGCTGAGATGTGCCCAGAAGCCCTGCAGCGCTTTTGTGGGATCGCGGGGTGGGGCATTCCATGGGACTGTTGGAGCCGGTTGAGATCGCCGCCGAAGAGGGCCTACGTTCTGATTGCGACAGCAATGATCGATCGGGTGAGTTTCGCATTGACATGGTCAGTGTAGATGTCAGTCTTCGTGGAGAGGGTGCCGCTGGCTGTGGCTTTGATTGCAATTCATCGATTAATCCCGGCGAGGAAGATTCTTCCTCTGCAGTATTGCTGCCTGTGTCACATGGGGCAGTCTGGCCATCGAGAACGGTCTCTGGTGCTAAATCCTCGTCGGATGAACAGGAGGAATCACTAAGCTGGCCTGCAGCTATGCGCTCCGCTTTGCTAAGCGCAGCCCCGATGCACTCTTCAACCAGTACTGTATACTCGATTCGAATTCGTTCAGCATACTCAACAATCTTACGGTGACGCACCACGGCATCAACCTTCGCCTTCGCAACTTGCTCGGTGTCGGCTGACAATGCAGCTAAACCCTGTTCTTGCTCCAAGGTGTTGGCGCTGGGAGACTGCCATTGAAGGACTTGGGAGATGCGGGACTCCGATTGCGGTGACAATGTTCGAAAGTCTTCTGCGTCTGTGCGAGATGTCTCCTTGATCACAGGCATACTTATCTCCAGAGAGGTGTCGCATAAGTCGAGAACAAGTTCCACGATTCTTGCCAATGGCCTGCGAACAGTAAATGAGCGAGGTCGAGTTGGGATGGCACCAGACGCGGAATGCTCTCGCGACCGAGGCGGCGTGCCTGGTGCAGAGTTGCTGCTGGAGACCGGCCCGGAAGATGGGGCAGAGCCGGCCGGAGAGGGGCCGATGGCGAGTCCTTTGTACTCCGCCTGAGCAGGAAGTGCCGGATTACCGTCAGTCCCGACGAGGGGCCTGCCTTGTCGAGCTTCGAGTGCGTCCAGTACCTTGACGATGGCATGGCGATGCTCATTGAGGTTTTCCTGGGCGAGTTGGACATCCATCTCGGCGCGATGTTCCTGGAGGCACAGGTCGGAATGCTTCTCGAACCACCATGGGGTAATTTGGCGTTCACAGATGCGACAGAGCACGGGTGTCGGTGCGGGATGCTTGGAAGGATCAGGCTCCGTGGCGGCAGCCTCAGCTAGTTCAGTCAAGTAGTTTGCCAGTACCTCCGCTCCCACACCCAAGGATTCCACCAGCAGAGGCGGGAGGTCGATGGTGACTTCTCTCGGCTCCGTCAGTGGCCGCAACATCCACATAGTCTATAATCGGAGATAGTTAGCAACCAATCGATGAATGGAGTTTGTTCATGAAATTATGAGGAAACGCACGTGGCCGGCTTCATCATCAGTCCGATCATAGACCATGATTCCCTGTCCCTCCATGTTGAGCACATTGTTGCTTTCTTCTCGGGGTATGTCACTCCCATCCCTTTCGTCGAGTTGGCCCTTCATAGCCTCAGGCGAAGGTTCGGGCGAGTACCGTAACACTGAATCCGGTCCCATCTGCACAGCGAACCGAATGAAACGACTTCGTGAGTCGTCCTGCCGCATAGACCCGATTGCATCCCGGAACACATCGCGGTTTCCGAGAAGAATCTCGGAGATCATGTGGCCCTCGACCGATCGTGGGGGCGAGCCGACCACCTGCTTCCATGATGGGCTGACCCATTTAATCCGACCCTCGAGGTCCATGTCGACAATAATATTCAATGTCTGTTCGGCCGCTTCCTTCAAATCCTCCCGTTCCTCTCGCATATCGTCGCTCAAGGTTCGAACCATCTTCGGGTGGATGTTCCGAGCCTCCTGCCGCAGCGCTGTTACAGCCGGAGGCGCGAGGAATTGTGGGTTGGGGGAGGCATTGCCGGCCATACTGACTCGCTCAGACGACCGGGGCACGGACTGGCGGTGACGGGGTATCACGGGTGGAATGAAAGGGAGATTGGTCAAATAAGAATATTGTTTAGGCAGGGCCGTCTGCTGGGGGCGCGGGTGCCCTTGATCGAGGTTATTGATTCATCCGTAGCATCAACTGGCCATCGCGCGGTTGTAGCTTATGAATCCGTCAATGTTGCTGAGTCGTGGTCGTTGACAGCCAATTTGTGGACTTGCTTCGCGTGTTGAGACAACTTTCTGAAACACGATTAGATGGAGGATAACGGAAGCCGTGTCTCTCTGCGGGGGAAAATGGGCGCGACGACGCGCTGGAATTTGAACAACGTCAACCCCGAATGAGGTTGACCCAACCTGCAGCACTTGAGGAGAATATCTCGAGGGGGAAGATGCTTTGCAGTTGAATGAGCAAAAAAAAAGGGAATTTGAGGTTGATGGGGAGAGGGGGGGGGGAAGGGGAGTCGAGGGCGGTGATTGGTGAGATCCTGTGCGTTTCGCTGCACGTACTTCCACACCTTTGGGTGTTTTTTTTTTTTTAAATTTCTTTCTTTCTCTTCGTCGATATTGGTCTGTACTCTTTTTATCTGCTTTGTTGATTTTGTCTATTGCATTTCAATATTCGGTTTCAATATTCGGTTTTCTGGTGGAGCAAACGTCAAGGGCGATTCTACCCCAAACTCGGGAGTGGATTATCAGTGTGTGCTGCAGAGCACCACTTCAAAGCACCCTGATCAACTACTACGAGGTTGTGCTATTATGCTTGGAACTCCGTATACGGGAAACCCCCCTTCATTCCTCAGAGCATTGACCGTTGATTGGACGCCGGCTGCTATTTCCAGTTCCCCATCGGCTGGGACATTGGGACCGCGCATATGAGATGTACGGAGCGCAATAGACCATGTACCCTATACCTTGGTCAGTGCAGGATGAAACAGTGTCTACACTCCATACTCAACAATGTCTACAATACATCAACTTTAGAAGTACATGAACTCCAGCGGAATGACCGGGGGCCACACGTCTTCCCCGGATCTGCGGGGTATCAGCTGGATACACTTGACCACTTTATTGGGCTCCTATGCGGATTGGCTGTTCGCTCGGGATCGTCTGGTTTCCACCGGTATGCAGGAGCTTGTGCCGTCCTTCCAAAGTTTGCTAAAGGTGCAGAGAGGTCATTACGTACCAGCCACCGCTTCAGTGACATGTCTATGAATCATAGTGGATGGGATTCTGTAGTAGCTTTACATGGTACAAGGGTTGGTGAACTGCAACATTTGCACTATTCAACCTGACTCGGTAAGTACGTCTAAAGTTCTAAATCTGGGTAGACCTTCTAAAGTTTAAAAAGAACCCTGGCATGGTCGGATTGGACCAAGATGGTATATATATATGTCTTGACGGTCGGAAGACAACTCCGTCCCAAACCTGGAACTGCCCGAGGTGGCGGGGCATTCATGATCCCTAGAATCAGAAGTCGAGAATGGTACCTGTAGACCGATCGATCACTTAACTGCAAAACATAAAGAGGACCTCGGGACTTCAGGACTTCAGGATGCCATCTACAGCCTGGAGGGCTTAGTTGATGCCCAGTATCATCAGGGCAGATGTGCCAAGTGACGAACGAGGGCAAGTCCGTGCTATCCCAAATTCTAGACATCTTCTGGTCAAGACCGATGCAAAATGAGCCTGGGCAGATGGTAGATTGCCCTGCATCAGTAGATAAGTATCTTAGGATGCATTGTACCAACAGCAGTGCACAGAGTTGAAGTTATTGGAATGAGGCCTCAGATTCAAGGCTTCCAGGCTACAAGGCTCCCAGGCTCCCAGGTGTCAACGGGTCAATCCACATTGCTTTGTAATGTACAATCGAACACCCCAGTTGCCAGATTCATAGTCAAATGGCGATTACCTATAGCCTGAAACAAAGCTCTGAACAGAAAACACGGGTCGACCGTATTCTGCCCCAGAATTTGGAGCCATGACTACCCTGGCACCGGAAGATGAGCCTGCGAGGCGAAGGCGACCGGGCAGAAAGTATACGTCCCGAGCCTGTGAGGCATGCCGACAGCGAAGAGCCAAGGTAACGTGAAACTCCGGAAATTCAGAATTCACAGGCTTGTTGTCTGATACAAGCCCAGTGCGATGGTGCTCGCCCATCTTGCTCCCGGTGCCTAGATCGTGGCGTGCAGTGCCAGTATTCTACAGCAGAGGACGGACGGCAGCCAGCGCCGAGGTCTTATGTAGTCATGCTGCGCACCCGCATCGAGATGTTGGAGCGTGTTCTACATTCCCGGGGTATTGACCCAGATTCCGCCATTCAAGCCATCACAGAAAAAGATGAGCCTGCCAACAAACCCGAGGAAGAATGGGATCCACCCTGTTCAAAGGTTGATGATGATTTTTGTGCCACCTTTGACGGCGCACTGACGTTGGATGAGTCGTTGAATTTTGATCAGGATGGTGAGGCGCGGTATTTCGGACCAACAAGTGGGCGTTTACTGTTTCAATCCTCATCGCAAGGTTAGTGATGCATTGCCCACGCAAGCGCCGAGCTGATGATGGTCAGATGCAGCAAATGAAGGCGTTCATCAGCCAGAGAAGCCCTACACAGGATCATGTGGAATCCAGGCTCATTCATGTCCAGAGTTGCCGGAAGACAGCTTGGTATCAGAGGAACTCAGATCCCACTTGATCGACTTGTATTTTGAGTGGGAACAGCCTTGGTTTCAATTGGTGAATGAAACGTTGTTTCGTGAATCCATGGAAAACGGGGGGAGATATTTCAGCTTTCTTTTATTGAACTCAATCCTCGCCCTAGGGTCACGATACTGCGATCGCCTCGAAGTGAGAACAGACCCCGATGATCCAAACACGGCCGGCAAAATGTTTCTCGAACGGGGTGAAGCCCTCATTCAGAATGAGCTCAGGTGGCCCAACATCACAACAATTCAGTCACTGGCAATCATGGGAATGGCCTACATCGTGAGTCCCTTCAAAACGCACATGCCGGCGCAGCCCGCAAGATACTGATATCTCACAGGCAATAGGCTCCGATGCTGCTGGATGGCTTCACCAAGGCACAGCCAACCGACTCGCTCTAGATATGGGGCTCAATATGGATCCCTCGGTGCTCTCTGGGGCAGTGGCACTTCCCCCAATTGAGATCGAGTTGCGCAGGCAGATCTATTGGGCCCTCTATTGCCACGATAAGTTGTCCGCTAGTTACACCGGCAGGGTATGCACAGTACTGGTATGTTGAACGCCCGGGAAAGTTTCTTCTTCTCCCTCAACTCACGTTGAACTTTCGTGTAGGAATCCCAAGGTGTTGTCAACAAACCACTCCCCCGATGTGCCTCAGATGTACACCTACCCTCGGCGAGCGGAAATGGCGAGTTGAGAGCGGCCTCGCCAAGGGATGTAGTGCAGTTGCACAGGGCGATGATTGACCTATGTCGAATATTCGAAAAGGTTCTTGTCTCACTGTAAGTGCAAATGACCACTCATCGGGATCGAATTGGGGTCACTGACAGAGATGAAACAACCAGCTGGTCACCCAAGCCTCTCCTCCAAGCCAGACAACGCTCTGCATTTTTTGATTCTTGTGTCCTTGAACTGAGGACTTGGTACTATGATCTACCCACAGAGCTGAAAATCGACCGACCAACCGGTCCCTCCAAATTCCCCCACACGTACTCGCTCTGCATGGTTTACCACACTGTGTGCATGTTACTTTGCGTGCCGTTCTTGGGCAACAGATATCAACTACAACGGGCTTTTGCTACCAATGAGGCACAGCAGAGAGAAACCAATGACCACAGTACATCGCAGAATAGCTGCGAACAAAAAGCGCTGACCATTTGCCACAACTCAGCCCGGGCAGTATGTATTGTGGCCCAGAAGTATAGACAGAAATTTGGCACCTTCAGACTCAGTCCGATAACACCAACGCACTGCATTCTATCGGCCGCGTTGATCATCATTGAGAAATGCTATTTTGACCCAAACAGGAGGAGTGGGACGGGCAATCAAAACCCCCGAGGTCCTTTACCCCAGACTGCGGTGGGGCTTTGCCTTCAAGTTTTACGAGAGCTTTCGACGTCTTGGGATATCGCAAAGCGTATAGGACGCAATCTAGAGAGACTCTATTGTCGGCAACTTGACTGCGATGCTGATCATATGCCAGCGGCTCCTTCATTGGAATGCAACCTTCCCTGTGTCAATCCCTCTCAACCAACAGACCTCAACGTCTGTGCAGGGTATCCGACCCCACAGCGTGAACCAAATACGAATCTTTTTGATCCAAGCGATTCGCACTATCAAAATGCTTTACAGACCCCGCCACCAGCCAATATCAATTGGGTTGACATATTCAGCTCGAGAAATATCTACGAAGCCCCGATGAATGACCTTGGCGGGTCCGCGGCTATTCCTAATCCCAGTGAGCTATTTGTCAACAACCTGGGCTTTGCATTCTCGGCCGATTCTCTGCCAAGTGATTATACTATGTATGATACCCTTAATCAGATGTACTCTGAAATTATGTGGTGACAAGACAAATATAATGATATCTCTTCCGTCACTGTTCCTTACCCCCAAGAACATGGATCTGGGAATCCACCCCCGAACATAGTCCCAAGTCACCCACTGCGGCTCGCGGAGACAATATCGAATGCAATCTTCTCTGCTAGCATGTCTGCAGATTCATTAGAAGTGCGTAGTGGGCAAGAGGTCGGGTTCGTACTCACAAACTGTCGATTGGGGATGACCTGGGGGTAGGATGGGAAACGAGCTCGCGTCAACAACACGCAAGCCTGTGACATTGAAGACTCTGGCGCGACTGTCGACAACGGCCATGGCATCGCCCGAAACACCCATCTTGCAGGTGCAAGCTGCGTGATAAATTGTCATTACAGTGCTCTTGATAACAGTCAATATCTCAGTGTCAGTTTGATATCCAAAGCCAGGGAAATATTCTTGCCCTATGATCACAGGCGCCATTGACTGAGTGAGGAACAATCCCCGAGCGCGCCTATAAGCTGCAATTGCAACCCTCTGATCAGTATCCGTTGCTAGCCAATTGGGATTGATCACCGGCGGGTCCGACATGTCGGCTGAACTAATGGTGATGTTTCCCCGCGAGGTTGGAGCCACCAGAGCCGCGGCGATGGTGGCATAATGGCCGCTTTGAGGCTGTTGCGCGTATGGATCTGAAAAGTTTCCCTCATAGGCAGACCCTGCAATATACTGAGAAGGCCTCACGATAAACATTTGGTGTTTGGAGAAACGAAACCTGGGGAATTTGCTTCTTACCTCGACTTCTGGCCAATCGCCTGGAAACCATGCTAGCTCCTGTTCGTTTTCCCGTGTGAACGATGAGCGCGACGCCCTCGGAAGCTTCTCAAAGGCGAGATAGTCCGTTGATGGATTCGTCAGAATCCCGTTTCCCCCGAGAAGCCAGAGTTCCGCCTGGGCAAGAAGGGAGGAAAGGTTACCATCTAACATGCCTAAAGTAGGCACATTCACTCTGTATGAAGGGCCAAAAAAGACGTGATCCCACATATTTTGACCCACGCCAGGCAAATCAGCGATGAGGCTAATCCCGTGTGTTTGAAGGAGTTGAGCCGGACCAAGGCCAGACACCATCAATAGCTGTGGTGATTGAAATGCACCTGCAGCAAGAATGACTTCACGCCTTGCGTAAAGAACAAATTGGTTTCCTTGTTCAACAACCACACCAGTTGCTCGGCGACTTGAATCAAAAACAACTTTTTTCGCCATCGCGAACTGATAGATTGTCCACGAGCCAGACTTGAATCCTGTTTGGAGGAACGCAGACTCGGAGCTGCTCCTCGTTGCATCTGTCTGTTGGATTGTCATTGTGCAATACTGATGGCCCAGGAGAGTACCGCTATTGAAATCCTGCACCTCTGAGATCCCTGCTTCGCTCATGCCTTGTTTCACCCACGTGGAAAACGCAGTCGCATACTTTGGGTACGAGACTTGTACTGGATTTCCATCGTGACTGAAGGCCGAGGCGTTGAAGAGTGGAGTGGCGTTGGCGAAACGAATTCCTACGGGGGTCGAGAATGAGACGGTCTTCTTGAAGTAGGGCAACACGTTCTCGAAGAGATAACTTGAATCATTCACAAGCTGTGCCCAGCGCTCCATTGACTGTGCAGTAGGCCTGTTCAACTTCATGGTTAGTTTTCCGTGGTTCACTGAGCTCACAGTGAGGATTGACCTTTGGTATATCATGAAATTGGATGCAGATCTGGCCAGGGTTAGAAGTCAAGAGTGCTGCAGATCGGAGGTTCACCAGTAACTTACGACCCGCCCAAGCACTTCCCCCTCGGGTAATGGATGTCTCGAAAGTCTGCACCGGGGACCCCATGGGCTACGAAGCCCCAATCGATGGGTGTCGTGGTCCGGACGTCCGCCCCAGCTCCAAGACTGCAAGCTGCTGGGACTCGGGCCAGTGGGTACGTGTACTCATAGTAGCCGCCTGCCTCCACCACCGCCACTTGGTATTGCTGTTCTGCTAGTCGGATCGCAATGGTGAGGCCTGCCGTGCCCCCTCCGACGACAACAAAGTCGAACGTCGCATCTCCGGCGAGACGGCCTATGAATCCACGATGCGTCTGAGCCTCTGACAAGAAAACGAATATTCCCAAAAAGAGCAGAGACACCGAGGTGAGCCCATGTCGAACCAACATTGAGATTGTGGGTGACTGGGTAATGGGCAGATTCTCAGTTTGAGGTTCGGAAGGACCAGTCTGCTCAGGTGCACACCTGCAGTACCTCCCTAACACACATCTATTACGACAGCCAACGGACTAGATACGGGTACAGAGTCAAGTATCCAAGGTGGAAAGGAAGAAGAGCATTGAAAAGAAAAAAAGACAAAGCAAAAAGGAAGCTCTGGGGTCGAACCCCATTTGGGGGGAACCTGTGGCACGAAACAGGTACCCATTGGAATTTACCCTGGGAGTGTGCACTGCCGGGGCCGAACCCTCAGGCCACAGGAAACCCCCTTTGACTACTTTGGCTCTTGATCTTCTACTTATGGGAGCATTTGCAGTGCCTGAGGAAAAACCATTACAATGTACAAGTAGCTGCGAGAGCATTCATGTTGATCTTATCTCCAGAATCTCCATTTCACCGCTCCGTCTTGAACAAAAAGCTCCACTGCCCATGCGGTTGTCTGGATACTGTGACATTGATTGAATTGACAGCTTGAACCCTTCACTGCACTGGTTTGAACTAATGCTTTGAACGGTTTGAAGCTATTGGGAAAGATTCGCTACGGTCACCGACGAACACAAATCTCGGTCGACTATAGTCTGATTTGCCTCATTTCGGACCCCGAATCCGCTCGCCTTTTTTCTCCGCGGCATGACCCTGTCTCGCCACCGATGTGTGACAAAAGGAAACCGAAAACCCGGTAGCTGTTCGAAATTGCATTCAAAGGGTCAATATCTATGCTAGCGAGTCGAACTATCTGGATCTGTCTACGAGACCCTGTGACTTGTGGGACACAACCAAATCAAAAAAATCAACCGTGGCTTAAGTATCCAACGTGCATGAGAGAATGACACGCTCTCATTCTTCCCCCGAACGCCCCGATGGCGATCTACCGACCCTCTCTCAGCACGAAGATAAGAAAAGTTCTCTCCAAAACGGGGAGCATCAAGAAGATCCGTTTGGGGATGAGGAGGACGGCGAAATCAGATATCGGACAATGACATGGTGGCAGTGCAGCATGATAATGATTGCAGAGACCGTCTCCCTTGGGATTCTGTCACTGCCATCTGCCGTTGCGGTGTTAGGTCTGGTACCGTGAGTGACCGATGAAAAAAAACCCCCAACGATAACCAGATATTGATGAAATCGCAGAGCAGTAATTCTCATTGTTGGACTTGGTGTTGTCGCAACTTGGACTGGCTACACCATCGGCCAGTTCAAGCTTCGATATCCGCAAGTGCATAGCATGGCGGATGCTGGAGAAGTGCTTTTTGGGCCCATTGGTTGGGGCAAGTTCGGCCGGGAATTCCTGGGAACAGCGCAGCTGCTCTTCTTAATCTTTGTTATGGGAAGTCATCTCTTGACCTTCACGGTGATGATGGATACAGTAACCGATCACGGCACTTGTTCGATTGTGTTTGGAATTGTCGGCCTGATGGTCTCCTTCACGCTGACCTTACCTCGCACCCTTCGCAAGGTGTCATGGTTTTCTATTGCTGGTAAGTAACATATCATGCCATTTCAGACTAGGTTGTTTGTGCTGACAGACCAGCCTTCATCAGTATCGTCTCGGCACTCCTGATCACTATGATCGCCCTCGCGGTCCAGCGCCCGGGAGATGGTAAGGTTGAGGCAACAACGACAGTCAGTCTCTCCAAGGGATTTTTGGCGGTGACAAATATTGTGTTTGCCTATGGTGTGTCCCCGTATCGTACCCCAACAGAGTGATTCGCTGATCAGCTTGGAAGCGGGTCACGTCGCCTTCTTCGGATTTATATCAGAGATGGAAACTCCAACAGATTATCCGAAGACCTTATACTTGCTTCAAATAACCGACACCAGTATGTATGTAGTGGCAGCTGTTGTGATATACATCTATGGTGGGAAAGGGGTGCACTCCCCGGCATTGAGTTCCACGAAGCCTATCACTGCCAAGATTGCGTATGGGATTGCTATTCCGACAGTGAGTATATTTCCATCGACGAAGAGCGGTTGAGAAAGACCACACCTGACAGATGGTGCAGATTGTTGTGGCTGGGGTCATCAATGGACATGTTGCAGCGAAGTATGTGTATGTCCGCCTGTTTCGGGGTACCGACCATATGCAAAAGCGAACGCTCCTTTCGGTGGGATCCTGGACATCAATAACACTCACACTATGGGTAATAGCATGGATAATATCTGAAGCAGTACCGGTCTTCAACAATCTGTTGAGTCTGATCGTGAGTGGAGTTGGAGCACACACTATGCAATTGCTGACATGGGCCTACTAATAGACCTCTCTCTTTGCAAGTTGGTTTACCTGTGAGTGACTCGAATGCGAAGATGGAAAGGAAATGCTGATACACCGTTGAGATGGCATAAGTGGTATATTTTGGTTATTCCTTAATTGGAAACAATACGGGACATCTGGGCGAAAAATGGGGTTGACTGTCGTTAGCCTGGGGGTCATTGCTATAGGTGCTTGTTTGGTAAGCCCCGTTAACTCTGTCCTATGAGCCCATAGCTAGGCAAGTCATACTAATTATCAACAAGTGTGGCATGGGCCTCTGGGTTTCTGGAAAGGCCATCCACGATGATCAAAGAGGCTCTAGCTTTACCTGTGGCGTCAGGGTTGGCTAAATCTCCAATGTCCTGAGAAACTTACCGACCTACTGCCGACTCCAGTGACGAGGCTCCGATATGCATATTTCGCTGGCCATGAACGCCATAGCTCGAATCCTCTTGGATACCACACTGGAGTAGAGACCGCCAGCACCACCGCTGCTGAAACAAATGCCAATATATCGAACTTGAGACCCACAACCTTTCTTCTCTGCTGCCTAGGGAAAAGTGGATAGATAGTGTTATCTTGTGATGATTCCCTTTTCTTGACCCCAGTCTGGAGGATTTGATTACTTGCTGGGAAGCTTTTGTAGTACTACAGTAGAAGTACATCCCATCGTGCAAGCCCTGAGCCACAACAATGCGATTGTTACTTACTTGGTCTACACGGCACTCTCCATAAATCGAAACAACCTTAGAACCCTAGCCAAGGCTGAAGAATACGTAATAATGTCGTTAGGTCAGACATGCCTTGATAGATCTGTAGATGGACACCGAGACCGGAGATTAGCTCCATGACGCGTTTGGGGATCACCGTTCAAAAGAATTCCGAGAAACGCATCGCTAGTTTCTGATAAGAGGAAGTCAGTTGGTTTTTATTCTGAATTGCATCAGATTGCACTGAGGGTGTTTCTTGCGCGTGCAAACATGCACCCACCAACCATGTCGAATAAACAGACTCAAACTTCACTTTCGGGGACTGACTTCGGATCGGCCGATGATTCAGCCAGCATGAGAACTTTGTTCGAAGATGCAAGGACATACCAATTATCAGCCCCCATGGAGGCGAATGAAAGCCAGGCGAATGAAAGTGTTGACGCAGCCCCTAATGAAAAGGAGGCAGCTATTGTGGACTGGAGTGGCCCCAATGACCCAGTATGAGGCTCGTTCTCACTTGCTCCAAGTCTTCGAATCTCTCCCTGACACAAACCTTGGAATGGCCAGGAAAACCCCCAGAATTTCCCCAGGTGGAGGAAGTGGACGATCACAATCATGCTAGGGCTCATGACAATCTGTGTCACATTCGCCTCTTCAGTCTTCAGCACGGCGACAAAAGTGACAGGCAAGAAGTTTCATGTCTCTTCTGAAGTCATGGTCCTAGCCGTCAGCCTTTTTGTGTTGGGCTTTGCTTTTGGCCCTGTAATATTTGGCCCCTTGTCCGAGCTACATGGGCGGAAGAAACCCCTCTTTGTGGGAATGTTTATCTTTTCCATATTCCATATTCCAGATCCCAGTCGCTGTTGCGCAGAACCTGCAGACCATCTTCATATGTCGATTCTTGGGTGGAGTCTTTGCGAGTGCTCCCCTTGCCATTGTGAGTCAACACTTCTAATTTCTCCATTGATGTGAAATGATTGACCGTGTCATTGGGGTTAGGTCTCTGGTGTATTGGGCGATATGTTTGAGCCGGTGGAACGTGGGATTGCAATGTCCATTTTCGCTAGCGCAACCTTTGTAGGCCCAGTTGCGGGGCCCATTGTCGGTGGATTCGTGGTGATTTCCTTCCTTGGCTGGCGCTGGACAGAGTATATCACGGCAATTTGGGCTTTTGCATTCTCTGCTATCGGCCTTTTTGTCATCCCCGAGACATTTGAGGGGACTATACTCACCCAACGTGCCAAAAGACAACGGGTCGAAACCGGCAATTGGGCTCTCCATGCTAGAGCGGAAGAGAAAGTCGTCAGCCTTCGAGATATCATGACGCGGTATATCCTTCGACCGTTTCAAATGCTAGCGCTGGAGCCGATTTTGCTCCTGGTGACGCTGTATGTTGGGTTCATATATGGGTTTTTGTACATTACCTTCGTGGCCTATCCGATTTCATTCCAGGAGCAACGTGAGTGGGACGAAGGAGTCGGTGCCTTGCCCTTCATCGCCATCATCTGTGGTGTATTTGTTGGGTGTTTGATCATTGTCGCCTTTTCTGTAACCCGCTACCGAGAGATCATTCGCCGCACAGGAATTGTTAGCCCCGAAGAAAGGCTGATCCCGATGGCCATAGGAGGTATCTTCCTACCTATAGGGATGTTTTGGTTTGGATGGACATCAAGCCCGAGTATTTCATGGGTTCCCCAAGTCATCTCGGGGAGCTTTTTGGGGGCAGGGGTCTTGCTTATCTTCTTGCAGGTGTGTTCCTCTCAGATCTGACATTCCCCGTGGCTCCAAGACATATGAGTCCATCAAAGCCTAACGATTTTCTTCAGGGACTCAACTATATCGTTGATGTGTATCCCATGTATACCAACTCCGCGATAGCAGCAAATTCATTGTTTCGCTCTCTGTTGGGAGCCGGGTTCCCATTGTTCGCCTCGGCCATGGTATGGATTGATTCTTATACCTCGTCTCGTCCACAAATCAAACTGACATAAATATGAAAATAGTTTCACAACCTTGGCGTGAATTGGGCAATGACCCTGTTGGGCTGCTTAACTACCCTTCTGTTCCCAGTGCCCATCGTGTTTTTCATATATGGTCCAAAGATCCGGTCCTGGAGTAAGTTCAGCGTGAAGAACGGATGAGTATGCGCGACCCGTGGCCCTGGAGGTTCGGCGACGCATCGATTCGCGTTTGGCCTTCTTGTCAAGCCTGTCCTAATACAAGAGTGAAGCAACTCAGATATGTGCTTCCCGAGGTCGGGCCGGGGATGCAATTCCGTCTGTCATGTACGGAGTACAGGACTTGGCATTGTTTCATGTATCGCTGCATGGTTTCATCCTGCGGACCCTATAATCTTGACATCTGGTCCCGTGTCAGATTTGGAATGCAATTTGTCGATCACTCACAAAGTCCGAAGTCTGGTCATATACGAGGTATGTGAAGGTGAAATGGGGGCACCGAGTCAACGATGCCTTCAACTTCGGAAGTCTGCTGCCCAGGTGGGTCTGTTGCCAAAGCACCAACAGATGCTAAAACATCCTAAAATTGTTGCTTGGCGCGTACTAAAGAGACTCTTGGCCCATCAGGTTATACGGGTCCCATAGCACCCTCCCAACTGTTTACATCAAACAACATTAAGTTTCATAAGCTCCGTTTTGCACGTAGGTTATTGCCCCACAGGAGGATGGGAGTATATAACATATGATTGAAGCGATGATTTGTTTGAATCGTACATCATCATTGAGTTTAGGAATTTGGACAGTATGCGATCTCTCACTTGGTTGATCTCCCTGCCCATTGTGGCCGAAGCGGGTGAAGTATTGTGGAGCGGATTCTTCAATGAAAGCGCAACCGTTGCCGACTTTGACGACTGTAGGTTTATTCTGGAGGTAAATCGAACTCATTCTGACATGTCAGGGTCCTGGTCCAACCAGGTCGGCGACTGGCAGTGGTATATCCATGGCAGTGCAGCCACCGACAAGTATCTCGGGCTTGCTCAGGGGTACAAAAACCCGGCCGATACTAGCGACACACAAGGCATTCGGATCACGATTGTAGGTTTTGTATCCAGCCCCGAAACGCGGCTCTGTCAGTTGACCACCGTTAGGATGGCACATCGTTCTGGAATGGTCAAACGATGGAGCGATCCGAGATTATACCCCAAACCAAGGCAGACCTAGGGAGCGGTCACTTGTTCTATCATTTCTCGCTGAGCACAGAAGAGAAGAACGCCCCCAACCCAGCATTTGAGCACCAGATCGCCTTCTTCGAGGTATGACAAGCCCGCACCCAAGTTGTCCCCACCACACACAGCTGACCGTTATCCCTGGTATAGAGCCATTTCACCGAGCTGAAATACGGTCTTCTGAGTGGAGCGTCTGGCAGTGAAGACAACCAGCTCCGTTGGTGTGTTGACGGGACCTCGCATTGGGCGACCGAGTTGGAAGCTGGGACCTGGTACAACTTTGCCTATGACATCGATTTCGACGCGCAGACGGTGGGCCTCTGGGCCTCCAACGGATCTCACCCTTTGACGCAAGTTGTGTCTAGTGTCAGCGCCTCCACTTCGACCAACTCGGCGGATTGGCACATTGGAGAGTTGCGACTGGATAATGGCGGGTCGGACTCGGCGGCGGAGGATTGGTTTTGGTCTGGCATTTTTGTTGAAAAGGCCCCGATCACGGCTGCTATTGCCGGTCCTAACGCGAAGTGATTCGTTCCAAGACTGGGAGTCAAGCTTCCGTCGTCACTGCCAAATGTTGTTACTGCCAAATCAGGGAGCTGGGTCAAACAATACAAACAACGCGAGAACAAAACAAACAAGACAAACACGGAGCTCCACGTCCCGGTGATATCATACTGCTGTTAGAAACAGGATAAAGCAGGAAGTATAGCAAGTTCATCAAGTCAATTGAGATATTAAATCAAAAGCTAAATCATTTCGGGTCGTTTAAGTGTTTAATTGTACATGAATCCTTTACCGCACGGTGTAACCACCGTCAATGAGCATGTCGTTACCGGTCATGTAAGTGCTGGCATCGCTGACCAGGTAGACGTAGGCACCCTTGAGTTCCTTGGCATCACCGTTGCGACCCATGGGGATCATGGAGTTCCACAGATCTTGCACATCCTGGGCAACAAAGTCGGAAAGACCGGTGTCGATGTAACCGGGGGAGATGCTGTTCACACGAGCAAAGTCGCGCCATTCGTTGGCCAGGGAGCGGGCCATGTGGATAGTACCGGCCTTGGCGACGTTGTAGGAGGTTTGTTCCTGGGGGAAGTTGGCGATGTGGCCGGACATGGAGGCGGTAATGACGAAGCTACCGGTGCCACGCTCCTTGAAGTGGTGGCCGACGGCCTTGGCGCAGTGGAACACGCCGGTCAAATCAGTCTGAATCACTTCTTGCCACGCCTCCACAGAGCCATCGAGAATGCCGCTGTCGGCGGTTCGGCCGGCGTTGGCGATGAAGGCATCAATCTTGCCGAAGTCCTTAATCACGTCGTTGACGAAGCCCGACACGCTGTCCCAGGAGCCGACGTCACACTTGTAGGCCTTGACCTTAACTCCGTACTCTGCGGCGAGCTCCTTTGCGTTCTTCTCACCACCTTCGGGGCGGGAGGCGTAGGTGATGGCCAGGTCGGCACCCATTTCAGCGCAGCCGCGGGCAGCTTCAATACCCATTCCGCGGGCACCGGAAGCTCCAGTGATGACGACAACCTTGCCCTTGAGGCTAAGGAGGTCAATGAGACGGTTGGCCTTGGGTACGGGGATAGGCATGTTGGTAGATGGTAGATGGTAGGTGGTAGGTGGTAGGTAGAGAGTTGTAGAGGAAGTAGAATGAGGTTTGATATGATCTGGATGTTATAACCATGGGTTGCTTTAAATACTTTCTATATGCTTTTCCCCCCTCCAATGACTTCATGAACTTTGGGTTTAGCGCTGACATCAGACAACTCTATACCCGGGCAGGGACCTCCTGCAGCCGGCTTAATCAGGTTGACACCCAGTTTCCCCGTTCCAATGTGTTCCAGGCACCCTGTCCGCTTGGCAAATCCAGGAATTTCCGAATATGACTTCAGTTGGTGGAGAAGCAGAGATGGCGGAGCCGTGACATCATGACTTGAACCGGGAAGCTGTTGGAAGTCGCCTCGTTCAGCTCACCGGCGTTGATTAAACAACAGAACCTCCATTTGATCCTTGATCGTATGTTTTCCTATTCTACCACGAGTGAGACCTCCGTTACTCATGCGAGTCAAGTCCGAGTACTCGCATTCTTTGTGATGTGTTGACCTGTAGCTCGCCCCACTTCGGCCAGCGCATCACGGGTAACTCTATACGGCGGAGTCGACAATACTCTATACCATTGACTCTACTCGTATACCATATTCTGGATTGGGAGTTCCCTGTCTATTACTGTGTAGTTCATCGTCCCATGGTTCTAGTGGCTAGTTAATTGAAGCTTAATATGAACTGGGAAATGGAGGGTTCCAAGGTTGGAACATCAAGTCGTTGACTCAGCACAATGAACAAAAAGCATTCGAAATGTATTGAGGGGTTGGGCTGCTTCATTTCATATTCAAATTTTCAGTATGGAGCATGCAGAAGGAATCCCTGCCACCCAGCCAGTCCGGGAAGGTGGGCCAATACAACGATCCTCAACCGCGAGTACCCTCCACCATAATGAATTTGATGATTCATTTAGATCAAGGTAGAATCTGAACCATGATGAAGTTGAAATGGGAATTCATGAGCTGATAAACGGACAGACTACGATCATTCTTTCATCGAGATAGTCATATCGGTCATGTCGCCCAACATCCGTTGCGGGGGAGCCAAGAGATCGAGATCCATACCTGGACTGGTCCTGACGATCCAGATAACCCGTAAGCCGGCTGATTGACATGTCGATCGGAATGTGCTGACCGATTCAGGTTCAATTGGAGCAAAACATACAAATGGGTCTTGACTTTGACCGTCTGCTTCATGTAGGTGTAGACTCTCTATTCCGCGACACTCTTCTCTGGCATTCGGAAGTTTTCAATTTCTTACGCTTCTTTTGATATTTTCACCAAACAATACTGACAATCAATAGTTCCATTTTAACCGGTCTGCCGGCCGGATCGTATGGCGCAGGAAATGACTACATGGCCAAATTGTTCCATGTTCAGAACGAGCCCTTTCCCAATCTCGCCTGGGCCACAACCTCATGGAATATGGGCGCTGCATTCTGGCCGTTGATTTTTGTCCCACTAACCGAGTCTTCTGGGCGTATGCCTGGCTATTTCGTGGCATATTTCATTCTGGTTGTGTCCCTATTCCCTTCGGCTTTTGCGCAAAACTTTGCGACGCTGGTGGTGACTCGATTCTTTGGTGGTGGTGCTTCCTCGGTTTCAATCAACATTGTGGGCGGTAGTATCAGTGATGTCTGGTATGGAGATAAAGCTCGAAGCTTACCGATGTCGCTGTTTGGCTTCACCAGTGTGGTTGGAATCGCGCTAGGTCCGTTTATTGGAGCGGCCATTCAACAAATTCAGAAGGACAGTCCATGGAGATGGTGAGTTCTCCCCAAAGTGGAGATCAATCAAACAACTTGCTAATATGTCGCCAGGATCTTCTACGTTCAGATCATTTACAACGCTGCTCTGATCCCGGTGTTCTGGCTGATCCTTCGCGAAACTCGTGCAGATGTGATTCTGAAGAAGCGAGCCAAGAAGCTTCGCAAGGAGACTGGCCGTGAAATATATGCAGAAGCTGATTTGAATACCACGAGCGTATGGAAACTGATGCAAGTTTCATTCGAGCGCCCCACGCGCATGTTGATAACAGAACCCGTTGTCATTTTCTTCACATTGTGGGTCAGCTTCGCATGGGGAATTCTTTTCCTTTTCTTCTCGAGTGTGGCACAGACATTCAGTGCCAATTATGGTTGGGGCACATTCCAGACCGGTCTGGTACAATTGGCGATCTCCGTAGGAGCTGTCATTGGTACTGTCTTCAATCCCATCCAGGACTGGATCTATCTCAACTCCGCCAAAAGAAACCGCGAACGTCCAGGAAAGGCCATCCCAGAAGCACGTCTGTACACTTCCATACCAGGTAGCCTCTTATTTGCCGGAGGACTTTTCTGGTACGGTTGGGCCAGTGTCGGGAATGGGTCCGTCCACTGGATTGTGCCGACGCTGGGAATTGGCTGCACTGGAGTGGGTATCTACTCCATTTACATGGCTGTGGTTAATTATCTGACGGACGCATATGAAAAATATGCAGCCTCCGCTTTATCTGCAGCTTCGTTGGGCCGTAACACCTTCGGTGCCTTCCTTCCTCTCGCATCCTTCGAGCTATTCGATACGCTGGGATATGGCTGGGCTGGCTCCTTGCTTGGATTTGTCGGTATTGCCCTCTCGGTGGTGCCCGTGGTACTCGTACTGAAAGGGCCCGAAATTCGCCGTCGCAGTCCATTCATGCGTGAGTCTATGTGGGAACCTGGCGACGACACAGAAAAGGATCAAGTTTCGGACAAGACCGAGGTCTGAAAAAATACCGATTCTTTTGCAATACATGCTCTGACGATAGTATGGGCGCGTACTTCAGTACCTTCGACTGTTCCCGAAGTCACGGGTCAATCCTAAGCTATGCTACATGGTTGGATAAGGTCAATGTAATCACCTATCTATATATGGCTTGCTAATCTTGGAAGCTATTCCACCCTCTTCATTCTCTCGAGGATTCTCAGCGGAAACTTGGGAGATTTTATTCCCGTGGTCACTGCCTGTTCAACTTAGAGGCCTTCTAAGCTCCAGGGTTACACCTGGGCATAGGGAGGCATGAGCATTTACATACGATGGATTTAGCTAGATTTTCCCTTCCGTCTCCAAGGTTCCCCGACCGCGGGAGGGTATTCCTGAAGTCGGTACTACTCGTAGCCTTGGAGGTACTTAAGTAAAAATGGAATTTCTTTCCAACATTAATTTTCGAACCTACTTAAGCACTCATGTTTTAATCAAGTATTTAAGTAGATCATTCGGAGCTTCCAAGGCTAGTACATAAGTACTTTAGTATAGTCACCCCTGGGACGGTGTGTTGATATATATCCATGGATGCAAATGTCGCATATCCTGAAGTCCCAACTTCACAAGCTCGGCACAATTCCTGAAGCTGGCCTGTAACGAGATATTCCTTGAATATTGTGGAGACTTGATACAATAAGTTTAAGTATAACTCTAGAATGAGTCAAATGCAGCGCCAAAACCCGTACTACCGGCCTAGCTGATGAGTGATGCTAAGCCTAGGTACAGTGGCTCGGGCAGTCAGAACGTCAACTGGCCGGTGTGTTCTTTTGCCCGAAGAACATCAACCCTGAACTTCAGAATGTGATGGGCGTGGATCTTGAACAGTATTTGCTGTTCTCTTCCCTAAGACTGCATCTTGCAACTTAATACGGAGTTAAAAAAAAGAGCGTTGACTTGACTTCAGATGTCGGAGTTTCGAAAATCATCGGGACATAAGTACGAAAAGTTGGACCAATAAATCCCACGTTATTGGCAAACGCGTCGAATTCAGTCTCATCTCTTCATTGGATGCATCTGGGCCTGTTTGCATCGAGAACCGGGCGGATGTCCGCGTAGCTTATCCTGTCAGGCTCCCGCCCGACGTTTGAGGTTGAGTATGAACACCCTGTCGGCCTGGCGCAAAAAATGCTCATGTTCGGATGAGAGTTTGTGCACTGAAGTTCAAGGCCACCTTCTCAGGCCACCGTCAACCTGATGTCAACGCGGCGGAGTTGATGAGCTTACTGTATCCTCTAGTGGAAACCACTCCTATCCCCGTCGGCCAAACAATATACTGATAGGCTTCAACTTCGCAAAGTGGAAACCCAAGAGCCATTGTCCGCTGAATCAGCCACCGCACTTCAGTAATTTCATCGGCGACAGACTAGGTGGGCTTCAGGGGGTGAACTTCTCCCAATGAAGTGCTCTGGTGCAATGTTTTTGACTGCGGTGGGCCTTCGGGGCATCTGTTTCCGCTGAATCAGCCACCGCGTTGCAACGTCGTCACGTTTGTCTGCCCCGGAGGATGTTTTCAATGGACTGACGATGATTCGTCAGGGCCGGGTGATCTTTGCTTGAATTGATTAACCTCGTGGGGCCAGGTCTGTCAACACTTGGATTTCGCCAAAGGTTGACGCGGCGCCAAGGATCTTGCCGCTTCTCAACTGTGAGCTACTCGTAGCATTCGAGGCTTAGGCCTTGACAGCTAGGGACACCAAAATTGCCTTTATCCGGAGAATGCCGTACATTGATAGAACGACACGCGGCCAGAGGCGAGTTCAGGGCCCCAGAGAGCTTGATGATGTATAAATACAGGCTGTCCCGATCGTGATCTGGGGATTCCAGACAACTCCGTCAAGCCAGCCTGGGAATTCACGATGGTCCAGCTTGCAAAATACATCGCCATTGCAGCTGCCTGCTTGGCTGCCCCTGCCATCGCCCACCCGGGCGAAAAGCATGACCCCCATGTCCTCAAGCGGGAGATCCACACCCGCGATGCCATGGCGTCTCACGCCAAGCGCTCTCTTGGTGGTTGTGAAAGCAGCCTACATGCGCGAGAGCTGAACAGACGTAGCATCGCGCGTCGCTCACGTACCGTCCAACAGCTTCGTCAGAAGCGTGGCATCACTGCTGGTAAGATGTATCCGATCTCTCCTCTTGGATCCATTGACTGAACCGTGTCCAGCGCCCCAGAAACAGCGTCGTGACCTGGCTGCGCTCAAGAAATGGGAGGCAGTTGACCATAACCGCACCGGGATCCTGGACTACAGCTCTGCCACGCCGGAGTCTGTCATTTTTGCCGCCAATACAAGCTGCATCCTGTCGCCAACGGTCACCGACGGCCCCTATTATGTCTGGGGTGAAGTAGTGCGCCAGAACGTGAAGGAAGACCTATACTCCGATGGTGTGGATGTTTTCCTCGAGGTGCAATACATCGACATCAACACCTGTAAGCCTGTTCCAGGTGCGCTGGTTGATATCTGGCAGGCCAATGCTACTGGTGTATACAGGTATGTGATCGACCACTTATTGCTATCCATCGTTGTTGGTTGAAAACAAGAGCCCCATCTAACCTTGCGACCAACAGCGGAATCTCGGAATCAGGCAACTATGCTGCTGACGGCTGGGATTCTACCTACCTGCGCGGTATCCAACAGACGGATCGCGACGGCGTGGCCACCTTTGAAAGCATTTTCCCTGGCCACTACGAGGGCCGTGCGACACACACTCATCTTCTCACCCACTTGAACGCCACCCTTCTGCCCAACAAGACGCTCGAGGTTGGCACCGGTAGCGTGGCACACATTGGTCAACTCTTCTGGAATGAGGTGCTCCGTTCCGCCGTGGAGGACACTTACCCCTACAACACCAACACCCAGAATGTCACCTCGAACGCGGAGGACATGTGGAGTATCGAACAGGCCGACAGTGCCTATGACCCCTTCCCGGAGTACCTCTACCTCGGAGATGACCTTGACGATGGCTTGTTCGCGTGGATTCAGATTGGAATTAATGCCACAGCTGACTTCACCGACAACTCATACTACAGCATCGCCGCGTATTACGATGAGAATGGTGGCCATGAGAATGAAGATAGCACGTTTGCCGGTGGAAGCGGTGGCGGTGGTGCTCCTAGTGGTTCCGCTCCCAGTGGTACCATGTCAGGCGCCTCGCCTAGTGCCTCTGCGTGAGTGACACGAATCGGAAAGTCCCCCTGACTTCTTTTAGGCGAGGTATCCACTTAAGTTTTGCGGTTGGCTCACTTCACTGGTGGGAAGCTTGTCGGGCGGATAGTGATGTAAGCCATGTTCTGTCACACAGGCACCCCAATCTGGAAGTATCCGAGTCCAGAACAGGGGATATCCATGCCAGAAGTGCAATTCCAGTCTGCATGGGCCAGCGGTTCGTTTGGAGATCCAGCGACCGTCGACTATTGAAAATTGTGTACGAGTACTCGTATATCGGCAAATTGAACAGAGCTTTCAGCAAATATTGAATAATTCCCCTCTCTGGGACTACTCGTATACTCGTGCAGTTCCAGTGCCAATTCTTCAGCCCTCCGTGCTCGTATCACCAACGCTAATCACCATGATCTGCGTCGATCAGAGAAAAATTAAAGCCACTGGATTTTTACTAGTGTGAAGTAGTAGTACCAGATTGGGCCTAATACGTGCACATCAAACACGATCCCTAGGCGCGAAACACCAGAATGTGCCTTAGCGTAGGAATCAGACGCGGGTAATGGTACAAACCCCGCGAAGATCATGGTAGGCAATAATCACAAATAGTTTGCATGGTCCAGCCCCTCGCGCGTATGCACGAAACTCGAGCAGATATCTGGTAGCGGATTGGTTCTAAACCTAATAGGGAAGGTGCATTTTTGGGTCCGCATCTTCATCGATTTCCAGTAAGCATAGAACTCACATCAGCTGTTCATACAAATCCAGTTTCAAGGTCGAGTTTCACTCACGAAACAGAGCCCCTGGAGAAAGCATGTTCAAATGATTGTGAATACGGAGAGAGTATGGAGTAGGGCAGTGTCGCAAGAGCCAGTGGCAATTGTGGGGATCCACGTTGCTGGAAACATGGTTCAGAGCTACGTCACCAATCAGCTTCCTCCCCGGCCTTTAGACTTTTTGGCATAGTTTGGTACCGCGGATGGCTGCCGTTGGAACAGAAAAAGTCAGACTCTGAAGAACTGTTCCGGTACTCCGTACGGGAGTATAGAGTATTGGTACTATTACGAGTCAGTCTTGACCTCGGCAGGACTCCGTAGTCTTGGATCACCAGGTTTGTCACATGCGCTTTACTTTATTGCTTGCGTGGACTAGGCAATAAGTCACTAGTTATTCAGTGAGTGGTACGAGCATGAAGTACTCCGTAAAAAGACTCAGACGGCTCTGAACACTTAAAACTGCCGAGCTGGCTGGTGTTCAGTCATTGAATTGACTTGCCGATCCATCGAGTGATAGACTCCGCACTAAGATCCAAGACCCAATACACCCCCACTATGAATTTCTTACTCGTAGTTGGTACGAATTACTGCAGGGGCTCCTTTTTTTGTGCCTTGCCCAGCCCACTTTCGAGGACTTCGGGGTCTAGAGTTTAACTTTACTGGAAAAATAGCCGGGGATCTTCTGAACAAAACCATGAGGGGGCCCATTGCCTTGCCTGGTTTTTGTTCGGGACCTCACATTACTGCGGATGGGATTCCCACGCCCTCTGCTGAATCATTATGGACGCTCAATTGTCTGAAATCAACCTCGATGACAGCCGGAGTAAGGCTATCCTCATCGTTGCCTCTGTCTTTCTCGGTATCTCCCTGCTCAGCGTGATCCTACGATGTTTCGTGCGCACTCGCATTGTGCGTGCGTTCGGGTGGGATGATGGTGTGATGGTGTTGGCGATGGTAAGTCCGGCATCTGGAGAGTGTTCGCGCAGTACACTAACCCATCCCGACAGGCTCTGAACCTGGCTTTCGGCATCTGCGGAATTGTCGCATGCAAATTTGGATTGGGGAGGACGTTGGCATACTTTGCCATTCCCGGCAACGAAAATGACTTCCACCGCGCAATGATGGTACGTCCTCACGATCAGTTGGAGGTCAATGGGATTCCATATACTGATGTCCTTGCAGTGCTTCTGGATTGCACAGCTGTTCTACGTCCTGACCTGCGTTGCCGCCAAAGTCTCGATCATTATCGCCCTACTCCGTATCACCGTGGATCGCATCCACGCCTACGTTCTCTACGCTGCCATGATCCTGGCCTCCGCCGTGGGCATCATCTTTTTCTTTTTCACCCTCTTCCAATGCACCCCCGTCGACTTCTTCTGGAATCGTGCACAACCGGGCGCCTCTGGCAAGTGCGTCAGTAACAACACCCTCATCGGAATCGCCTACTTGTACAGCATCGGCGCGGCCATTACCGATTTGACGATTGGGCTCCTCCCCGTAGCGCTGATTTGGAACTTGCGCATGAACACTCGCACAAAGTGTGCGATCATCTTAATTCTGGGAATTGGTTGCATGTTCGTGGATTCCTCGGCACCTTGTTTAATTTATCGAGTGGCAAACGCTAACGTCCCGCAGTGCAAGTGCCGCGGTCATTATTCGCATTCCCTTCGTTCACCACTACAAAGACAAAGAATTCTTATGTATGTCTTTTGTTTCCGGCTAAAGAATTCCATCCATGATTAGAATTGACTAACATGTGCAGACAACACCTACCAAATTTCCATCTGGTCCAATGTCGAAGCCGGCCTCGGCATTACCGCCGGGTGTCTGACCACCCTGCGCCCCCTCATTCGATTCCTCCGTGACGGCTCCTCCGCCGGCCCTAGTCGGACACCCCCCTCCTACCCTCTCGCCAGCAATGTCGCAGGCGGATTTAATCGCTCGGCGCGGTCCAAGCACGAGTCGCGCGACGACCAACTATGGACTGGCCGAGAGAGCGATGACTACCACGGTGTCACCACTACTATAATGGGCCGACAAAAGGCGCCCACTAGTTCCGAAGAGGATCTGAATCCGCACCTTGACACGAATACCGACAACGGTTGGAAAGTCGAGAGGTCTGTCCGTGTGTCTGTGCGTAATTCATGATTCTGTTTTCTTTTTTTTACTAGTAATTTCTTGTATAAATATTTTAATGACCCAAAAATGCGACCATGTCCATAACAATTCAGTAATTGGCACTTTGAAACGCGCGCTACTCGTCTTACGGTTTACCTGTGCTAGTCCAAGTATGCAGGGGCATTCGATCAACAAACAGAGGATAAGACGATCATGGTGGGGAATTGTGCCGCTTAAGCGAGATGATCTTGTCACCAATCTTTCCGATCTTGTAAATTCTCCTGCACAGACCTGGGTATTGGGTGCTCTGACTATGGGGTACACATAGAACGGAGAAATGTGCCTGGAGTGCACGAAAACCTTGTACTTTGTCGATGGGCCAATAATTGCAGTAGAACTACAGGAAAAGAAAACAAAACAAAACAAAACAAAACTACTCGTACGAAATACTCGTACAATTGGGTCCGCTACCTGCAGTCCCTATTTTCAGGCCTCACGCTAGTAGCCCTGTGGAAATGACATTGTTAAATCGTTGAATTTTTGAAACTCGAATCTGACTGAAATTATTGTATTTTAACAGTAAGACGATTTCTGAAACTTGCTAAATGCACCGTGCATCACATCATACACAAAGGGTCCCGCCATGGTTTGAACTCGTCTCACTGTTTCGTCTCTGTGATCTCCTCCCTTATCAAACCTTCCTGCGATACAGAGGGGGCCACCGCGTAGGCGTCCACGACAGTTGACGCAAATTTGCGGGCCGGCACCTTGGTCGCGAACAGGATATCGAGCTCCGCATAGGTACGGTCCTTTGCTTCCGGGAGGCGGAAGAACGCCCACAGGAACGCGACAAGACCCGTTGCACCCCAGAAGAAACCCGTTTTGCCGGAGGCATTCCAGGCCGTTGGGTTCATGAAGTAGGGTTGCAGAACTTGGGAGACAACATTGATAATTTGGTATGAGGTTCGCGCTAGGGACACGGTCAGTGGGCGCAGGCGAACCGACGACGTCTCGGAGACAATGGCATAAGTAATAGGCCCGACGGTCAGTGAATAGGTGAAGAGCCAGAAGAAGCAGAGCCCTGCCTGCGCCCACATTGAGCCTTTCGTGTGTGAGGCGGCGTTAAGAATGCCGATCAGGAACAGAGTTGTGCACAGAGTACCCATTCCCGAAACATAGAGGGTCCGACGACCAAAGCCAGTGATCAGGAACCAAGAGAGCAAGGTGCCTACGAAGGCAACGCCCGTGCAGCCAACACCCAGCTGGAAGGAGCGGCTGACTTCCATGCCGGCTTGGGTGAAGAAATATGTTGGCGAGTAAGCGAATGTGCTACCGGACAAGATCTGACCGACGAAAGCCAAGCAGCAGACCTCTGTGCGTCGCAAATCGACACCCTTGAAACAGTCATAGTAGGTCGTACCGGCTTCGATCTCAGCCTCGATTTTGATCGTGTGAACCATCATTGCGAGTTGACCGTTGATCTGGTCTTCCGTCTTGGAGCCGCCGAGTCGGCGGATACTTCGCTTCGCATCCTCGAGACGATCTTTGCGGACGAGCCACCAGGGACTCTCTGGGGCCAGCCAGCAGATGGCCATCAGGGGCACTGGCCAGATCCATTGCAGGGCAAAGGGAATGCGGTATGACCACTGGTCCTTTCGACCAACCAGTCCGTATAGCACGCCCGAGGCGATCAATTGGCCGATGGCCCAGCACATGTTCACATAGATCGTGAGGTAGCCACGCAAATTGGTTGGGCAGACTTCAGAGGCGTATGCTGGGCCAATGGTCGCAAACACTCCCCACGATAATCCGCACAAAACCTGTCCAACTATCAAGACGGTTGCCGAGTTGGCGAAGACGGTGATGAAAATGAAACATGTCAGGAACGCAAGTGCAATCACCATCACACCCCGGTATCCGTACTTAGACGCACAGTAGCCGTTCAAGATGCCGCCTGCGGAATTCAGTCAGCTACATGTCGCCGTAGCGAGACATGCATGTATGGGTGAACGCGTACCGAAGATGCATCCCACTGTACTGGCCATGTTCAAGCCTGTCTGCCAAGGGGCTGAAACCTGCCATCCAATATCCCCGCCATAATCCTGGCCATACTTTTTCTGGAACTCCGGGTAAGCAAAGAAGTTGGCCATGAGGATGGTGTCATATCCTTCCATGACAATCGACAAGGAAACCAAGACAGACCACATCACTGCTTTGCGATTTTCCCGCAAGCACTGCATCAATGTTTGTGAATGTTCATCGTCGGTGGCCTGCTTGGCTTCCAGAATCGCCCCCTGGCCCAAGGTATCCTCGACATGGTGGGCGGCCGTCTTCTCCAGGGCGATGGCGGTATCGGCAGCGGACGCCATTGTCAATGTCCAAATACGGGAAAATGTCGGCCTGCCGAGAAGGTCCTTTGGAGATATATCACCTCGCTATTCGGCCTTCATTGAAGGGGCACGATCACCTCTATATACTGTGACCCCCGACTGACGGGTTGATCCACGTGCATTAGCTCGCATTTGGAGGATCGCGTGGAGAGATCAAGAACACTCTTTCCCGATCAGCCCACGAAGGGAATTCAGGCTAATTGAATACGAAATAGAGTGCAAAGAGACCTAGCAGTGGCGGGACAAGGTGTACAGTAGCTTGTCTAGACCGGGTGCAGGAATGCCAGGGTTAGCAGCCATGAATATTTTGCACCTATCAGAGGCCCAAAGAGAAGTGAGCAGGGTTGAAACGTCAGGAGGCAATCCCCCGCTTAATGATCCGACGATTTAGGGTCTGGGGAAGCGAGGCTGGGGTAAGCGAGGGGGACCGCTGATTGGGGGCATGGACCTCGGAATGAGGACCCGACACTATTCCCTTCGCGAAACGGACCTCCGGAAGAATGTAGAGACCAAAGTAGACAGGTCTTGTATACAAGACTGCATTCTTTGTCGTTATGGATGATCCGGGAGTGTTGACCTTGATCCATCGGGAATTTGAATTCAGTCAACAGCCTAATCTTTGCAATGCTATCACCCGGTACGGTTCTCTTGGCATGCGAAGACAGCAGTCGGTGGCTCGGTGCTTGGCAACACTTGGTGCTGTTGTGAATTTGGACACAGAGCGTGGTCCATTGCAATCCCTGCACCCTAGACGCAGATTGAATGACTATAATTGTCAGCTTAGGCCCCTCGTGTTCTTAATTTGAATGTAAAGGGTAAACCGCCTTGGTGGCTTTCCAATAAAGGTCTATCTGTCTGTTCTCCTGTCCACGGCAAAGGGAGAAGGAATGCTCCGATCGATAGGCGACAAGACCCTTTGACTGAGGCCTAGCGTCGTTCAACACTTACAGGCTCTGGGACCAGACGATGCTGCGGCTCCATCAAGGCATGGAGCAGCTGGTGCCCAGAAGCATTATACCGGAGCAATGCATATCGCTGGCCAACGGCTGAATGATGTGTAGGATGGCGGGAATTCTGACACTGCAGATTGATAAAGGTATATCCGAGGTAAATTACCAATGGGGTGAAGCCAAGGACAGGTAGAAAAGTTCATGATCGTTTGAGCAATGATAGAGAGATACTGCTGGAAAGGCTAACAAAGAATATGGAACGCGACGCCGTCGGGTGGACATGAAAGGGTATAAAACGAGAACGAGCAAATGTCACACCCATGCACAAGAAAATCGGAGAAGCCCGTAAAGCACTCATCCATCGATTTGAATCAAGGTGTGGAACTCGTTGTCCCGGAAGGTGGTCTCCGGAATCATCAATCGTATCACCCAGTATGGCTTGAAGTCCAGGATGCTCACATCCCTCCCGGATGAATGGACTGCCCAGTTGGTCTGGTTTTCCGACCCGAGGAAGAACCCTTCCACGGGTTGCCCCCGTCGATAGTGTCGATATGCCTGCACTGGCTCAGCGTCTCTCCCCCAGACCAGTCGACCTGTGCTCGGGTGGTGGTTGATGCCGACGGCATGCCAGTCCAAGGCGCCGTGGCCCGAGGGAACATAAGCTTCAATCCGGTTTAGGGCGCCGTTGCAGCGGAGTTGCGTTTTGACATTATCGTTGTCGCTGGCAATAGTAATCTGGGTCCCGGTCAGTCCATCTTCCTAAACCATTATAGATCAGGTGTCATACAAATCCATGTTCAATCAGATCACTCTGGTCGCCCCGTTGGCGTGTCACATCAGAGCTAGATCCAAAGCCTTCAATGGTGCATCTGCTATCGCTTGCCGTTCCATTATAGCAGGAGGCAATGCTGACCGTCCAGGGACCAGCAATTTGTGTGTCGTCGTTGTATGCGGGGAGTTGGGAGCAGTCGCCCACAGGCTCGGCAGAGAGCCCTCGCTCGTGGGGTTGTGCGCTCGCCAGCAGCATAAAAGAGGAAATGATCGCACCCAGCAGCATATTGATGAAAGAGTGTACGAAGTACGAAGTACGGAGTAGTTTGGGAGGAGAAGTTTGAGGGGTTCACCAAGGGGGTAGAGAATGTTCTAACGGTGCCATTCAAGCCACTACAATCGAAGGAACACGAAGGATTTCTTGATCAGGGCAAAAATTGCCCATCTGCAAAGGGTTTCAGGGTCCTTAGGCTGCAGCCTACCAAGCAAAAAAAGACCCTGATCAGAACTACTAATGCTCAACTAAACCAACTAAGATCACACTAATGTCGATTAAGGGTTCGGGGGTTCCACTTGGCCCCCCATTTAGCGGCCGAAGTATACGAGACACCGCAGGGGATTGGCCAAGTGTCGGGGGCATCAGGCTTAGCAATGAGACATGTTCTATTCTCCCCACTAAAATTCCTACTTTTTCGGGGTCCATTGCACGCTGCCTACCGGCTAGAAAGGCTTGGTCGGACTCAAATCTATTTTGGTGCCTGCTCAAGTTTGAGCTCGTGATGAATTTGAGGCCTTTGAAAGAAAATTTGAGGATTTGAGGGCAAATGGTGAGTCTAGAGACCCGGTCCCTGGCCCCTAATGGTCCCTAATGGCCCGTAGTTGGTGTTGTTCATTGGAATACTCCGTAGTATTGCCGTATATCCGCATCTTCTCATGTCTCATTGAATATCCCGAAAATAACCTTGGAATTCTTCATATATCTTAGTCATGATGCGCCAAAAGACCCTCCGCCTCCTGGGCATCGTCCGGTCCATGTGACTTAAGGGTCTCCGCCATAGCTAAACCTTCGCGACGACCCTTGTCCGCATTGACGAGCCAGATCAAAGGAATTGGCAGAAGGATGAGAATTGCAATAAAGAAAAAGCCGCTCCGGACTTGACCGGTCGCATCCACCAGAACACCCACAATCGCCGGACCAATGAAGGAGCTTCCTTTGTCAGTCGCAGCGTAGAGGGCGTAAAATGCAGCCTCGTTCCCGGGCGGGATCAGCAAACCAAAGAACGATCGGCAATAAGATGCCAGGCCACCGGACACAACGCCATGTACGATGGCGAGCGGGAAAATCTCCCATGGCTGTTGGAGCCCGATGACCCCCCAGTTCTTGATGAATGGGATGTAGGCCAACAGCCCATAGAGTGGGACAATCTCGAACAGAAAAATGCAGACAATGATGGTGTGGTTTGATTGCAGGCCGAAGTATCGCGATACCCGGGGCCACAAGAACGCACCCGCCATGCCCGACACGGTCGCTGTGATGGAAAGAAGCCCCACGAGTGGCGTGCTCAGCTTGAGCTCCGTGCGCGCGAACAAAATCGCCGTTCCGGAAACGGTAGCGATGGCGTCCGACAGCAAGAACCATGCCACGAGGAAGATGAGAATCTCCCGCAGCTTCATAGCAACTTGAACGGTCTGCCACAAGGACTTCCACGCAAAACCCATCAATCGAAGCCAGGCTCGCCAGCGCGCAGCACCCTGAGTGGATATGTTGTCGAGCGAAGGTCCCGGTCGAGTCTTCAACAAACGACCGGTGACCAGTGTGAATGCACCCCACCAGATGCCTACCAAGAGCAAAACGAAGCGCATGGGAAGCGTAGCAGACACTTTGACAAGAGAGGTTTTGGACAGTGTGATGAGCATAATTATACTGATGATTTGTACAAAAAGTGCCGCACAATACCCAAGACCGATACCCCGCGACGAGATCTTGGTGGACAACTGGAGCTCCGGCGAGGAGGATGGAGGAGTTCGAACTCTCTGGCCCTCTTCCGGCGAGCGGTCGGGTTGGTGCGATGGCTGAAGTCCGTCCAAGCTATCATTATCTTCATCTCCCCACGCATTCCACTCTGACCCTTCATCGTCTCGGTTCAAGTTCGACAACTCTGCACCTTCATTCGCCTTGCCGTCTTGGAGGGAAGGGTCATTGGCGACCAGCACTGGGAGGAACGAATTGAGAACGACGAAAGAGGATCCGAGGCAAGTCACGCCGACAACCACGAGAATCGAACCGAGTATAAAAACGGGCGGGGCGATAAACACAAACAGCATACTCGCAAGGGAGCCGGCAAATCCGAAGGCCATCAGCAAGGTTTTGCGATTGTTCTCTAAAATCACGATCGGAGAACCCTGTCGTTAACACTGCCCTTATTTCTCTCACTGATTGTTTCAGCTCCTCGTTTCTGCAACCATACCGTAGTCTGCAAGCGCGCTGAATGAGATCAACGTCAATGCCTGAATAAGCACCGCGAAAGAGAAAGTATACATGGCGAAACTCGCTGTGTTGATTTCGAGGCCGAAGATAGGGACCACACACTGGCCGTTGGCGGCGTCATCCGTGCTATTGCCTGCCGAGGGTCCGATGCATGGTAGGTGGCTTTTTTGGAGAGTGCCGCGTTCACGCGCTAATTGTTCCAGCGTAAGTGGTAGAAACGAGCCTGCGAAGGAAGCGAATCAGTATGTATTATTGCGTTTGGAGTTTCCATGGGCATGCTCCACGAACCTACGCCGCAGACAGCAAAGACTTCCGCCGCGATGCCATATGAATACCAGCCCAATATCTCCCGGCGACCCGTCGGTGTGGTGTCTTCGCCGGCATAGCGAGGAGGCCGCTGCTGTGCACCTTCGGGGGCCGCTGAAAAGGCGGCCGATATGGAGGACAACATCGAGGGTATGAAGATGCAAAGTGCCCCCAAGGGAGCCCCAGTTGGAATCCAGGAACAGGAATTCCCACGGATGCGGGCGGAAGTGCCCAGCGGGAAACACGGTTATGTCACGATCGGCGAGATCGACGCCCGTTTAGGAATCGCTTGATTTGGTGATCTCCACGCACATATTCATACTTCATCCTTGGACTCTGGAGGGCTTGTACTCAATGGAAGAAACTCAATGCCAGGCTATACTGAACGTGGCTGAATACATTCAGGGCTTGGGGGAAAGGCGATTAAGAGTCATGGGGAAAAGTCAGTGAGACTCCGCTTTTCACCGCTTCGACCTTCCTTCGACTTGACACTTCCTCAACCTGATCGCTTTCAAAGCACATTTGCTAGAAAATGGAATATGGCTTTCCGGCCCCTCTTTCCATCTGCTCGGCGTGATCAATGCCCGAGGTGAAAGTCTCCGTCAGGTCCATGAGGGTCCATCAACGCATGGGCAGCCTGGTGCCATCAACCTTCTTTCTGCTCGGGGACATACTTGATTCGAAATCAAAGACATCCCACAGATCGGATGGTGAGACGGTAATTACATACAAATCTGACTAATCGGGAAGACGTCAGCCTTAAGTCATTCGAGTATATATACTCATCTCGACAGCCGGAAGTGTCATGTCGAACATCACAGTCAATTCATCCATATGTCGCGGTCTGTGTTCCTCCTTGGCCCTGGCTTCATCGGAGGCGAGATCGTCGATCTGCTTCTCACATCCAAATACAATGTTACCACTCTGGTCCGGCGGGAATCAGCCGTGCCGGAATTCGCCCAGTTAGGCGTGAAGACAGTCGTGGGAACACTGGATGATGCATCGCTGATCAAGGATCAAGTGTCCATTAGCGACATTGTATTCCATACCGCAACTGCAGACCACTTGCCATCTGTTGAAGCCATCCTCGAGGGCGTGAAACAACGAACCAAGATGGGGTTGCAAACCATCTACATCCATAATAGCGGAGCAAGTCTGATCGCTGACACGTCTGGGGGAGAATATGAGAGCAATACAGTATTTGACGATGAAAACCCCTCCCGGATCGATTCTCTGCCGGACTCTGCGCCCCATCGTATGATTGATCTCGCCATCGTTCGCGCCCGCCGAGAGCTCGCCGCCCACGCCAAAATGGCCATCATGATCCCACCTGTCATCTACGGCGTACCCACTCGGCAAAGTCGTCTCTCGATCCAGCTTCCCACCCTTGTCCGGTATTCAATCAAACATGGATACGCAGGCCAGATCGGCAAAGGCCTTTCGGTTTGGAACTACATTCACGTGAAAGACCTGGCACGAGGTTACATGGTTTTGCTCCACTGGATGGAGGGTGCACCCCTCGAGGATGTCTTGGAAAATCCATACTTCTTCTGTGAGAACGGAGAACATCTTTCCTGGGGCAAGTGCGCTGCCGAGATCGGTCGGGTTCTGAAAGGAGCAGGAAAGATTGGCCAATGCTCACCAAAATCCATCCCTGAAGAAAACTACGGCGATCTCTTTGGAGGATTCTCTGAGATTGTGGTTGGCTCAAATGCGAAGAATAGAGCTACCCGACTCCGGAAGTTGGGATGGGCACCTCTGGAGAAGGACGCTCTTGCGTCTTTGGTGGAAGATGAGATTCCGATCATCCTTGGAGAAACAGGAGAGTTCAATGGCTATGCTAGTGTTGTTGCGTCGTGAAGTGGAATTGACGATGCCTGAGCTATGTCTGACCTTAGGGATAGAATTGTTTCCCAGCAAAATTATTCGATCCCGTCCAACTCATTACTACAATTATAACGAGCAATTAGACAGATCCACTACAGTGTCAGCCGCAGCTATGTGAAGGACACCTGCATAATAAAATAGCAGTATTTAGAATGGAAGATCAAGAAATCTCCATTGCTCCGGTCATACAGCAGCCAAAGGGCAAAAAATGGGATCCGGTAGCCAAGAGCTCGGGAAGCACAGGGACCTTTGCCAACACGAACGCCTGCTACAACCGTTGCTCATATACCATTTGACGTTTCATACCGGGGATTATCAGGCATTCTGATCGTCTTAAACTTGATTTGACCAAATTGACCATGCCAATACCCCCGCTCACTCGTTCAACAGGCCCGCGAGGAAGTCCTGTGTTTCCCGATTCCGGCCCGGTCCAGGGCAATTTCCAAATCGGCCTGCATTTAGGGTCGACCTCAACATCGTGAGACTTTCCCACTACCTTCTTTACTGGATTCTCTCTTCTTTTCAAAGAACACCTATCCATCTTCTTCACTCCCCGCCATGGCAATTCTGCACTATTTCGAATTTCTCCTAGGCCGTTTACTATACCCTATCCGCGGCCATGATTCACGTCAAATTATCCATTGTCCGGCCTTCAAGGACCTTGCTCAGCCAAACATGACTCTCGAGGCTACCGATATAGGTCCCTCTGGCTCCAAACTTCCTCTCAGTTGTACATGCAAAGCAGAGGATGGCAGAGGGGCCCTGCCTAAGCTGTGTTGGACTGCACCCAACTCCCGCGAAGAAGTCAAGGAATACGTACTACTGTGTGAAGATCTCGACCCACCTATCCCGTTCATCGTCTTCCATCATGGCCTTCTCTGGGCTATTCCCGCCTCAAAAAACAAGGCTGAGCCCAAGGATATTGCACCAGGTGAACACGCCAAGATATCTCGCCAGACCGTCGCTGGCTGGCGCTTCGTTCCTAATGTACGTGGAACGCCATATGTCGGTGCCGGTGCACCACTTGGACATGGCAAGCATCGATATGTGTTCACCATCATTGCCCTGAGCGAGTCGCTGAAGTTCCAAGCCCCGGAAACGGCTAGCAAGAAAGACATCAAACGAGCCATGGAGGGAAAAGTCATTGGTTGGGCCCAGTGGACTGGAGTCTTCGAGAAGCCCTGGCCTCATTAGGCTCCTGGACTTGAATTTGATGTATACAATCTAGATGAGTCCGCCCACCGATGCGTGGCTTGGAGGAAATAGACCTGGTCACTATGATATCTTGGCCACGAATGCTATATGTGCGATTGCCATCATCAGGCTGCCCCGAACCTCTTGGGTATTGGTTTCGAATTCTGCCACTGTCTTGTTTGGTGTATGTTGTGCACCTTTCCATATCGGGCTTGTTGGTCTGTCAGCAGTCCGCATCCAAGACCCCGGCCTAATTCAAAACACACCTCAATTTGTGTCATATCGGACGGATTGGTCACAGAGTGTTTTTTTTCTGGCCAACAACACTCTGGGCAAATAATTGATCATCGATCGTATGCTATGATATCGTCGGCTGGGCTAAATCTGGAATTTTAGGAATTTTCCGGCATCGATTCCAGGACCGGTCGCTAGAACCTTGACACCTGGAAAACCCGCAAAAGCTTATTCGATAGATATTTGGAAGAATACCCCGGATATCAGCCTTGAGACCAAGGCTCAATCATCACCAACTGTCTTATATTTGCAGGTTTCCTTGTCGCTCAGTTCAAACTGACTTCATCGGGGAAGGGTTACCTTTTCTCGGAACCAATAAGAGACAATTACCACATCTTTCGGCAAAATGGAAGAATTCGAGCTCAAGTTTGAGCTGGTGCATTTGCTTAAGCGTTTGGGAAAAAAGCACTTCTCCCTCGACATATTCAAATGTTGAGAAGGAGGGTCACGCAACATTACCAGTCATACCACGCGAGCTAGGCCATCGACTAATGACTATACAGGCGAAAGAACTTCTCCTTCTCTTCGTGTCGGGGCTTTCCATTCAAGGCGAAGATAATGGGATATACCCTGACCTCAGGATTTACCCCTTATGGGGGTACTCGTGGATCGATCTACAATGAAACTTCGGATTCAACACCTTACGAAAATGGCCATCAAACATCACAAATGTCGAATTCAATTAGTCTTCGGGTAAGACTCCAGCTGGCATGTCACCCTGGATGTAACAACAAATTCGGGGAGACTTCAGGACTGACCATTTGTACGAGGCATATGCCGTGAATTGAACGTGACACGGAGTCAACAATCTCGGCATATTTCTGCTATCATACATCAGATCGGTGATTTATTTGAGCTCGTCGTCTTGCTATATAGCTGCTAATATTTTCAACATAGGTTGGTCAGTGGAAATATATCCGCCACATTAGACTGCGGAAGTGGAAGGACAACAATTCCTGCGACTCCAAGATGTCCTCATCATTCATCCTCGTTTTAACTCTAATTACACAGTTCAGCAGGCAGACGGCTAATTTTCGGTAGCTTGGGCAATTGACCGCGGCCATTCATCTATCTCGTCGGCCATCACCAGGAGCCAATGTGAGACTGAGGCTCGTGAGAATCGTTGCAAGTGACGAATGATAACTGACAATAGAGACAGAACTGGTAGTAATTGGAATGCCATTGCCTCCTTCCCTCCTCAGTGCTGAATGGAAACCCCTTTCCACCCAGACAGCGGAGAACGTCGTCTGGGTCTGCGTCTGAAGCAAGGCAGCCTTATCATCCTTGTTTCTCTGTGATTGCGCGCGCCACTCACTGGTCGTTTATCGACAGCAACTACAGCGAGTGGAAATCGAGTCTGCAGACAAATACTCGCGATCAATCTCCTCTGGTGAAGGAGATTGACTGGAACAGGTATCCAGTTGTCCCTGGCGCTCTTCATTGGAGGGCAATTCCATGATGCGCCACGGGTGGTGGATTGTTCCTGAGATATGTCTTGCGTTTGGCGCAAGGCAAAAATGATAAGGTGCATGATCCTCAAAGAGAAGGCCTGGTATAAAGCCTAGCGCAGCTTCATGGAGAGAACTCGGTTCTCCGTCCCCGAACTGGGACGGGGGTTCCTCATCGACCATCAGACCGATCAAGGGGGTACTAGGCACCGTGAATGAGTTAAATTTAAGTTGTGAAAGATGGGAATACTTTTGGAAATCGAATCCCCCTTCCCAGTCCTGCGGCGTCTCGAACGGGCAACGCGTTCCCAGGCTTTGGTCGTTTGTTCCTGGGCCGGCGTGGTTGGCCTCGTCCGCGCTGACAGTCTGCTGGTCTTGGATTCGATCTCCGGACGGAAGTGATTCTGCGCAATTTCGATGGTCATCAGTCCACTCTCGCTTTGACCCATTTGGATATGAATTACACTCACCTTGAACCTCTGAAACGAGAATACCACCTGGCAATTTGAGGTCTGTTTCGCAGTCTGTGACCTCTGTGCCAGAGTCGCCCCTATGCGACTCCCCCTTTTCCTCGGGATTTGACTCGGTCCTTACCTGTTTTCTGGGGAACCTCTGCCTCCTCCCTCCTGTGGACAACCTCGGTACATCCCCGAATGCACCTCTCCTCAACGAACGGCCAACCCCTTCTTTTCCCTCGGTCCTACCCACCTGTAAGCCTGGAGTCGGCCGGCTCTTCTTCTTCGCCGGACGACCCAACGGTTGCGAGATCGAATAGACACACTCAAACCCATGACTCACGCAACGATCGCATGGGTGAGTGTGACTACATCGTATCTTCGCTTGCTGGCAGGCATTACAGGTGGTACGGACCTTCTGGTTAGGAAGTAGTTGGCCATTCAGTTGTGGGGAAATCACAGGTGACGCCCTGATCATGGGCAATAAACCACAAACGACTGATTAAGTCTGATAAATTTGAACTTCGCAAGCTGTGAGTTGGCTAGTCGTCCGAGTCCAGGATACATGACAGCTTTTGTATTCCGATCTCAAGGTGAGTCCTTCACCCATCGAAAGAAATTCACTCTGTCCAACGAGGTATCGCACCACCTTTGATTGCACTCCTACTCTAGGTCGAAAGAACGATGTTCTCTATCCAGATTTCGACGAAGCATCTTTGCTGCATTTGCCAAAATCGATGCGTTACATTCAAAACCACGAACTCTTTGACAAATCTTTGCTTGTCCTACCCCTCCCTTCGATACTTGCAGGTACTGTACTTCTCACCTTGGGGGGGCTTTGGCACCGCCATGGACTATTAACCTTATTCTAGAATGCCGGGTGTCACTTTCTTCAGTTGTGCAACTTGGGACTCTTTTGTCTCTTTTGTATCAGGTACCAAGTGACGCAAGTCCTTTCATCGTATTGTATTTGAATTTCAAGAAGCCGTGATATTAGGCGCGAAGCAGTATAATCAAAGCATTTTCTTCATGTATCGGGACTCATTACAGGCCAGAGCTGACATGAAATCTCACAGTTTGACAAGATTTTCAATTGCGCGTCAAGGGCTTACAACTACAATGGGAAGGAGAGACAAGATGACTTGTGATCCCCGCGAAGCTCGAGCGCAATATTATGATTCACCCACAACAGCGGAATGTGTGTTGAGTACCATTCAACTCTTGTCATAACTCAAAACATCACCAAGCGCGCTGGATGCTTCCAAGGCTCGGTTTGAGAAGTCCAGACAATATGATTACCTGTCATGTTGATTTTGATGAATACTGTAAATACGACCAAATTATTCAGATCATGTTGGTTGTCGGTATTATTACATGCCGCGCTATCATGAACATACTTAAGTATGGAATCTTACGCCATGCATCACGAAGGCTGCTATCCGTGACAGATTAGCCTCTGAGACCTCACAATCACAAAATTTCCATCAATCACCTGCTCAGTCTTCATGTTGTCTTTGGAAGCGAGGCAAATTCCCACATTCGTATATTCCCCAGGAGGCCGGCTTGTTTCAGTGATAACTTGCCAGGTCGCCCCTGAAACAAATCCAGCTCTACTTCCTATTTCAACTCCATGGACATATTAATGTCCCCATAGAGATATCTTCCTCCCAATTCCATCAAAACACATCAAGCAGGAGGTCACACAGGAAGTCCCACGAAGTCACCCCAAAAAGCATGTACATGAGTATGCCAAAATAGTACATGGTCGGTCAATTGAAAGGAAGTGCCCAAGTGGAACCTAAGTGTTTCCAAGTTTGCCAGTTTGATCCAAGAGATCCAGATGAGATTCATCTCTTTTGGCTCTTGATCGCATGGCTCTACCTGGGTGGTGACAGGATGGAGTAAATACTTTCAAGGTTGAGTTTTATTTCGTTCAACAGATTCATCTCATCAAATTTGAAAAGTACCCAAGGCACTTCCTGAAGTCTGAAGTTGAACACCCGTACATGCAAGATTACACCCATGGATGTGTCACTCTAGCCCGAGACCTCGGCAGACAGTGATTTCAGCAGGGTATCATCAAGCATGACACAGAAGCATCGAAGGGAAATCGCATGCCCCAACTCCCATCCCCATACTGAGATCTCTGCTTCGGGCAACTAAACGGTTGCACTCGTGGGACAATCTACAGAACGGAAAGAAGTAGTGGTGGCACTGACAACAGGAGTGGGCTCATCCTCGGCAGGTTGATTGCGCCCGATAAAATAATTCATAGCAATGGGAGGATCCAACCCTGCAACCTGAATAAACTTTGCAACATCAAAGCCAGAGCGGGCGCCAACGGTCTCCGGAAACACGTGTGCAAAGCAATCGGGAAAGAGATATTCGGAAGGTTGCGCAAACAAGAGAAAGACGTAACGATGGTGGGTGTTTGGAGGGGGACGAGGTGCTATGTACGAGGCTTCGAGGGGATACTTGTCCTCGTGGTTTTTGCCAGGAACACGCAATGACGGGTGATGTGGGTTTGTGCAATCCATGAAGAGATGTGCTTGGTACCAATGTAGGATGACGGACTGGACTTTTGTGCCAGGGAAAATGACATCTAGATCGATGAAAAACAAAAGATACTTCCTGTCGCACTGAAGGTTATTGGTACCGATCTCCGGGGTCATGGTGGTATCTAACGAAATGTCAGTGAATTTCTCTGTTAAGAACATCTGAGAATACCCTGTATATCCAGTGACATTCCTGGATTCAGCCATTCGGTTCCGAGATACCGTATATGAAGTTGATCACCCTGCATGTCAGGCCAAATGAGGCTTTGGGCAACAGCCGCGAAAAGGAAATAGAAAATAAATCCTAGTACTGGACCCATAATTTGAAAATGATGTGTTGAGAAAAGTGCTTGATGAGATTGGATTTCAGTCCTGGAGATACACTAAAGATTGAAACAAGGCAATTTGAATGGAGCTTAGGCTTAGGATGTTATATATCGCTCCTTTCAAAGTCTCACGCTTCCTATTCGGGGGCTTGTTGCTGTGCATCAAGGTTGGCCCGCACCTTGCGCCATTGCCAACCCTTGAAATAAACAATAACCAGAAGTGGAATTACCAGGGCCAGAGCACCCGATACCAGGGTGTATGCGAACTGCGTACCAACTCTTTTTATTAGAGGACTGATTGTGGCAGCGGCACTGGCGCCCAAGAAGCATCGGACTAGATTGTTCGCCGCCATTGCGGTAGCCGGCGTGTTGTAGTGAAGATCTACTACAAGAATGTTCATCACATTGTAAGCCGCTGTGATGCAGAAACAGATGATAAAGACCATCAATAACGCTGCAAGAATGGGTGGGTTCTTTGGTATCAGTATCCCGTATATGCAAATTGACACTGATGCAAATATCTAGATTGAGAAATCAGTCAGCTTCACCAGGCCGCAAGTCAATAACCATGCCTGGAAGGAACATACTGCCATTGGTAATCCAATCTGCAGTCTTGCTTGTTCGATGGGCACCCCAATGATGTCTATTTTCTGGTTCTTGTGTATCGTTTGACCGGTGGTACGCCAAACCCGCCGATAATTCCAGTCAACTAATACTCCGTTAACAGTTGCACTGAGGAGGGATCCTAAGCCCGCAGGAATAAAGCACAGTCCAATTCCCATATCATCCAGCCCATAGTGGTGTTTGAACAATGAGGGAATTGCAGCTGTGACGGCGTAGTAGCTGCTGAACAAAACACCGTTTGCCAAAAGCACTAGTCCCACAGGCCGGTGGGAAAGCAAACGCAAAGTTGAGCATGGGTTGGGGATCTGCACGCGACGCCTCGGCACGCTGGAGGGAGGTGGGGGAAATGGCGCAGAGTCCTGCAAGTAATCTCGGAGTGATCGATTCCATCCGACTGGAGGGACCGATCCATTGCCCACGACGCCCCGACAGGTTTCAGGAAAGAAGCATAGCAAGGGCACAAAGAATGTTCCAGCTGCAATTGCAAGAAACCAAAAGATTGCATGCCACCCAAAATACTTACTCAGGACGCCTCCAATAACCGGGCCAAGGGATGGAGCGAGTATGTTTCCCAATGATGTGACCCCCATATACAAGCCCCGTTCGACGGATGTGACAACATCAGCTACCACCGCAGATGAAAGAGCCACAGTCCCACTACTTCCACAGCTTTGAACAGCGCGCAAGATGAGAAGCGCTAAGAAGCTGTGTTGTAGGCCAAGTGCAATGTTGCCGAGTATGTAAATCACAAAGCAAACGATGTATGCAGGTCTCCGACCCGCCTGGTCTGCAAACGACCCTGTCAACATTGGAGCGAGGCCTTGGCATATCTAGAGAGGTGTTATTGGCTATCACAGAGCATCTCAGGGTGGTATATGCACACCATGTAGGTAGTGATTGTCAAATTGATTTTCGAGGTGCTGACTTGTAAATCGGCGGCGATCGAGTTCAGCGCCGGGTAGTAGATATTAGCGGACAAAGGTGAAAAGCTAGATGCCAAAGCTGCAGTAAGGATAATGAGCCGCTTCTGAGAAGGTGTGAACACAGAGTATGGATGGCTGGGAGTGGATTCAGCCAGCAAAGGCGTCGACTCGTTGGGCGCACCGTCCTGGGACAGTGTTGGTTGAAGAGACTCCTGACCAGACATATTCATGGTCGTGTTATTCGTGCTCCAGAGGTATATGGGATCATGAACAAGTCTTCTACATGGAAGATGAAAGTTGAAGAAGCTAATGTTCATGAACCACGTGAGAAATTTATGTCTCCGTTTTCCCCATCCGGTATTCCCTCAATACTCCATAGCCAAAGTAAACGGCAAGCGATTTCAACAGGCACCACTACTACCTAAAGCAAAGCATCGACAATAAAAACGAAGGCATCTAGCTATATCTTGGCCATGGGATTCATCATCGGCTCTGCACAACCTGTATAGAGGTGGGTTGGTCGGAAGAGTTTGCCTCGATTGACTGCAGCTTGTAAGCTAGAAAAACATCAAAACCTCGGAACTCTCTTGTTCCATACCAGTATACTCTCTCCAATGGGCCATAATGCCCATAATGCGATGGACAAGCATAGCTGCTGGAATGATATCCGGCTCAAATCCACTACTGCCCATCAGCGTATCATTCTCAACATGGACACGGGAAAGTGTATTTCCTACATCCCAGTAAACACAAAGTTGCCGTAGAAGTCTGCATTGGGAAACAATCCCCGCTTATGAAAGTATTCATCGTGCTCTGCCACTTCCTCGATTGCCTCGGCAATATTTAGGAGAGGCTGATTAACGTCTCTCAGATCACTGAGAATACTTCGGATAGGATCCACACGCGGGTCCATTGCTTTGTAAGTGCGATGGCCAAAACCGAACAACTTTTCCTTTCCTGCTCTCACGTTGTCCATGAAAGCCGGGACATTTTTCGGGTCGCCAATAGCGGCCAGAGTGCGCTGGGCAGACTCAGTGGCCCCGAAATGCAAGGGTCCATGAGCTGCAGCTACCGCAGCTATCAGACACGACACTGGATCCGTCAGAGAGGATGCTGTCACCAATGCTGTGAAAACACTCAACGCCATCCCATGCTCAGCGTTGAGATTTCCAAAACGACGGAAACAGGACACCCGGACAGGATCTGGGGTTTTACTCGCCTGATCAACTAGACCAGCCATGGTGAACAAATTCTCATAGTAGGATTTATTGAGAGAGGGGGGCCTCCAAGTATTCCCAAGTCGGTGGCTGCGAACAACCCCAAATATCACGGCGTAAGCTGCCACGGTTTGAAGGATCACTTGATCGGCTCGTGCTATATCGGTTCGGTATATCGTCGCCTTGCCATTCGCCGGGATGACATCGGGTAAAATTGCCAGGTAAGCAGACAGCCCTGCAAGGATCAGTGGCAGTGGACTGGTGGTTCGCCTAGATAAATTAATCTCTCAGAAAACCACAACAAGGATATGAGGAAGGAAAAGGAAAAGGAAAAGCAAAATGAAGATGACATGAAGATTAAAAGGTCCTCGCTTGCAGAATCGCCTTACGGAAGATTCATAATGCTCTGATGCACTATTTCGGGAACTTCTTGCATGTACTGCGCCAGCCGCTGGCGGAGCTTTTCGCGCTGAATGTGTGTAGGATACTTCGCCCATAGCAGGAGATAAAACATTTCCTCGAAGTCAGCCCCCCATAGTTGCTCAAGAGTGTACCCACGATATAACAATTGACCCCGCTCATGGTCGCTGAGCCAATGTTAGATGGAACGCCCCCATAGGATGGGCCAGTACACACGAAAAGCTGATGGCCGAGTTGGTCACGGCAGTATTTTGCAAGCCCGGGTCGTGGACACGTAGCCCGCAACTAACTTGGTCTGCACGATCAGATCCCATTGGATTCGACTTGATGCGCTGCAAATCGGTTGCTCGAATTGAGTTTCGCTGGATGGGGATCTCATAGTTCGTGTCGGTGCGCGAATCTCGGATAAATAGCGTGCCAGAGGACATTTTGAAGGCGAGTCAGTGGAACTGCGTCAAGTTCTCGGTAAATTTTGGTATTTCAAGGGGTTGAGATTCCATCTCCATACAAAGTTCCTAACAGAATTCCATGGGGTAAGCTGCCACGGGCTTTGGTAACACCAGAGTGTAGGCTGATTGGCTTTACATGCACGGGCCAGGATTGGAGTATCACTCTAAATCATATTGGACTATCTTGTTCGTAATCACTCATTAATTTTGAAAGCAAAGCCAGCCTTCTGCGCCATCTAGTGCTTTTTACGGCATGTGCTCATGGGGGTTGGCCAAGTGCTCCTGGCAGAAGGGCAGCTTGCTGACGGTCCAGATCTCAGTGTCCTATGCCACGTCAGTTATAGTACTTTCTATGATTTCATCATAGCGACTTACGGGCTTCAGGGTCTTCTTGATCTCAGTATCCAGGGTACCGGCCTTGAGCGCGATGATCTCTGGAGCGGCATCGGGGTCGTGGGCGATCGGCGAGCCACAATCGGAGCAGAAGAGGCGGTGGACAGCTTTGCCAGAAGAGCCGACACCAGACCATTTCTTAACGGGGCCGTTGATAGTCAACTTGTCCTTAAGGACCACAGCGACAAGGGCTATCCAAGTTAGTCATGAGTTATGATCACATCCCACCTTGCGGAGATGACTTGCGGAGATGACTTACAGTAGGTCGAGCCACTCTGGCGTTGGCAATCATCGCAGTGATCGTAGGCAGTAATCAAAGGCTGGTCCATGTCCACGCTGTACGTGACATTCTTGCAGAGGCAGTGTCCGGAAAGAGGCATGTTGATTGTATACTGAGTTGATTCTCACAAGGTACTTGAAAGAAGAATGAGGACCTTAGGGGGAGTCAGAGCTATTTAAAAGGCCAATTCCTCTGTAGGATATGCAATATGCAACCATGAATCTCAAGACCTGATTTGTCTACATACGGACTCCAGCGCTCAGCTCCGGTGAGAGAGAGACCTTTGCGTCATAACTTCGTTTGTTGCTCTCTTCTTCCACTATTTTCTGCGTATTTTCCGTATCCACATTCCCCTCCGAGCCAAAAGGTTACAGACTATTCCAAATCGATTTATTGGAGCTGAGCTGCACGGTCGTGACAAATACCTGCCCCGCCAGGGTGCCCCGCCACACTTGCACTCAGACGCTCCACCAAAATCGAGTGAGATTTCTCGATGTTGCGACGCACAAAGAAAGCCATGCCCAATGGACACCGCAGCTCAACTTTTTCTCGGAGGTACACTCCTGGCGGCTTATCTTTGAGTTCGGGCTCAACTTCCGACGTCCGATTGGAGCACACCGTCCATTCATTCCAAATATCGACCCCCAACGGAGCTTCAATATGGGTTCGCAAGCCCCGAGGTGTGTCGTGGAAGCTCGCACGATAATTAATCTTCCCTTGGAGAAGACCCGGGAGATACTCGATTCGGTCGGTCAGGGAGAAACAAAATGATTCATCCGGGGCATCGGCGGGCGCGGGGCACCGCTCGTAGTGGATCACCAAGGGGTTCTGCTCAATCATGGAGCTATGATCGTGAAGTCGGGCAATGATGGTCTCTTCCGAAACCGAGCCATGAAGCAGCGTAAGGCTTGACAGCTCGCTCTGTCTCTGCATAGTGATGTCAAACCGTCAAACAAAGTACAGTACGTGTGAGTCCGAGTACGAGTAGTAGAGGTACCCCCGCTTTTTTTTTGGAAATTCCCAAAGTTCCAAAGCTCAGGAAATCGTCCCCATTAGCCTTTTTAACGTGAGCCGATCCTCTTGGCGCAATCTCGCGAGGCAGAGTGGGTCAGGGGCCATTTCTCGTGAGGATACAAATCGATTCGTGCGTACGGAGTACAGTTGTAAGGCTTTTGTGGCTATTTTGGTATCACATATGACATCAGTCAGAAAATGGGCTATTCTTGTGGCTGTGCCCGGATGTATTGGGGTGCAATACGAGATACGCTGGACACTCTCTATTCATGGCTATTTTACACTGCAGCAATAGCTACAGACTGCCAAAGCTGCCTCGTCGGGCATTATCGATCTTGTCGGCGGCACTCTGCGGAAACTGTCGGCAATCTTCACCAAAGCGCAAGGGTTCCTTGACTTACCTGCATCTGAGCTGCCGTGCCCCCTCGAGGATTTTGACCGCCATATGCCAAAGCTTCAACGTGTTGCGCATCCCGAGCATCATCTTTAGTGATAAATGCAGGCACCTCGGCTGCTACAGTGAGCCCGAGGGCTTCATTGTTTTCGGCGATTGACCGAACCTGGGCGGACACATAGCCAACTCCAGGCGGTTGATTAAATGCACGACCCTAGGGAAACTTTGCTTAGTGGGGTTGCGATGATCGGCTGTGGTTCAGGAATCACTGACCTCGGTAGCTTGGATCTCCTCTGCGTCTGCAAGCGAGATGGATGTGGATGGTTTTCGGGATATCTCGTCGACCTTGTCCTCAAAATTCATCTGTCGCATTGAAAGACTCTGTGCCGTCGCTTGTGGACACTCAGTTAGGGAAGTGACGCAGAACAGATAATCAGTTCTCACCGGCCGGTCCGCCTCGTGCAGGCCCATGCCCTGTCAACGCACTCTCTGCTTGGGAGATGGCTGAAACGTCATCTTGTGTGATGCGTTGCCCGCTTTCAGCGGCAAGCTGAATCTCAGCGACGGTAGGAATGTCGAAACTCATGATGTGTTCAGCAATTAATCAAGCTATGTCGCTCTGCATTTTCAATCTCATGTTGTTCTATATAGTTGGGCTTCCAGGGCAGTGATGTCACGGTGAAGGCATTCCACCACTTTGCCTTCCAACATCAGTGGTGGTGGCGTCTACTCTCCGCAAACAGAATGGAATGTTCGACTCCTCGGTCGAATCAAATTCGCGGGGGAATGCTCGCTACCCCCAAATTCCGTGATGACCATACGGGCCGACACCCTCCATCACAGCGGGCTCCCATATCCGGAGTTGTTTCACCAGGCCTCAACCATGAATAGCAGGTCTTGTGCAATGTGATCCAGGTTGTCTCCAAAAAGCCAGGTGCAAGTTACTCAGGTCCCTTCAATCATCTTCCGGGAGATTGACAAATACTCTTCCATTCTCTGCATTTGGTTCCATGGGTGAGCCGTTGCATATTGCCCCTGCTAGTACCACCACAGGCCCGCCAAAAGAACAGTATAATACCCAATGGCACGGCTGAACCAACCTCCTTCTTTGCCGCTTTGCCACCAACCACGCTCGAGCCGAACGTCAACTGAATGCCAGCCATTTTGGGAACTGAATAATGCCACGTTGCGTGACATTACACGGCATTCGTCTGTCATGCGCGGGCACGTCTTCATCAAATCCATGGATGAGCTGTTCGAGGAGGGACCCGTGGTACCAAGCTCAAGTCATCATCTATCTTCACGCTGCTAATATCATTCAGGGTCTTTGTGATCCCCTCTCGGCCTCTCTCTGTGTGATGTCCCAACTTTTGGAAGTCACTGCTACTAACTTCGTGTCTTGTTTGATGGTGCGTATTGTCATTCGGGACGAGTGGTAAGTTTGGTTCTGTCAAGTCGACTTTCAGTTAGGTTCTGTGACTCTGGTCATCACGTTAGTTCGATATTTGAATTGAGACAGTATACAATACAGCTCATACAAACTGGTTGAATGGTGCAGAGCGATGCTTGAGCAAGGGCTGTGGAAACCTGGAAATCCAAAACAGACACATCTCACTAGACAAGCTAAAAATGAACTGGCTGTATAATGCAATCCCTTTACCTCTGCAGACCATCTTACAGATATAACGGACCTCGGGGCTACTCGTCTATTCCTGAAGTCCCTTGACACCTCCAACCTTCCTACCAAAATTTGATTTGTCTGACTGACTTGGGCAACTGGTGAGTCGCGACTTCCCAATTGAGAAATGATTAGGTAATCAAGATGGCAGTATTTCAGGCGGTGTATGTGATGAACACCCACGTGATCCACTCTTCCACCCAATCATACGCCCGTAATCATGCCGTTACCGGCATCGAGGCTCACAGCATCTCCCTTATCCTCAAATCAATTGTTCTAGGGGACAAGGAGTAAGGATTTGAGGACCGGTTTCGCTGAACCTTCCAGATGGAATCCCAATATCAGCTCAAACCCCCCGGTACCACGCCGTACGAACCCCACCCTTCTCCCGCTTACAAGACCGGATGATTGCTAAGATGAGATACAGAATACTTCCCAAGAAAGGGAAAAAGGCTTGCACTCAATGTCGACAACAGAAGGTTGTTTCAATGGTTTCTCATTCAACGGCCCTAGCTGACCATGATGCAGTCAAAATGCGACGTTTGGAGAGATGAGACGGTGCCCTGTTCCCGTTGCAAGAAACACGGCTATGAATGCACCATCGATGATGCCTTCACAAGAGAGCATAAACGACGGTGAGTCATGTTGAACTGTTATGAAGTCTAAGCGGGCCGTCTCCCTGACGAATGACTACTCACAGACGACTGAATGAGCTGGAAAAGGAGAAGGAGCAATTGCGCCAACAACTACAGATCTCTCGGCATAGGCCCACGAATCATCCAGCAATTGCTCCTGTACTGCCAGCGGCTAGGATGGGAGTACCAATAGGACCGACTTCCAGGGCTGGGTCCGATGCTTCACAAAGCTTAGCCCCTCGTCCCGATCACCCTCTAGCACTTGCAGATTCGTCAACCAGTGAAATGGCGCAGGGGAATAGTCCGACAAGCTCACGATCCCTCAAGGGCGTGAAAGTGACCGGAGAGGAGATCGACGATATGTATCAAATGTACATGCTTTCCGTGAACATCTCTCCTCATCTTGCGTCTAACCGTCATCAGATTCTTCCGTCACTATGCCTCATTTGTTCCAATTCTCGATCCCCAAGTCAAGCCAGACGTTTACTATGCGCAGTCACCATTCCTTTTTTGGGCCGTTATAGGTGTTTGCAGTCGGTCATATCCCCGCAACCCGACCCTGCAAACGGCATTGGCCCAGGAGATCACAGAAATGGCGTTCTTGTCAGTTCTGTCCACTTGTTCGCCATGGTATACGATTCAAGGCCTGTTGCTATTGTTAACCTGGCCATTCCCGAAAGAAAATCGACCCGATGTCACATTTCCTTTGAGTGGGATGTTGCTACACGTGGCAATGCAGAACGGGTTTCATATTCCCATGTCGAGTCACGAATTCTCCAGAGTGAAGATTCCAGCGCCATCGGAACTAGACATGATTCGTCGGTCAGAACTCTGGGCTCACTGTGTCCTGGTATACCAACGGTGAGCCTCAAATCTCAGCAAGTATGATCATCAATATTCAGTCTTTTTAACACATAATACAGGTCTTGTGCAATAAAGGGCCAATCTCCACGCAATCTGGTTAGTTTAGCGCAGGACCCAATCCAACGCCAGATGCTGTTCAACATAATTGCTCCCGAACTAGCCCAAAAGCTTCGGTGCCAAGAGCTGGTTGGGAGCTGCAGTGAGGCGGTCCTTGAGAACGGGGTGCGTGCCATGTCTTTGGAACAAGAAGTATCCCTGGACGGACTGTTGCGAGTGTATGAAAATCAGGTGGATGAAATTGAGTCGCAGGCGATCGCAGGTTTGTTTTTGGGAAATAGCTCCCTCGAAACTTCACATTGCTAACAGCTTCTCGCCTCGGGTAGATGACGAGAGGTACCATCTTCTTCTTTGCAGGATGGCAATACAGGGGTTTCATTTATACAAAATGCGAACCACAGTCTCCAGTGGGTGTCTGCCACGTCTCATCACAACGGCTTGCAACTTGATCGATTACATTCAGGCAATGGCAGACAAGATGGGGTTCCTTTCTATGTCACCCGTGCAAGTGGGATTTGGCCTACTCCTTGCCTCGATGACACTTTTGCGTATACTCAAAAGCAACATTGACGCGATTTCACTAGATCTCAACCGCGCCCGAGCCTCATTCTTCACAGCCATCAACCTTGCGAAGCAGATGTCCACCGACAGAACGGATACAGCGGCGAAAACAATCACGGTGCTGAACCAACTCTGGAATAGCAGCAAAGCATTTCGCAAGGCCGATGGTTCTGAATATACCGCCCTTCGCATCCGGAGTCGCTTGATCCTAAGTCAGATCTTGGACGCTGTCTGGTGGTGGCGGGATGAGTTTGACCCTCACACTCGTGCCATAGTCCGCGGCAACGAAGCCATGGAAGTCGGCGACATTTCCAGAACTGCTACTCGCTCTGGTGGAAATGCCGGATCTTCCATCGGAGGAAGCGATCCAACCAGGGAGCCTTTGGGCAGCGTATTTTACAACATGGGCCCACCTCCACAGGAGGAATTCATGATGGATGAGGATTTCTTTGCTAAATTCGAATGGGCGATAAGCGAAGAAGAATTTCTCTCGCTGGGCGCTTTTCCTGCGAACTGGGCATCTAGCAACAACATAACTTGAGCACCATTGAACACTAGGCCAGCAGGGTGACCGTGAGTCCCTCGGAAATCCCATTTCCCGGTGATGAGAACCACGTGTGCCGCTAGTGTCAACCCCGTTGAAAGGCCACGACGCTACCCCAGCCTGATGTTTTGCCGACCTTTATCTCGGCAAAAGCAATCTGCACGTCAATCAAGCCCACTTTCTGATAACCATGCTCCGATCTCGCGTGGAGATGTTGAAACAAAGATCTCACCGGCAAATCCGAGGAACCAGCTTTCTCCCCACTGCTCGTTAGCATCAAGATCAGATGCATGGAGGGCGTTGGACGCGCGGCTCGTGGGGTCACTACCGGTCGGTTGACTCCCGGGTTTGACTAGCATCTGCACCTTTCCGGTTTGATCAAGCATCCATGAAACCTGTGAGCCTTGTCCTGCAACGCCCTGGGTAATCGTTCCCGTGGCGAATGAATCACCATGATAGAAATCAACAGCTTGGTGTGGTACACTGGGATTGCTCCGATGGAGGTTGAGTTCGACGAATTGTAACATTTTGGGTTGAAATAATGTCCTTTCTGTGAGTTTTGGTGCTTTTTATCCTCAGTCGGTCGCTTCGTTGTGTGCATTCTTCCCTTGTGGGTAGCCCTAAGCTGTGAATGGCATGTCGAAGCAACTCTATAGAGCATAAATCTCAAAAAGCCTTAAAATCTAACAATACTGATCTACAGCTCCACCCCCTCTCCCGACGCAGCCCTTCCCGTTCCGTCTCCACGGTCAGCTTGGGGTACATTCTGGCCTCGGCAAGAAACATCACATTCCTGAAGTCAAACTTTGTGATTTTCTGAGGTAAGGGGTCAAGTCTGACTCTCGGCACGTATTCCGGCATATCTCCAAACTGTATGCTGTCGGACGAACACCCAATTTTCACTTTTTCTTTGTCGATATCACGCGATACCAGGATAACACGAGGGTCCGTGGAGAACCCCCATTAGCGTGTTCTGATCCCTGCAAGTCCGTAGGGGCTCCGGTCTGAGACACTGACATTTGCCACTAAGATATCGCTTTCGGCTGATATCAACTCGCCACGATGTTCCGCTAGATAAGTTTCCCCGCATTTCTGGGAAACCGTCGGAGCCCCTTTGTCCCTTTGGTGAATATTGAACGCTGGGGGGTATTCACGGTCCCTGATTTGACACGCGCATTCACTTTCGGTGTGTCCAAGCAGGATAGGACTCAATCCGAAAATCTGAAATTATCAAAATCCTGGGTTTGCCGGGGGAGAAGTCCATTCTGGGCACAGTGCTTTTTAGCGCCGGAGATGGTCCAATCGGGCGTCTTATCAGAACCGAAACACAGAGAGCTGATTGGCCGACAACGGACTATATCTGAATGCCCAGGTAAGTAGTTAGCTGCGAGGGGAGTACACGACAATACGCTAAAGTGTGACTAGGTTTGGCCCAAGACTCCAAGACCTCTTGTGTCGGCTTATCATTGACAAGCTCCTAATTACCCGAATTTGCCTTTCTCAACGCCTTAGAAAGCCCGGGCTTGGCCGCTATCCGATATCTGTGTGTGTTACATACACTCCCTGCACATGTCGGGTTAAGGCTATCGGAAAAGTAACCCAAGAAACGCCACTCAGGATGGACCTCGAAAGCCAGCTCGAACTGAGGCCAAAGTGAAATGTAACATTACTGGCATGCGCCAGCATGCGGTGTGATTCGACAGGATCAAGGTGGAGCGATACATATTCCGAAATGAGCGGCATATTGAGGCGCACAGGCGTAGCGTATACATAAACAAGCAAGCGACAGGGCGGACTTCCGTCGGCTTCATGTTGGCTTCGAGCTTTATCTCGCGCCATTCCCCTCTCACTTTTCACCTCCCTCCTCTATATTTTTCCTCCATGCTTCGACTTTCATTCTAAGCCTCACGCCTGCCCTCCTCATTTACCATGGAGAAGGATGAGTCTATCGCCGTCACGACCGGTGCCATGGTCGATGAGACCGCACCGGATGAAACACTCAAGCAACTGCGCAACCTGAAGGAGCATCACCACTGGGACCCTAATCTTCCTGAGGATGTTGTTGAGGAACTTGATGAGGCATTGCATACTTCTGATCAGAAGACCCAGGATGTCATCGCTCACGAATTACTGGATAATTCCCCCTACCCCGAAGTACGATCGGCCGTTTCCAATGTGGATGAAGGGGGTTCCGTTAATACGCTTCGTGCCTGGGTCATCGGGTTACTCTTTGCAACGATCGGCTCGGCCCTCAACATGCTGTTTTCGATGCGCCAGCCCTACATTGTCATCCCATCATACATCGCCCAGGTTGTTGCTTACCCATTTGGTAAGGCTTGGGAGAGGTTTATGCCAGCCAAAACATTCCGCATTTTCGGATGTGAACTCGAACTGAACCCAGGTCCATTCACCAAGAAGGAACATGCCGTCGTGGTCATCATGGCCAACGCCACTTTTGGAGGTGGCGCCGCCTATGCGACTGATGTGCTTCTGGCTCAACGTGCATTCTACAAGCAAAGCTTCGGTTGGGGATTCGAAATTCTGATGTGCATCTCAACCCAGATGCTGGGTTTCGGAATTGCGGGCTTCTTTACTCGCTTCATGGTTCAGCCCGCTGCCATGATTTGGCCCTCGACCCTAATCAACACCGCCCTCTTCACTGCTCTCCACGATCGCTCGCTTCCAGATCCCAGTAAGGTCTCTGGTTGGAAGATTGGCAGATACCGCATGTTTTTGTATGTCATGATTGGCTCTTTCTGCTGGTACTGGGTACCCGGCTTTATCGCACCATTCCTCAGTATTTTCGCCTGGGTTACCTGGATCAAACCGAACAACGTTGTCGTCAACCAACTCTTCGGTGGTGCGACGGGCCTTTCACTAATCCCAATGACATTCGACTGGACCCAAGTTGCTGGATTTAACTTCAGTCCTTTGATCGCACCCTGGTATGCCATCTCCAACACTCTCATTGGCATGGTCATTTTCTTCTGGATCGTTGTGCCTGGCATTCACTACTCCAATATGTTTTACTCGCAATTCCTTCCAATGAGCGATTCCAACAGTTACGCCAACGATGGGCTCAAATACAACGTCTCCAAGATCCTGACTCCAGATTTCACATTCGATGCTGCAAAATACGCAGATTATTCCCCTCTGTTTTTGTCGAGCACATTCATGATTTCCTATGGTCTTTCTTTTGCCAGTATCATCGCCGTGCTTGTTCAGACCGGTCTCTTCAATGGTTCCGATATCTGGGCTCGATTCCGCCGTGTAGGCAGAGAAGAGGAAGATGTTCACGGTCGGCTCATGACCAAGTACAAGACCGTTCCCCTCTGGTGGTATGCTGGCGTCACCCTGGCTATGATGGCCATCGCCTTCGGCGTTGTGTTGGGCTGGCCCACACACATGACCTGGTGGTCTTTCATCATTGCCCTATTGATCGCAGTTGTGTGGTTCGTTCCCATTGGTATTGTCAAGGCTTCCACCAACATTGACATCGGTCTCAATGTCATCACCGAGTTTATTATTGGATACATGCAACCAGGTCGCCCCATGGCTATGATGTTGTTCAAGACCTACGGATACATCACCATGTACCAAGGCATGTACTTCTCCCAGGATTTGAAAATCGGTAAGTCTTTCCCACCATTCCCCTGAGGTTATGCACCGTATTGACCCTTTCACTAGGTCACTATATGAAGGTTCCCCCACGTGTGACTTTCTCCGCGCAAATGGTTGCTTGTCTGTGGTCATCTCTAGTTCAAATCGCCACCATGAACTGGGCTCTTGGTGCTATCAAAGACGTATGCGACCAGAACCAGCCTAACCACTACAGTTGCCCGAACGGTCGTGTTTTCTTCAATGCCTCCGTCATCTGGGGTGTCATTGGTCCTGGACGCATGTTCTCTCCTGGCCAACTGTATTCCCCTCTCATGTGGTTCTTCCTCGCCGGTGCCATTCTTCCCGTCATAATCTGGTTCGCTGCGCGCACCTGGCCCAAGAGTTCGATCAAGTACCTCAGCGCCCCTATCATTTTCGGAGGTGCCGGTCTGATTCCCCCTGCCACTCCCCTCAACTATCTTTCTTGGGGCATTGTCGGTTTCATCTTCAACAAGTGGATCCGTGATCGCTTCCGCGGATGGTGGATGCAGTATAACTACATCGTCTCTGCGGGTCTGGATGTCGGCCTTGCCCTTTGTACAATCTTGATTTTCTTGACACTCAACTTGACCAGCACTGATTTCCCTTCCTGGTGGGGCACGGATATTGCTTCCGGTACTATGGACACCATGGACACTGCTATTCGGCATCCTCTCGCTGAAGGTGAAACCTTCGGGCCTTCCACTTGGTAGTTTATCGCTTACATGGCATGCGAATATCTTTACCTCTCCTCGCTTATGCGTACATAGCTGACATGTACGGTCTGCGCCCCCTTACAAGTCATGAACCCTCACGATATCGTGAGAGCAATGAATTCCTTTCTGTTCAATTGTGTTTAGAAAGTAAACAACGAACACGGTTGATGTACACTATGTTTTGTATACGAGAATTGCCACCCTACTTTTATAGATGCACATTCAACTTTAGAAGTTTCGATCAACCTGCCCGGGTGATCCTCTGGGTTTGCCCTTCATCGAATGTGTCTACAAAAGTATTGGTTCGGTCGGAGATCTGTAGTACTCTTATATTTTATGCATTGATTGTAAAAGTATGAAATTCTTCAAATATTCATTTCAAATGCAAACATCTAAATAATACAGACGCCCATTCAGTTGCTGATAGTCGACGGTCTAATGACCTACTAAAATCAAGTATAATGTGATAAGACAAAAAGGAAATTCATCAGTGGCCGCAGTATCGAATCACCTCCTGGTGATCTGACTACCACGATCGATCTCATCGAATCATGACAGCGCATTGAGATTCAACATGTAACATCCATGGATGTAACCCCAAAGGGTTCAAGATAGTTGCATCCACATCCACCCTAGGTCCAACCTATTTCCAAAGTTCCGAAAAAAACAGTCTAAACTCGGCGACGTCGCATACCAACCTGCAAACCGAGGGGCTTGCGCAGGAAACCCTCACGGGTCTCCATAGGTCCGTCCTGGTGCATCTCAAATTCGAACAGACGGAAGACAGTAGCGGCCATGACGAGGAGCTCCATCTCGGCGACGTTGCGACCGACACAGGCACGGGGACCGTGGCTGAAGGGGATGAAGGCGGCCTTCTGGCGAGCGGTGATACGCTCGGGGGCCCAGCGCTCGGGAACGAACTCCTCTGCATCGGCACCCCAGATTTCCTTGGAGCGGTGAATGGTGTAACTGGGCACGGACAGGACATCGCCAGCCTTGAAAATGTGCCCGCAGATCTCGACGGGAACGGCACCAGCGGGAATCTCACGGGGCAGACCCATGGCGGAGGTACTGTGGATACGCATTGTTTCCCAGATGACCCATTGGAGGCTGCGAGAGATGTCAGTAAAAGCCTTCGAGAGAAAAAGGGTGCAGGGTGAAGCTTACTATGGAATTTCCTTGACCATGGCGTGGGTTGGAACTTCAATATCCTTGGGGAGAGCTTCGTCGAGTGCCTTGTGCAGCTTGGGGAGAACGTGGGGTGTACGCATGCACCAGTACAAAATAGCACAAGCGGTGTTGGAAGTAGTGTCGGAACCAGCGATCAGCTGGGTAAGAGCCTCAGCGGTAAGTTCGGCGCGTTCAAGCTGGTTGCCATTGCCGTCCTTGCCTTCCATCAGACGGGCGAGCAAGTCGACACGGGTGTTGTTGGCCATAACCTCAGGCTTCACACGCTCATTGACACGGGCGATAGCAATACCAGCCAGGTTTTCAACGGCTTGCATACCTTCATAGAAGAAACGGTCGGGGATGTACTTGGCGAAGGGGATCAGAGCCGGCATGCAGCCCAAGGTGGCGGAGACCTCGCCACGACGGTTGAGAACCTCAACGGCAGCGACATACTGAGGGGGGTCCTTGGGGTCCTTGCGCATCTCGGCAATATCCTGGCCCTTGACAAGCATTCCGAATGGGGCACCAAAAGCAAGATCACCAATGATATCGAAAGCCAGGTAGTTGAACCAGTTGAGGGCGTCAAGGCTAACATAACCGGTCTTGGGGTTACCCTGCAGGTCAGAAAGTTTCTGCCACTGCGAGACAAACTCCTCAACGTTGCCGTGAATGTACTGCTCGAACTGGCCAATGGACTTGGCACTGAAGGTATGGGAGACGGTCTTGCGCTTGCGGGAGTGCTCGGCACGGTCACGGGTATTGAACAAGCCACGGCGAATGGAGACGAAAGCATCATAGAAATCACTGGGATTTGGTGAGCCATTATTCCAAAAAGAAAAAGAAAAAGGTACGTGGAGCTCTAGGGGAGCGATACTTACGCTTTCAAGAAGCCGTTACCATGTCCATAGATACTCTGGATAGCAGCATCGTCGGCAACAGAGACCTGAGTGGGCGAAATGCGCACCAGCTTTCCGTATTTCTTGTGGGCTTCATCGACTGACATGTACTTGACACCCCAACGACACTGGAGGAGAAGCCAAAGATTGGTGAACGCAGCAAATCCAGGAGTAGGAATGTCCCGCAGATGCGACCGTTGCAGGTAGGGCACGAGGAAGTAGGCTGCGGCAAGGCCGAGCAGGAGGAAGGGAACGTTTTCGAGGGTCAGAAGCATAGTGGCGAGTATTCTGTGTATTTATAAGAAGACAACAAGATCCTCGAGGAGGTGCGGCAGCGAGCCGTATATAGAAGGGTAAGGTCGATCAAACGGCAGGCTTGAAGATCCTGATCCGGCGGAGAATTTTCAATAAGATCCAAAGGGATGTAAAGGCATGCAAGATGAGAGTGATCACATTCAAATCCCAAAAAAGAGTAGCCGTGATATTTAAGAAACACTCGACTTGGCCGCAAGAGGTATCCCCGAGGCAAAGGGTAGACAGCCGGGAAGCAGTTTCGGTAGTGTGGAGTAGAGACGTTGGCAGCGTGGATCCGTGGAGAGTGCCGTCTCACTGCTCCGAGCCCCCCGGCTTTCGGTTATTCCTCTATGAGCAAATCAGCGTCTTTGAATTATCCATACCCAATGCCGTTCGCCAATCCTCGATGCTTGATTTGCTTGAAAAGTGTGGGGGGCATAAGAACGCCTACACGTGCGGTGCAATGAACGAGGCATGAATCATGACATCGTGTCACGCGCAGCTGGTGGCGTTGATTGCCTGATCCATAAGGCTGCAGTTAATGCCTAATATATCCGGTGTCAGGTGCCGTCATATTTCTGCCTTATCTACAAGGTGTCAGGATTATGTCATTTCAACAACCGTGAATTAAATGGTGTAGGGCTGGATAATAAAAAATGTACATGAAATCCTAACTTGGCTTTTCTACTCTCAATCCACTCCCCCCCTGCCCCCTTGGAATTCTTTAAAAGTCGTGGTGGTGACGAGCCTCGTGGTCGTGGCTCTCGCTCATCAAGCCCTGAGCACCCAAGAAATCATTGATCTGCTTGTAAGCAGCGGTGGAGTTGTAGTGCAGGTTGATGCCGTGTCCAGTGTTGGGTTGAATGTAGGCCGAGAAAGCGCTGGCCTTGGGGAAGACAGCCTTGACACCGGCAGGAATGGAAGCCGAGGAGTCCGTGGTGTAGGAGCAAGCGCCACCACAGAACGCGATATCGTTCTCACCATCGATGACATAGACGGCACCAGTGAATGCACTGGATGTTGGCAGTCCGGTCATGGTCATGAGTTCACCGACAGTCATGGGCTGCTTGTTCTGCTCGGCGTAGGACAGAATCTCCTCATCAAAGTTGCCGGGGTAGAAGAAGAGGAACTTGTTGGTGCCGATGTCGGAGTTGACCAAGTAGCCACTACTGTAGCTGGGACGAGGAGTAGAAGGACATCCAGGAGGGTGGTTGAGCTTGGCCTGTTGGAAGTTGGCGCCGGAGAGGAAGACGGGCATAGAAGCAATGCTGGCGGAGAAACCAGTGAGGACGAGCGCATCCGAAAGGTCCGGGTACATCGCGGACAGGGCAACGGTCTGGGCAGATCCAAAGGAGTGTCCAACGTGGACAATCTTGGAGGGCTTGCTGACACCCTCCACGCTGCCCTCGCGCACCTTGCGGGTCAACTCGGCCAAAGCTTCAATTTCGAGGAACGACTGGATCTCGTTCTTCGCATCGCCGTGGGTGGATTTGCCGATTCCAAGTCGGTCATAAGAGAAGGTGTGGTAACCCCGGGACAAGACGTAGTCCACGTAGGAGTAGTTAAAGTTGTGGTAGGGCAGATCCCAGTATCTGTCGGCCATTAGTACCTTTGCAGCCTTGCAACCACGTCTCGGAGAACTCACGTCTTGTCGAAGCCCATTCCATGGGTCAGGATCTGGAGAGTGTGATCGCCGCTCGCGGAGTTCTTTGGCATGCAGTACTGGGTTGAGATGTTGTAACGACCCCCAACGGTGGCATAGCCAGACAAGGCCTCCTCGGTGATGTTGGTGCCAGTCTTGGTTGAAGCGAGAGCAAATGTGGTAGCGTCCAAGTTGGTCTCAGGAGTCTTTATTTTGTCGAAGACGCCATTGCGAGCTGAAATATCGACCTCCACGGTGGCATTGAAGCAGGTCTTAGCGGTAACGATGCCGGTAGCCAAGGCCCAGAGGCCGATTGTCGAAGTATGCATTGTCAATTGTATGTCTTGGGTATCTCCGCACTCAGCATGGGCCTTTGATGGGAATGAACTTTATATATCAATAGTCTCCATCGGAACCTCCCAGCCAGCAAGCGGACAGATTCATAAAAATTAGCCTGAACGTACTCGTAGTGTAGTATTTGTCAAGGTTCACAAGGACAAGCGTAGTGGAGTCAGGCTAATGCATCGATCGATAGCGCACGCCCAATTCCCCTCCGGAGCTAGCCTCCCGAGGGATCCGCTAGAACGGGTAAGAGGATAAACTGGAGCATACTGAGTGGCATCGGTGGGAGGACTGTAAAGCTCGAGGCCTCGAAACGGTGCAAGTCCAGTTTGTACTGGGTGATCGCAATATCAAAATTCCAGGAACGAACGAATGATCGTGCATAATGCATGGATCTAAAGTGTTCTGTATGCAGTCCTTGCAATCCAAGGTTTCCCGGTTTAACTACTGCATACTGTCGATCAAAATATAACGCTATGGACGAATGATCACTCGCGATCTATGATCATCCTGATCCACTTCGCCCGAGCCCTAAAAATAAGAATCCATCGCACACGGGATACGGATTTTGAATACGTACCGAATTATAATATTCTTCCATACCACGTTGGGATGAGCTCTCAGGGGCGAGATATGAGGTGGCAGGGGTAAGAGAAATTAAGCATTGGATGTCAAGTTTGGGGTGAAACACCTCGTGGCTCCAGACGTCGGCAATTTGGAATAGGATTTGGCAACATGAGACAGATGGGGTCATTGTTCGGTGAGACAGCCGATCGACCCCCTGGCAAGTGCATTTTTAGCGCACGACAATACCGATTAGGCTGTTGAGATATAAAAAATACTAGCGATCTACGGCCAGGATTGTCGGCTAGCAGTAGTTTAAGTCTGTGCCTGAAACGGTCCTAGGCCAAACATATCCCCAGAAAATTTGTCAGTATGCAGGAGAGAGGAGCAAGAAGAGGGTCGACAGGATGATGATTGAAAAGCGAGAGCGAAGGGTCACAGTATTGCAAACCCCGAAATTAATGGCGGCTTTCCCCCCTGAGAAGGATGCGATCGCTGTGGTATTTCAAATGCGAGATGTCGAATAGATCAATGAACGTAGATATCGTATACAACATGGTACAAATCGTAAAGCAGGCCGAGGGGTCACCATCGATCCCCGGTTACAGAAAACAGGCCATTCTTCTTCTTTTCCGCGTCCCACCGCTCCATCCAAACCTTCATCTGGTCTCGGCTCTTCTGGGACCCAACATTGACTGTCGGGATGACCCGCCCAATTCGCAAGGCACAGCAAAACATGGTCAGTTCACGGAATGAACTGTGCTCACTGTAGGGCACACCGTAGCAAGCGCTCTCCTTGGTACTCCCGCGTTGTGGGGTGAGGTCCTGGATCGTGAATGGACTTTTCCAATTTTCGCCATGTAGAACTGTGGACACGGGAGGATTCTGTAAGACCCGTCCCGCGGGCGGGCGATACGTCCAGCCCGTCGGGCGGAATCCGACGACCCTGGAAAAGTGTGGTTTGAGACCATCAAGATACTCAGCAAGTGTGTCGGCCCGTATCTCAAAGAGTGTTTGCATATGTACTTGCGCTTCATATGGATTTGTAGTGAGCATCGCGGTGAGTTCTGGATCCTCCAAACATGCGCAGATTCGCTGCTTCGGTGGAGTAGCAAAAATCTTTGATCCAAGGGCTCTCGCGATGCCCATACATATTCGCTCTTTGCCAATACTGTAAGTGCCAATTACCACCAACAGTCGACCGCCAGTCTGCGGAGCACTATCCGCAGCTTTACTGTCTGGTGTGTTTGTGGAAAGAAACTTGCTCATCAAACCACTCCCACCATTCTTTGCTGTATCAATGCCAATACCAGCCTCCTGGTTGAGGCGCACACAGAGTTCTGCGCTCGCTGCGATGACATCCTCCTGGTACGGAAATCCGTATTTGGGATTCAGATAGGTTGTGTCAAGATAGCATGTGTTGATATGCTGTTGCCTCGGCTTGCCAGTGACAGGATTTGTCACATCGGGGCGGAGAAGTGGGTGTTGCACCTGAGCAGGAGACGCACGGAAGTCACCACAATGAAGTACCCGCTGCTGGCGGACATTGGGTCCAGACCCGGAGCTCTTCTCAAAAAGAAATAGAGAGCTGCCAGGGCAATGATTTGCGTGAAGCATTGTGACTTGTACACCCCCTGTCCCTGGAACCTCGCATGTGGACTCAAAATCGAGATCGACCACCCATTTGGGATCAACCCGAAGCTGTTGACGGACCAGATTGGCGGTGGGCCGACTGCAGTAAATAGGCCCATGGCACCATGACTTGCTTAGCCCAATGTAGTGATCACTATGGAAATGGCTCAGGAAATAGGCGTTGCATCCCTCCACGGCCCCATAACGAAAAGCATCAACACATATTGAAAATCCGGGAAGGATTTTGTAGAATGGACATGTCCGTTGGTACGCTTGTTTACCTCGCGAGGAAACTTCGTTAGCTGCTGCGGTGTTCCAAGCTGTATCCTCTGCATTTCCGGCCATCATTTGGGAAAATGCAGACTTCCCATTTGGTTTCGGTTGCGCATATGGATCGCTTTGCGCAGGTCGAGCGATAGCAGCCCTTTCAGCACGGGTAAGCCCTTTATTGATATCTACAGGCATCGAGCTGGTTGTTGGGATTGGCTTTGACGCTGGTGTTGGTGTTGGTGTTGGTGTTGTCGTGGACATGCTGGGCTTTCCATCCAAACAATCGTTGACGTGGACAGTTGTCTCCTGCGTCGGACGTTAGCTATCAAGCAGACAGTAACAGGATGATGAACGCTTACGGTTTCGTTAAGACCATTTAGCACCTTTTGACAGATAGGACAAGTGCTCACTTCCCCTTCGACAGGCTCCTCTACCCCCGAACAATCGTTGGTGTCTTTATCCAGTTCTATATCCAAATCGATCTGGTCTTGCTCTTCGGCCTCCCAATGCCGGTTTCGAAGCTCCTCCGCTATAAGCTCGTCGTCTTCTTCTATATCGTCAAAATTCGCGTGTTCTTCATAATCGGCATTATTTGTGGCGGCTCTTACCAATGGCGAGGGCGTGGACTCGGGGGAGTGCTTTGTGTCCGCTGTGTGATTTCGCGATGAAGACTCGGCGGTAGTGGCCTTGGTAGTAGCAGGCACAATCTCTTCAGTATCCCGGAAGGCTTTCATATCATCCTCACTGTCTGAATCGTCGATGAAAGGCCCACTCCGGTTCTGCGCCTTCGGAGGCGGGGACGGTTTGGTCGTGATTGGTGTGGCATTTGATTCCTGTGCCTCAACGGGTGATGTGCTCTGTGTATCGATCTTTCGTCGCTTAGCCGCTGATCCGGTTTCAATGTTGCTTTTATCATCCTGCTTCGAGGGATCTTCATCGTCGCCCCAGATATCGGGCGTTGGCGATCGTGTTTTTTTGCTCCCTTCCGTTGTTGCTTGAATCTTTGCCAGTCCCTTTTTATCTTCGAGAAAAAGACCCCCACTCGCATCGCTCGCGGTCAGGTCTCCCCGCTTAATTATTGGAGTGCCTCGGCCACTGCTCGGTGATCGTGAGGCAGGTGTTCCAAATTGAGTGATCCGAGGCTGGCGAGAACTGGCACCTGGTGGCGTGTCTGTCTTTTGAAAAAAGCTCAAGATACTTGTATTTTTCTTGGTAGATGATTGCTTTTGTCCAGAGGACGCTCTAGCCGGTGTGGTCGCTTTTTTCGCGAACGGTCCTGCCATGGCAGGCGAGTCTGGAGAGGGCCTGGGTCGATAGGTCTGGTTCGTCTCGTCAGGAGGGGTGACTGGTGTTGGGGCCGGTAAATTAATCAAAATATGTATCGCCTCGCAGAAGATGGATTGAAGATGCAATGTACAATAGGTGGAGTCAGAAATGTCGGATCTGAAATGTCGAGAGGCGCGAAAACCGGCGCGACACGAAGTCACGTGCTACTTTTACTACATTCGACCAGGCCGTTGCTATAAGATGAACCTTGGGTCATACCGTAGGTGAAGGGAGCAAAAAAAAAAAAAAAAAAAAAAAAACTGATGCTGGTCATTATTGCGAAGGACAAGGTCTAAGCTATCGGCATCATCAATTTGTTCCAAGTGCCCGAGTCATAGATGATAGCCGTTCACTTTGTTGTGAGTGACACGCAGGACTTGGTGGCCACTCTAGATGACGGTCGTGATATGACTGCGTTTGGCATTGGAAGTGTGAGCATTGCGCGCTGCATGGTTGCATCTCCCTACGGCTTGTAATGAGGCTACCGTGGAGAGGCTGCATGAAAAGCCCAATGTTCTTGTTCATATCATATCATATTTTCTGGGACCACCCAGTGGAATCAGCGGTAGTGAAGAGCGCAATGCGTGGTATATCGTAAAATTGAGGTATGAGTCGTTTACCTGGCTTTACCAGCCTGGTTGGCGGCCTCTATATCGGGAACGAATTAGCACCCTGGTTAACACAATTGTACGGTCGGGAATTGATGAAAGTGTCCGGATGGAGTCGGATCATGTTTTCAATGGAAGGTTTCAGGTGAGAAAGACGATGCGCAACTTACCTCGCCGTGTAGCATCCTCCAACAAGCCAACATCCACCTCCGATCGAGGCAGCATGACATACCGCACTACACTGCCTCGGATGAACATATTCTTCACTGATGACAGGTGGGGGTATTTGACGAGGTCCAGAACTTCGATGTCATCGAGCTTGATATTGAGGTATTGGTCGACGGATTTGAGGGTGCCTCGAATGCGAATATCGTTCTTCAGCTCAATGGTGACCGTTTGGTTGGTCAGGGTCTTGAAGAAGCTGCGAGAGCGTCAGCTTGCATTCTTTCCTGTCAATTCAAGAACAGTATCCTACCTGAAGAAAAGCATGGTTGCGTTGGATGAGAGAGCTAGAGCTTTGGAGGGGGAGCGATAGGTGTGATAGCGCAGAAGATGCCGGAGGTGTACGGTCACGTGCACTTGGGTCTCGAAAGCAGTTGGACTTCGTTTTCTGGTGAATTTTCAATGAGAAACAAAAATGAAGAGGATGATGGGTTTAGATAGATTAGAAGGAACTTTAGAAAGAGGCATCTCTTCTGGTTTCATCAATCTTGAAGACTCACACCCTTCAGGGTTCTCTTAAATCTCGTCTTTCATACTCTACCTACAGTCTTTCCGAAGTCGACGCAGATATATATGGTGTCCACCTCCAGATCACTTTAAAACCAACAAACTTCCCCCCTACTTCCAAGGTTGTTTTCCGGAATTCTTGAATTTCAAAAAAAGTGAATTTGAACTACTCTATTTACAGATGCCATTTCAACCGCAGACAATGGAAGTAATTACTCATGGACATCGATGGCTTATTATGCCTTGACCAAGGTCGCGGTGGCATTCGCATGGAAATCGCGGCTGCTGAAGCCAGCCTTGAAGGTAAAAGACCCAGCAGGAATACGCCAGTCCTGGGCAACAACATCCCAGTAGCTGAGGTCTCTGCGCATCAAGTCGAAAGTGACTGTTTTCTCCTCCCCGGCAGTAAGCCAGATCTTGTCGAACCCACGGAGTTGGCTTGGGGGAGTGCCGGCCGGGGTGGAAGCGGGGAACTCAAGGTACAGCTGGGGAACTGCATATCCATCAATATCCCCTGTGTTGGAAACCTTCGCTTCCAGAGTGTACACAGTCTCCCACAGAGCCGGGTTACCACCCGGCTGGGTTGGCTGCTTCGCTGGTAGAGCGGTCAAATTGGATGGCGCAGAGCTCTTGGCCTTGAGGTCTTTGAGACTGAAGGTCGTGTAACTCAAGCCGAAGCCAAACTCATATCGCACAGAGATATTGTGCGCATCAAAGTACCGGTAGCCGACTTCGAGCTCTTCATCGAACCAACTCTGCCAATCAAATGTACCGTTGGTCTCGACACCGGTGGTCAAAGGTGCGTTGTAATCAGATTCATTGTATGCAATCACATAAGGCAGCTTGCCTGATGGGTTCACATCGCCATAGAGAACATCGGCAATAGCATTGCCTGACTCTTCACCGGCGTAATGCTGAGCAAGAATTGCCGTGACGTTGGGGTGATCGGCAAATGGCAAAACATTGACGCCGCCGGAGTTGGTGATAACCACAGTGTTGTTACAGTGGCTAGCAACGGCCTCAACAACGGCATTACCGTCCCAGTCCAGGTCTAGGGAGGTTCTATCCTCACCCTCCGCTGCGAAGGACTTCAAAAAGACAAGACAGACATCGGGCTGCTGGGGAATCCAGAGAGGGGAGGTGAGAGCGGTGGTAGTCAGCAAGGTGTTGTTCAAGTATGACTGAACAAGGGAGCCATCCTTGCGAGCCCTGGCATTGATAGCATCGAGAGGTGTCGACAAAAAGGAGAATCTGCAAGAGCCGGAACCGGAAGATCCTGCCAAGTGTCCATATTCGAAGTCTGCCTGGAGATTGGGTCCTTGAGTGAGGGGACCGGCATCATTACCAGCGATCACGATGTTGCGAGGCTTGCGAAGTGGCAGCGCATTGCGCTCGTTCTTGAGCAACACGGTTGAGGAAGCGCCGTGTTCACGGATCATGGCACTGTGGTTGGCTCGGACATCGCGGCTAGTCTCGCCAGTGAATTGCCAATCGTAAAGCCAAGTGTCAGGAGCCGAGTCCACATTGAGCGGACCAACAGAAGCATCGACACTCGGATAGTTCTTCTCCTGCCCAAGCCAGAAGTATGGTGTCATGATACGCGCGATCATATCATCCAAACGGGTCATCTCGACAGTACCGTTCTTCACAGCTCTGGTCAGGTTCTTTCCTAGATATGAGCCCTCGGTCCAAAGCTCGCCGTACAAGGTAAAACCTCCGGGCATGGTCATATCCATACCACTTTCAACAGACGAAACACCGCTGTGAGTGGCACCCCAATCCGACATAACATAGCCTTGGAACCCAAGTTCACCCTTGAGGAGGTGGTTCAAGAGATAGGAATTTTGGCAAGAGTGCGAGCCGTTCAGACGGTTGTACGAGCACATAGCACTAGCCACATTTGCACGGACGGCATTTGCAAAGGGCCACATATAAATCTCATGCAGTGTGCGATCATTGATATTGGCAGAGACAGAGTCCTGGATATATGTGGTCTCGTTGGCATCTGGAGCATAGGTTGGATTGCGCTGAGTTTCCTGTTCGTTGGCAATAAAGTGCTTTGCGTTCGCCTGAACACCAGCATCCTGCATACCGTTGATGGTCTCCTCCATACAAACACCAGTCAGGTAAGGGTCAGCGGCAAAACCCTCCCAGGTGCGACCATCATAAGGACTGCGGCCTAGAGGTCCTCCGATGGGACCCAAGATGACATGGGTGCCCTTTGCTTTGTGCTCTTCAGCCATTGCATGTGCTCTGTCATACAGCAATTGACGATCCCAGCTTGCAGCAGCAGACACACTGCTGATGAAGACACTGGAATAATCTCCCTGCTGTACACATTGGGGTCCATTTTGGAGACAGAGACCAGTAAAGTTGAGACGAGGGATTGGAAGAACGTTGCCAACGCAAGGGCCGGGCTGGCCTGTTGCCATCCATGACTTCTCTTCAAGTGTAAGCTTATTCACAAATTTCTTTGCTTTCTTAAGTGCCCCCTCCCAGCCACCATTGCCGGTGATGTTCGCTAGTTCGTGTCAGATAATAAAGTCCAAGAGTCGTGATAGGGCACTTACGTGAAGGGAGGACGGCCGGAGAGTCGCCATAGGGAGTGAGAATTGTAGTATTCCGAGGCTGGACATAGCTAAAGGGCTCCCCTGGATGATTTATGGGAGCATGGCAGGTGTCAGCAGCCAGTGACGGAGTAGCCAAGAGTAGCCAAGCTCCCAGGAAAGCTTGTGACAACATGGCGGCGGGTCTTTAGTAAAGCTTAAGACCAAATGGAGCGGAAGAAAAACGCCAATGCGTTGCATGATTTCTCTGAAGACCCTACGCTCTTATATACCGCAATCTGGGTCACTCGTTGAGCATTGTCTGGCCCACCCTGGATGCAACTCTGGTGATCGACTTGGAGAGGCTTCGTTGGATGCAAGGGGCCCACTCATGGGTGTTGAATCAAGACTCGTCTCGAGAAGCTTTGATCTAAGTGGAGAAAGAGCTGTTGTCCGGAGTATCACCGGCATTGCGAGTCGGAGCTTGCATCCGTGGAAATTACCGACTTCTACATAGTTCTGGCACTAACTGTCCAATGAGCTCGATGTCGGTATGCCGAGCAAGAATAACCGTTGATTTTGTTTTGGGCAAGTCTGCATTTGGAGCATACATCAACCCTTGCTGCTGTCTTGATTTCAGTGATATTCACCAACGGGGGGCCTGTGCTGTACGAGTATGCCGGGCCAACATCGGCTAAACCCCCATATCCCCTCACATCCGGGACTCCACGGGGAACCCCACGCGGCATTCTATGACGTCCGATGTTGACCGGCATCCCACGGCTCGGTCATTTGCCGCCAAAAATCGGCAGAAGCCACCAAACAAAGCCAAGTTGGGAATCCCCGTGGCCTCAACCTGGCAATGATCGCCTAGAAGTGGCGCCACTGGTGGGACAGTGAGAATTTTGAATGTTGAACGCCGTTGAGCAGATAACCTCCATTCTCCCCTCACTTTCTCAGGACTTCTGCCAGCCGTGTTGACCGTGAGAATCGGGTATTTACCGAGCTTGAGTTAAGTGCGAAAAGGAAGAAAGCGTGCAGATCGGGGCCGTTTGTCACTTCGAAGGTACGGAGTGAAAGTGAATAACAAGAACTCACCCTCATATTTTCGCTTGTCTCACTCGATGGGCATGCTGACATCTGGACCAACTATTCCAGGGTTATTTCCTTGACTAAACACACCTATCATGTAATGACAACCACAATATGCGTCCAGCCTGGAAGTGAATCAATTCATCTCAGAGATCTCGGCTTTGACCTGGCCTCAGTGTCGTGTGAGGGCCATAGTAGGGAACCCCTATTCTATTACAGTCGGTGTTTTCTTATATCAACAAAAACAACAGAATAACCATATGAGCCTGCATTAACAGGTGATTTCTTCTTCTTTTTTTTCTCTTTTTTTTTTTCTGTTTCGTTTTTTCTTTGCTCCTTTTCAAAAAAATCTGATCGAACCGAGTATTACATTAATTGTCGGCCACCAGGGCCCTAAGAGGATATAATAAGATAGTCTTAGATCGAAGCCAAAGAGCGAACACTTTGACGCTTCGGCTTCATGGCCCATCCAGACAAGCAGGTCCAGCCCGCCCCACTCTTCCTCCCTTCGTCAAACAACGCGCCAACACCCTCCAACAACATTGGCCTCTCTCGCCCCATCTCCATCCTCAGCTTCAGCAACCACTGCTCCCACATCCACCCACCAATCAGACCAGTCATGCTGGCAATATCCGCAGTGCTACCAACTGGTCCTTGGACAGCCTCGTAATCCTCAATCTGGCTCTGCACGCGCGGAGCCGGGGTCTCACGCGGTGGCTCACGCTCAATGGGCTCTGTGCCCATGGGAAGAAACATCCAACCCCGCTGTGTCTCGCCAAAACCAGCATTGCGGAGGCGAGAGAGGAAGCTCTTCGAGGCGACAGGATCATAGCCGCGAGTGCGCAAGCTAAAGGCAAACTCGACAGAGGTCGCGGTGGCGTATGGTCCGGCGCGTGAGATCTCAGCGTCGAGGACTTGGAATTCGAGATAGCCACCTGGCTTAAGGCAACGCATGCATTCTTTAAGAACAAGGTCGTACTCATCGCGGTCCTGACCGACAGGGCGTTCAGTCTTGAGCAAAGCGTGCAGCGAGCGAGCTGAAATGACATCGAATTGATTCTTGCCGAAGGGAAGTTGCCACAGGGTTTCCACGATGACCTGGCGGTGGTTAGGAGGGCCCTTGATGGCACTGTTGACGATTTGACCCTTGGGGGCAACGGTGTAAACCTTCACGTTGGGGAACTCATGAGCCACTTGCCATGCCCAGTCACATGAGGTGTGACCGCCGAGATCCAAGATCCGGAAGCTGCGCTTGTGGGGTCCCTGCGTCAGGCTGGGCTTGCGAGTTGTGCGTGCCAGGATTCGCTGGACAGGACTGGTAAGCAATTTGCCACCGTTGAGAGATCGAAGAGCATCCATGGCCCACATAGGTTGGCACAGCTGGGCCAGGACCAGCTGCTCCTTCTCTAGCTTGGCAAATTGGGCCTTTTCGGCCAACTCTGAAGTGATCATGGAGTTTCGAGGAGCTTTGGCAAATGGTCCCTTGTATGCAGGACGCTCTGGACGAACGAGCTCATACTTGCCAAGCAGGCAGTTGATGTGGAGGTCACTCATACCAAGACGCATAGACTGGATTGCATCAAACCGCATGTTGCGGTGCATGAACCCATCTAACTTGCTTGATTGCTCCCGAAGAGACTGGAAACCCTGCCAGTAGATTGAATCCTTGCTCGCAAGGATTGGGGGCAGAGGGCTAAGAGCCTCGGGAATGCTTTCGGCAAATCGGACCACCTTTTTGGAAGTCTCTGCAGCATCTTGAGTCTCAGACTCGGTCACCTCGGGCTCGAGTGTCTCAACGGGCTCGATGTCATTCACCGGATTGGTCTCGTTAAGTGCCGAGAGGTAAGACGCTTGTGCAGCGAGCCAGACACTGGTGCGGTCATGGCTTGCAACGGCCCGGTGCTGTAGCTCTTGGTCGTAGCACTCGTCGTACTCATAGCCTTTCACAGAGCGAGGGATCTCCTGGACCTGAACAGCATCAAATGCAGCGCTCATCGGGCTGTCTTGATAGATGGACCGACGGGTCGGTGTCTCGCACAAACGAATGGCCGTAAGGGGGCCGGTTTCGTCATGGACAGCGGTAACCGGGTCTTCGTCCACAGGGCGCTGAGGCCATTCGACTACCTGCTCAACGATCTCCCCTTCATCTCGGCGCCATGGCAAGTTGTAGAAGCCTTCTGCAGCTGCGGATGACGGTGGGTGGTTCGCATTTGGGATTGACCAGGTGTGGCGGGTACGGGGAGCAAGCGAAGCAAAGAAGCCACCAGGAGAAGGAATGCTGAGGTCGCTGAAGCTGTAGCCAGACAGCTCCGATGCAGGAGTAACTCCATCAGCACTCTTTGGGCGGCTTGGGGGCGCTTGGAGCTGCCACATCTCGCCGTTCCCCTCTGATGTCTCCGACCATGAGTCGGGGGTTCCATCCAATTGAATATGATGCAACATGGCCAGAGCCGAGTCAGGCAAGTAGACACCCCGATCTACGGGCTCAGGGGCATCGTATAAATCATCGTACTCATGAATTGGCTCATCGCTAAGATGAAGTGAGGGAGAAGGTGAGGGTGAGTAGGCTTGCGCAGCCGTGGGAATTCGAGGAAAGCTTCCCAGAACATGGCGCCAATCCTGCTCTGTGCTCTCGATGGCAATGGGCACGGTTTGGATATCAGAGCTAGCATCCACATTGTCGAGATCACTGTCATTTCCGTCCAGGTTGCCGCGGACATGAATGTCATGCGCATCCCAGTTAGTGTCGGGAAGGGAGTGAGAATCAGGAGTAGCCAGTGCGCTGATGATTGACTCTTGGTCTGACGAGATACTACCATCGAGGGAAGGTGGTGCATATGAAGCAGGTACGATACGGCTGAGCATCGACAAGGCCGCTGGCGAGACTGGGATCTTAGGCGGTGGTGTCGGTGGCACTGGCGAGCTCTTATGGGCTCCTGTCATTGAAGGCCACGTCGTGGGCGATGGGATCTCCAGGGTCAGATATTGCTTCCGGCTCCCCGTCGACGTCACCGAGTTTCTGGTTATTGGTGTCACCAGGCTCGACGGCCGCGTATCGGGGGAAAAGCATGAGTCGCTTATTTCGGTCTCATTGTCATCAATGCTGTCATCGTCGGTGGCATCGTACAAGTCATCGTATCCCTGGTATCCCTGCATCTGTGACTGCCATTCTGTATCTGAACATGATGAAGTGGTACCGGCGGATAATGGAGACATTAGACGGGCGAGACGGGCGTGTGTCGGTACAGACAGACCGCTGGTCTTTAGTTTCAGCTGAGGGCTGAAGGTCGCCGTCCGTTTTGATGGAGGTGAGAGTTTGGGGCTCTGGCTCTGAGCGAACTGAGACTCGCGTGTATCCTCCATTATAGTATTAAGTACCGTCCCCCGGGCCTGCCGAAGGGGCGGACATCTCGCAGTTGAAGATCGAAGTACGTCAGCCATGATCAACTGTTGGGATGTTGGATTTTGTGATTCGTCACGGGGTATCTATGGGTATCTCGAGTCGTAGGAAAAAAAGACGTAGACGCCGCTCAACGGGTCTGGGAAGGGAATGCTTTGCAAGAGACAACACAAGGAAATAGAACCAGCACAGAAGCTACCAGAGCTACGTGCGCCACAAGAGAATGAAGTCAAGGAAATAAAGAACGCTAGTCAAGGAATTGTGGCAGTTGGAAAGGGTTTATAGTCGATTGGGCGCGTTCGACCAGCCCCGGGGGTAAGTGGAATGACTAGCCGATCCCTGTTCACGAACAGTGATTCCGTTGCAGAGGCTACTGCAGCATTGGGCACAACCAAGCCAATCAACCGGGTCGGCAAGACAGCGAGCATCGATCTCATTGGCAGTTGGGACCTGGGCGCGTCGCTGCGCACCAGGGGTTTCACAGTTGAGCGAACAGCCAAGCCCATAATTCGAGCGAGCGTCGAGTTACAACAATCCTAAATACGAAAAGAGACGAATGAGGTTCAAAGAAAGTGTGACGAACCGCCGCAGAGGAGCGATGTGGTGTGAAGGAGTGGGTGATTGGTCGAGCGTAGGCGCCGGGCTGCTATCTTTAGCCAAATTAGCGGCCCTTAGCCTGGGAGTGCAACCCCAAATGCTGCACGAGTCCGCCAAACTGGGCCATGAGACTAAATGCAGGCTCATTAATGACGCATGAAGAAACAGTCGGACACGGCAGCGATCGTCGAATTGTCACCAATATTATCTCAAGTGAGGGGAAATGGTGCATTTAACAAAAAATAACACACTTAGCCTGCAATTATAGAACGGGATAACGCTTTTGGCTCGGACCATGGATGTATAATTGTTCTCCGTAGATGAATTCAGACGTCATATGAGCTCAAGGCCAGCCCTAAAGGCGCGTAGATATCCATGGTCACATTCAAATCCACGCTGGTTCATACGCTGAGTCGCGATCCGCCTTTCCAACACCGCTTGGCATCTCAGACCACTTGTACTTATATTCCCTAACATTTACACCAGTTTTCATCTTTTTTTCCCGTCTTCCCAAGGTTTTCAACCTCTTGGCCAATCCCAAGAGGCAGGATAAAAACACAAGATGGCAAGCAGTACCTGTTTCAACCACGACTCACCAAAGGAAACCCAGAGACACTGAGAAGCATCAATATTCAAAATAAGCGCCCCTAGGGATCACGAGATATTAATTCACTTTCGGTACAGCCCTTTGGAAGAATTGTATCTATGACCGTTCAAGGGTTGCCGACACAATTCCAACCCCAGTCTGAGACTCGATCAGGATCTCCTAGGCGACAGATCCGGTCAGCTTGACAAGAATGGAGATATATCACTCCGTACTAAAATTGCATTGAGTTGATTTGACTCCTTCGCATTTTTTTGACATCATCTAAGCCATTATAGAAGGGGAACGACCATATGCATGTTCAAGAGTATGAACTATGTACGAGTACGATCTTATGCCCCTCATGTATGGAGTATAGGGTACTCCACTATCGAAAAAAGGGCTTGTACCCCATACTTAGTGTAAAAGTAATCCGTGAAATATCTAGAGATGTAGAGATAAATGCCAAGTGAGCCTTGATAGATTCAATTCACCTCATTTTTACTCACACTCCGGACTACTCTACTCGTACTTAAATACAGACGGTGCTCCCGGAGCAGAGTGCCCCGCGGCCAGGTGGCCCGCTTTTCCTGTTCGGTTATGCTGGACGGCTATTGAAAGTCCAGAGCAGATTCATACTCATACTCTGAACAGATAGTACGGAGTACGTTATACGGTGCTCAAGTCCAAGGTTGGTAAATCATACACCATATCACTCGTGTCGATCTACGCTGCATGCATCTAAGTACAGAGTAGTACGGCATCATACTCCATTTGCCAAGACTCAAATCAGAACATCAAGAGTTATGCGCCATAGGCGATACCTGCTCTGGGATCAGAGCTCAGTGAGGTTCGGCATTTGAGGTTTCAGGCCAATGTGAGACCCCTATGCAAGGGCTCGATTTCTGAAGTTCAATGATCTCACCGGGAGAATACTCTACCAGCACTACTACGGATTACTACTATGTCTACGGAGTATTAATACTCGTATACAGTAAACTGACATTAACATATTCACTGCTACGAGCTATAGACCTAGAAATTACAATTTGTTTGGATTTAAAATTTACCATGTAATAGGAGCCGGAGTGAATTGATCAAGATAACCATTCGACTAAGTATGAACTTGTCTTACGGTGAACCCGCGATATCCACCCTTCGCCACTCTGATGTCAACAGCTGTTTCTTCTCTTTTCCTTCATCTCTCTGAACCCCCCTCATTTCAATCACACCATGGCACCCTCTGCGATTATTGCTCCCTCCATTCTCAGCGCCAACTTCGCCAATCTCGGCCATGACTGCTCCAAGAAGATTGAGCAAGGCGCCGACTGGCTCCATGTCGACATCATGGACGGCCACTTCGTGCCCAACATGACCATCGGTTGTCCTGTGGTCTCCCAGATTCGTGGTTGCGTCGACCGTCCCTCCGAGCCTTGCGGCCGCGGAACATTTGATTGCCACATGATGATCATGGAGGTGGGTAATCCGGACGCCGTGTCGCAAACCCCTCCGCTAACAACAGTCGCTTCTCCAGCCCCATAAATGGGTTCGTGAGTTCAAGAACGCCGGTTGCGATTTATACTGCTTCCACTACGAGGCTGCGGTCTCCTCCGTGGCCGCGACCGAACCTGCCGATAAGGAAACCACTGCTCGCACAAGCCCCAAGCAATTGATTAAATATATCCACGAGGAGGGTATGCAGGCTGGCATTGCGATCAAGCCCGATACCCCCGTGGATGTGCTGTGGGACATTGTTGAGAGCGAAGACCCCGCGGAGCGGCCAGACGTGAGTGCTACCCCCACTTCCGCGCTCTCCCACTGTTATCGCCATGTCGCACCCTTCTCAAGCACAAAGTACTGATTGGAATCTTGCAGATGGTCCTGGTCATGACCGTACACCCCGGATTTGGAGGCCAGAAGTTCATGGCCTCCGAACTCCCCAAGGTTGCCGCCCTCCGCGAACGCTACCCCGATCTGAACATTGAAGTCGACGGAGGTCTCGGCCTCGGCACAATCGACCAAGCTGCCGATGCGGGCGCGAACGTAATTGTCGCCGGATCTGCGGTCTTTGGAGCCCAGGATCCCGCCGACGTGATCGCAAAGCTGCGCGAGGCAGTCCAGAAGCGTCGCACTGCAGAGTCCTTGTAAAAAGGGCCCATAACAAAAAAATATGGGGGGTTCCGGTGTCTTTGATCTTGGCCTCGTTTTGAGGGAATATTTATTTACTGTTCATCCTTGATTACGAGTTATGAATAGCATTTACATGTGGCGTACTGTCCACGATTGGAGTTTGATGCTAAACTACATTATTTGAAGTTCAAAGGCAATATGTAAGAAGCATACATTGGTTATACAGGTTTGGTAATCATAGAATTCGTAAAATGCATCTCCCAGCCTATTCCGGCTTAGGGATCTGCGCCTGAAGAGGCTCTGTGTTTTCCTTGTCATCCTTCGCGCCTGTGGCCTTTGGTGAGCTAGCTTCGACTGCCTCTTGGGCCTTCTTAATCTCTTCCTGGGCCTCCCGGGGCTCCTGGACTGCCTTCGCAATGATCTCCGCAATAGCCTGACCCTTGGGCTCATTGGGTTCCATAAGCCCTTCCTTGCTCTCGGTCACGACCGCATCATCAACAAGCGGGGTCGGTACCTCGTCAATAGGCGATCCAGCCTGGGCCTTCTGGGCGGCTTCCTTGCGAATAGCATCAAGGTTGCCAGTGGAATCTTGAGAGATAGATTTCCTCAACTCGTGTACAACCTCATCCTGCTCCGCATTCGCAAGAGTCGGCACCCGGGACCCGCGGTGATGTCCAACCAATCCGAGCATCTCAGCGTTATCCACGTGGAAATTTGCAGATGACATGGCCGCATTCTCAGGTACCAAAACAGGGCGCTTGGCAGCCTTGGGTGAATCAGGTGTGGTGTCTGGCAATTCGCAAGCGACCGAGCCACGGTGTGCACGGCTGGCCAGAGGCACCTCCTTGGACTCCTCCTTTGCGGGCTCCTTCTTATCGTCTGTCTTGGCCTTCGCCTTAGAGGCAGCCTCAGTACTAGCTTGGCGCAAGGCCAACACCGTCATCTCATCCTTCTTATCGTCATCCTTGGTTACGGGCGGGGTTTGGATCTTGATTGTAGAGGGCTTGGGGGTGGTCGTTTTGGTCTCGGTCGTGGTTTCGGTGGCGGGGAGAGGGTTGCTTGTGGCCGGCATGCCACCCATGTCTTGAACGGCGTTTATCACCATTCGTAGTTCGCCGAACTCATTCCATTCTTCAATTTCTTCTAGATCCTGTAGCGAAGATTAGCGATGCCGTTCAGAGACACAGCCTGCGTTGTGCGGGGAGATCTAGATGAACAGGGGTTGAGACGCACGCCAACGATATCGCCGTATTTAACCAGGCCAGGAAGCTTCTTGCCTCTGGAGCGACGACCCCAGAGCTTTCGGGCAGCTTCATCAGTGGCGACATCAATGGCGCGGAAGGGGAGCTTGTTGGCTTTGAGGATGGTTTCAATTCGAGCGGTGGCAGTGACAATGTGCGATGATCCTGCCGTAAGGGAGGTGTACAGATAGAGCGTAGAGTCCGGCATGGTGGGGTTCAATTCCTTGAGCGACGTGAAGCTTGGAAATAAATTTAGGGGAAAGCGAAATTCCCCTGTGACATTTATGACGTGGCTTGAATCACGTGGAGGATGATCTTGAGTCTATTCAGTTCGCAACCCTACCTTTGACGTCTTCAACAATGTCCTATGTCTCTACAATCTATGGATTACTTACACAAGCCACTCTATCTTCTTTGCTGGTTGTGACATACTTTGTCCATTCATTTGCCTCCCATTGACCGCATCTTTGGTTGATATCTCACAGCTACCCGACGGGTGTGGCAACTTGACGTCAACCCGACCCAAATCTAGTTGCTTGAGGATTCCAGGTTTTAGAGATCAACGGGCCATATCTCTGCTTTAGAGCCTGATTTCTGCTGGCACCAAAAAAATTATTTCAGGTGAAGTCGTATTGTCTCTCAGGTGAGCAACCTTGGAACTGAACTTTCATATATGCATGTGGTGCAGATTCTATAGATCGTATTCCAAATATATTGACACAGATTACTCCGTGCACACACTAAGTGTTGGCCCGTCAATTATTCGCCCCTCAAGACTGGAAATCAATACCCCCCTGAACAGAGACGGCAATTTCCATTTCCATGTGCAGGTCTGGAGACCAAGACCCCAGGAGTACTCCGTATTCCGTACCCAGGCGGAATCTTGGGCCCTACTGGACAAGGCAGATTCCAAGCTTGAGTTGTCTCATCACGGCCTTTCAAGGTTCCTGATGTCTACCAATAGACATGTCTCGCCCCAGACGTATGGAGTACAGCTATCGCTTAGAGCCGAAACCCATGGGGATTTTGTCTTAAGACGCCTTAAAGCAATTGCATGGGCCACTCCAGCGCTATGATCCGCGCATGATTGTGGGGATAGATTAGAAAAGTGTTATATACCCTGCTCAGGTGAGAGAGGGATGACCACAGAGCCTCAAATTATAGCTAAGTAGACAAGGGGCAGAGTGGCAAAGGATGCACAGCCTGATCAGGATGGAAAAAGGAGGGTATAATAGCGAGATGCCATGACAAGGAGCCCTGGACCATTGGCCTTCAGGGCCGCTGACCCAGCTTAGAAGTTTTCCCGTCTGCTTGAGAATCGGGCTATGGAGCTTGCATGGCATTTCTCCGGTGTCATAGAGATAATTTTAAAGTTGCGAGTTGCTGCAGTTAACTGACTCGGCAATTTGGAGTGTGTTGAAATCCGAGCCAGGGTCGTTAATTTCTCGCCAGTCGGATGGCTGGTTGAGCTGCACCATCGCACGCAAACTGGATATGTAGTAAAGCAGGCCACGTCTGGGAAAATGAATGGAATCCGGGGAGGTTCAATATCTCGGTGCCCACGTAGCTAAGAGGTGGACAAGGGACACGCGGAACATGGGCTTGCAATGGGGTGTTTGCCTTCAAGATTGACTTGCAGGATTCAGGCTCCCTCCAGAGGCGAGCAGATACTGTCAGCTGAGGCTCAGGCTCCAGGAGCACCGGATATCTATCAATACATCCAACCTATTCCAGTATTGTGCAGCTACATGACCTCCTGCCCGATTACATTCGGGGAGTCCTAGAACCTATCATCCGAAGTGGCTTATCCTCAACCACTTCGTTGTCTCACGTATGACCTATCCTATCCAAGAGTTCTCGTCGCAGGTAACACATCCCAGAAATAATGCAGGGGTCAACTTATCAGCGTCTCAGCCATGTAGAAGCCGCAGTTCAGAACAGGGTCTTGTCAGTACGGAGTGTGGACTGCCGAGCCAGCAAGTGCCTCCTTTATACAGAGTCAATATTATAACATGGCGAAGAAGGCGACTCTGTTACGGAGTACTCCGTACAGCGAGTCAAGAGACCAGATCTCAGGTGAACGGTGAGGACGAGTGTCGTGTCGAAAGGAGCAGGAGGCCCCAGGTCACATTATAGTTAGACGATAAATTATTGAAAGGAAATCGCCTATTTGCCAGGAGCGATTTGGCTTGCCTCGGTGATGATACATCCAAAGCAGCAAACTCCGCTTCAGTCCGCCTTCAACGCTCTGACGATCTGTCAGTTCTTCTGGTTACCGCGTAGGCTCCTTGTACTCGTACGAGTATACTGCCTTTTCGATCTCATTTGGTACAACTCTCAAACTCTAACGGGAAATGGAGATCGACGTAATGCCAAATGACGCTTGATGACCGTACTCCGTACTTCTGCTTGTACAATCCCGAGATTACCCACGAACTCGAGGTTAGCGGGATTTTCTCCGTACACCGTAATGAAACAGCGGTCACGTCAGTAGTCGCCCATCTTCAGGATTCTCTCTCGAGCGTTACTCTGTACTATGATGCTATTCGATCAGGAGATCCAAATGGAGCCTTTATGAGTAGTGCTAGTCGTCAATAGTCATCACGTGGGGGGCAGATCCCTCAATAGCGTGTTTGGAAGCTACAAATTGAGTGACGCATGATTGGACCCGAGAGCCCGAAACCGTTGTACCAGAGAACGAGACCATGGAACCGCGACGGGAAGACACGCATTTTGGAACCTTGGAACGGGTGTGCGACCTGCTTCTTCTTTCGTCACTGGTACTATATTTGCAGCAGAACTTCGTACTTCGTACTTCGTTTTTCGTTTTTCGTTTGATCTTTTTCTTGGCAGATTTCTATGCGATTCCCTCGCCTCTCGGCCATTGGGCATCGGAGCCAAATACCGTCACCTGCATGCCCCGGCCACACCAAAACGACGTGGCAGTCGGTGACGCGCCCGAGCGACCTTAGTTCGACCCTCATTGAGACTTGGAGGGTCTCGATGGCTGTGCTCTCCAAGAGTTATTTGTACACCCTCCCGCCGTAGGCGCCGAGGGAAAAGCCACTCATTTATGTACGCTGTACCCCAGGGTGTGTAGTCGATCATCTATTCGTAAGCAAGGCCGCCTTTGCTTCGGGTCAGTCTCGGGGTGATCCGGTTCGCTGCCTCATTTTGGTTTTTTATTCTCGATTAGCTCGTCTGCAGATTTCCCGAAAGATAATACGTAGTACGCCGGGACGGCCATACGAGTACTCCGTAACTACGGCCTAGGATCACACCCCCCGTACCCGAACTGTACGGAGGACTCGATCCAATGTCTCTGACACTAGCGGTTCTGACACGGGTCAAACTAAGTGGAGCTATACTCCGTATTCGAAGAATTAATGGAACAATTAATAGAAGAATTCATGGAAATGACCAGGGCAACACTCGGACATGGCTATGAACGGCTAAGGGGTCCAGACCGATGATCGACTAGAGTATAGTAGCCTTTGACTACTCCGTAAAGTGCGCTCGTATCTCACTCTCCATCGTCGATCAGAAGAACTTTTGTCTTTACTCGCCCAATCTTGCTCTCCCAACTTGTGACTATTGTCTGATTCCCATCTCATTCGACTTGATAAGATCGGTGTCCCACCCGGTTTTGAGATCATTCATCTCTTATCGCATTCACGTACGTTCTATACGGTCCCAGCAATTGACGGCGCTGACCTTCTACAGAACTACACACGCACACACTCCCCCCTCTATTTGATGACTGATAAGCAGTGACTGCGGGACTCACCATGACTGTCAATCTGTCCGATGACGAACTGTTTACCAGTGCCATCTCCGGATATCGCGAAGCATTTTTGGTTCAACACTCCCACCTCTCGGAACTCGAACGAAACCAACTCTGGATCGAACGCCTAAGCCAGTTCATTCCCTCCTGTGACCGGAATGACTGGAATGACTGGAAGCCCGCTGGGAACCTGGGGAAACGGACTCGACAGGACGCGACACCGCGAACGTTGCCATCTGACGCGGGTCTCCCTCGGGCTAAACGGAGAGCCACCGTATGTGTGACCTTGGTTACTTGCTTCCGCTGATCTCTTTCCGCCCCGCTCGTCTCTTATCCTGACCGCCATCCGGCCTTGGATTGACAATTGGCAGACCCCGGAGCTCCCGGTCGACCTGATGCGCCATCTCTCATATGCATCCTCCCCCGACCTCCCTCGGAAAGACGTATCCAGTGTGGGACACGGCTCCTACCGACACACCGCCATGGTGCGCTCCCAAAGCCAACAGATCCCGGTATCCCATCGGCATCAACCAGCCGGAGCCGTCATGGGCAAACGCCAATCCTTTGGCCCGGTCCAGACCCAACGTCGCCTCGATCATGTTGACGAATATTCGCCCTCCGAGTACACGCGCCAGTTGGAGAACTTCCCCAGTCAACCTTATGACTCGGCCTTGACTTTCGGACTCGCGAATCATGGACGGACTGGACCCTCGCCATACCCGCAATATTCTGGAACGACGCCGCCCTGGACCGACCAGGCTCCAGCAGGTGCAGCGGAGATGTCTCGCAGCGGAACCACCGACTCCTTGGTTTGCGGAATCAACATGTTCCGCGTCGACTCAAATGGACCGTCCCACCAAGAACCGATCGACTCCATCCCACCAGAGTGGGTGCCAACACCCAACTCTGGCTTGCCATATCAAAGCCCCTTTCTTTCTGTATATCCTGACCTAGATCCCCCCATGTCTCTCCCTTACTCCCACCCCACATCATTCTCCACCTCCGCCCCCGCAACCACCTCCTTCCACTACCGCATGCCCCATCCCCAGCACCCCTTAGGTGCTGTGGACATGAAGTTTTCAGACTCAATCGACAGCAATAATTCCGCCACCCTGCGCTCGCGTGCCTCGCGCCGCGCCCAGGAGCAGATTGCCCATGGCGCCCGCCCCATCGCCCCCAAGCGCGAAAGCGACAGCTTAGTCCCCAGTCTGGACTCCATCGACCCGCACAAGATAGTGCGCATTTCCTCAACAGATGGTACCGCCAAGGAAGTTGCCGCGATACCCAAAGCATCAGTTCAGCGACCCCCGCGACAGAAGACCTATTGTCATATCTGCAACGACCAACCAGACGGGTTCCACGGCGAGCACGAGCTGCGCCGACACATCGAGCGTGTCCATGCCTCCATCCGCCGTGTGTGGGTGTGCGTGGACATCTCCCCCGACAAGAGTTTCCTGGCCAACTGTAAAGCGTGTCGCAATGGCAAGCGCTACGGCGCGAACTACAACGCCGCCGCGCACCTGCGCCGCACGCACTTCAACCCCTGTCAGCGCGGCCGTGGAGGCCGTGGGAAAGACAGCGAGAAGCGCGGCGGTAAAGGTGGAGGCAATTCACCGTCCATGGACGTCCTGAAGCACTGGATGGTTCCCACCGAGGAGGTGGCATCCGATGGATCGTTGGCCACGGCGACTCAAGTCCAGGCGGCGAGCAGTGTGCCAAGCATCGATTCGGGCCTAGGACTGGCGGCCTCTGCGTGTGCGATCCCAGATCGTAGCTCGTATGTGGTCGAGTCAGCTCTCATTGATGAGCATGACCAGTTCCCCGAGTTTCCCGATGCGCCGTTCGAGCTCGATTTCGAGATCGGACTTGACGTGGATGTGGGTTCTTCGTTGAACTCGCCGTTCTCGATGGATTCGCAGTCGTCGTTTTCGCCTGGGTTCCGTATGTCGTGTGAGCGATCGTAGTTTGTTCTGGTTTTGAATGTCTATAGCGAATCTTTGTATTGATGTGTTAATGGTTAGGGTGTTTTTTTGGGATGGGGCTAGCCCGGGTTGGGTATTGGCGACGTGTATATTTGGTAGAAGTGCGTGATCTGACAGATCGGCGACAGTCAGAGGCTTGAACTAATCTTGAATTGATAATATCTCCGAAAATGCTGTTCTGCCGGTCAAATTGTAGAGAAACCTGCGCTCCCTACTGGCAGGCCCGAAGTGACATTATGCAACATCCATGTCCCGGGTTTAGTGAATTCCCACACCACGTGACACCCAAGGTCTAATTTCTGATCAGGTGTTCAGACATCAATTGATTTGTCTACAGGGCTCTTAAGCACTCACTTGAGCAGTCCACGCTCAGTCCGCACTCAGTCCATACGCAAAGGACAACCTTGCCCCATAATATTGTTTATCTCTCGATCAACATTGAGATCCATAGTTATATATATGCTTCATTAGAAAAGTCATTCATGAATGAAGTCAATGTTGTTATCACTTGACTAGAAGAAAGCAAATGGCAAGAGCAATTGCCTGTTGTGGATGGTACTTCCATTCAACATATTTCAGCAGCGGCATCCCACCTAGATAGGCTGTCAGTTTTTCGACATCAATGCTTCGTTAAACGCACTGGCTTTATCCAACTGGCACCAACTTTAGAAAAGTGGTTGCCTTTCACCTCACTGTAAGTATCCCTTTCCTCCACTGGCACTATGTAGTTCCCTCCCCGCTTCGGTTTGCTAACGAATATCTCCAAGGGCATCAAAGAATGAGTACTCCATACAAGACCCACCGTTTCGATGCGACGACCAACAAATACAAGCGTCTTCCCCTTCAACAGTTCAATTCAAGGACATTGACAAGGAGGACGACCGAGTCCCGCCAAGCCATATTCGATTGTTGTTTGCGACTAGCAAGAAGCATACTCCGCACACGCCTCGGAAATGGCAGAGGCTATCGAGAATGATGTTCGCAATTGGGAAGAACTAAGGGTAAGTGTAAGTGACGCGCCACCGAGAGCTGGATATTTCGATCGAACCGTGTGGTTATGCTGGTTTTATCGCTACGACTGCCTAGTGAGCGGATGCTTGATCCACGGGTATTTATAGCGGCTCTTATTTCTCGACGCAATAATGAAAGACTCGAGTATGTCATGATATAATGTAATACCTCATAGTTAGGCCAGCCAGCTATGTTGATATGTAGTGTCAAGATTCAAACTTCCATAGATGTTCTCCCGATGCGCCACGGGTACTTCCAAGGCTTAATTCGTTCCAATGGGGCTAGCCAACCCCTTCACTGGGGACTGGGTAACCTTGGGAGTCTATCTCGCTCTCTGGGGGCTTGCCTTTGGCATAACTGATGCTTAACTGGCTTCCTACGTTCCCAATTAGTGGAGTAAAGAAAGCCCAGGCAGCAGCGATCAAGGCGGTCAATTGCCAAGACCTTCTCATAAAAGAATCGTGACCTGTGAGTGGACAAATCCCTCACGGAGTGGATCCTTGCGCGACCTCCGGGGCTGGTGGCTGACTCCCCGGCCAATGAGCGGTCGTCGAGGGGATGAGAAATGTGGCTGACTGCGTTGGTCGGCAATAGGGCTGGCAGAACTGTGGCTGTGTGGACCTAAACATCTGGTATTTAATGGAGTAGGTACTTCGCAGGTACCTCCGCATCTTCTCCGTGTGGTGCAATTCCAGCACGCCGAATTCTAGGCCTGATGAATTAATAGTCGACACAGATACTTGTAAAAAAGTAAGATAGAAATCCCGAGCCAATCAATACAAATAAATAAACATCCTAATGGAGGAAATCTACATTCACAAAGAACCCGTTGTGGAGAAACACGCATGGAGTGTACTGCGAGGAGATAGGGGCAACGAACACGGATAGGGTACATGGAAGGTACCTCAGCCCTGTGTTCTTGGCGACCAAACTCTCTCGTCGGGCGGACCGGTAAGGTACCTCGAAAGGTAACCCCGACATTTTCCCTCTACAACCTTCACAAAAGTAAGTGGCCGCTTTTCTCCTCTTTTTTTCTGATCTCACCACTTCCCCTTGGGCTTCATCTTCTCTTCCACTCCCCTTCAGTTACTTATCCCGGTCGCTTTTCACAGCCTCCTTTTCTCAACCAATCTCCACGCTCCCAGGTACGTGGTTTTTACCGCCGTGGCGGCCATCCTTGGTTGGCCCGGCCAATATCACCCAGGCGCCAAATCATCTGGTCGCGTTGGTTGTGATCGCGTCGCTGATTCGTTTTTCGCCCTTCTAGAACATCGAGCGCCAACATGTCCTACTACCCCCAACAACCCCCCCCTGCTCAGTAAGTCGCATCCCAATCCTATCAACAAACCCTCCACCGATCATGCAGCGAAACCCGTTCCCGAGCTGCCATGACCTGGTGGTCTACATTCATCGACTTTGATCGACTTTGTGCCGGCAGATCTTGTTGTCCGACCGTCAATCAGCTTCGTTCGCGCCCAACACGTTGATCTCGATTCTAATATGGTTCTCGATATAGGTACGGCTACCCCCCTCAGCAAGGGTACCCTCAAGGGCCTCCTCCTCCAGGCAACTACTACCCCCAGCAATACCCGCCACAGGACCCCGGCTACCAAGGAGGCCAGCAGGTGCGTTTTGGTTGTTCTCGAAGCTCGACTGTCCACACTAACGGCCGTGATAGATGTACCAGAACGCGCCACCCCCCCAGCAGCAGCAAGATAACAAATCAAGCAGTGGTGGCAAGGGATGTCTCGGTTCCTGGTGAGTGCTCGTCAAGTGACGGAAAGCGGAACTTGCGCTAATTATTTCTTTCCCTCTAGTCTGGCCGTTCTGTGCTGTTGCTTCGTGTGCGAGGAGGGTTGCGAATGCTGTGCTGAGTGCATCGAGTGCTGCGAGATGTGCTAAGCTCTACGATACATGACATCGACGATACGTTTCTTCTTGCTGGCGTTGGATTTTCTCGATACGCCCAGCAGCGCTCTGGGGCAAACTGCTGCATTGTTTCAACTGCAACCTTCTATTACTGTCTAAATCCAACTTTCCTTAATTCTGAAAGGCATGCCTTGGATAATTTCAATTTAGCATCAAGTTTCTCTTGATTTCCTCCTGAAGCAAAATCTAATTCTACAATTGGTTCCGAGACTTGCCACGCCTGGGGAAAAGTACGGAGTACTGAGCGCCAGATAATTTCGCAAATGCGAACAAGTTACTTTTGCTTTCACCAGAAGACAGGATCTTAGCTTTGTTCCTATCTGACAAATATCGGAATTTGTATCAATGTTACGCAAGATATACAGGGATGCAAGTCTATACGGGCCAAAGTAGCTCGTCATCCACCTGTGACAACCAGATCAACCTGTCTCATTTTCAAAATGCTCAAAATCATTCGTCGTTGCCAAGTGATCTTTGATTAAGGCGGGAGTCTTTAGTTGAGCGCTCGGGACTTGCAAAATCGATCATAGCAAGTCGTGGAGTCTGTTGCTTTCAAGAGAAGAAAAACACGAAAGTATACCAAGTCTATGCACGCAATGAGCCGTTCTATGTCGAAGGCGCATCGCCCGATGTCAATGCTTGGCCTAGTCATTGATTGGCAGACAGCTAATCTCCGCTATGTGGCTAAGCGCCTTGTATGCAATGCCAACAAGGCATCTGGCAGCAGAGGCCTGGAGTACGGATTACCCCTCGGTGCCATTAAATAAGATGTGGCCTGTCGATATAGAGCTTCATTTAATGTGACAACATTGCTACGTTCCAAGGTTGAGTCTTGGATGTATAGTGTACTGAAAGCCCATGGCAACTATGATTGGTGACCTGGTCTCAGGACTAAGCCCACTTGGCACGAAAGGACTTTGCCTGTTGTCGCTAGATGGGGGTGGTGTCAGGGGACTGTCGAGTCTGCTTATACTGAGAGATATTATGACTCAACTCAATGCAGAGCGCGATGATAACCAGGACCTGAGGCCCTGTGATGTGTTCGATTTGATTGGGGGCACAAGCACGGGAGGGTACGTGGATTGGCACCTCTCAGAAACTATTTTCAATCCAGAACATGTGCTAATATACCCCTGCCTCCCTTCAGACTGATTGCTATTATGCTGGGGAGATTGGAAATGGGAGTTGACGAGTGCGTTCTTGCATACACCGAGTTGATGGAATCAGTCTTCAGCGAGAAGCTCAACAACTTGCCTGTCGACTGGGCTGGGAACATCGTACCGCAATATGACAGCAAAAAGCTCAGAGATGCAATCGAAAATGTCATCATTCGAGCAGGCTTGTCACCAAACGACCCTTTGGATGAAGACAATCCTGACCGATGCCGGATGTTTGTGTGTACAACCTCGAAAGAGACCTTGCAGGTTGCTCGTCTTCGAAGCTATTCTGTTTCAAACGAAGACAATGTACCGGTGACAATCTGCGAAGCCGCATTGGCAACTTCGGCAGCAACGGGGTTCTTTGACCCAGTAACAATTGGAAACCGCGAATTTGTCGATGGTGCATTCGGTGCCAACAATCCAATCGAAGAAGTCGAGGAAGAGGCCGCAGATATCTGGTGCAACGAGAGTCGTGAACTTAAGCCTCTGGTCAAATGTTTCCTTTCCATAGGGACAGGAAATCCCGCACAAGTTCCCGTTGACAATAAGATGTTCAAGTTTCTCTCAAAAACACTCGTGAGAATGGCCACAAAACCCGAAAGTACTGAGCGTCGCTTTATGGCTCGATGGAATAATGGGTCGAATGAGCAGTGTTATTTCCGCTTCAACGTGGAACAGGGACTACAGGGGGTTAATATGAATGAATGTCAAAAGCGCAGCGTCATTGAATCAGCTACCCATGCCTACCTTCATCACTCATCTCAGAAGTCAAATGTCCAGAGCTGCATCTTGAATCTGTCAAGCAAGCAAGGTAAACTTAGGTTTTATTATCCCGCACGAGAGAATAATGATGCTTACTATCCACAGGGGAAACTGATATCGACTTTGAGGTCATTATGAGGGCAAGTGGCAGATTTCTCCAATTAAGCAATATGTGAAGTTGACGCCCCCTTAGGAGCACGAGGCTCGAGTCACCCATCACCGAATTTTGCGAACCATTCATACTTCCAAGAACCCTTTCCTCCCTAGCAGGTCGCCATGCTGGCAGGTTCCATTTGACAGAAATCCTCGATATGTGAACCAGGAAATTACTCGCAAGATCAAAAAGAGAGTGTTTTCCGAGTCACACTCCGCCAAAATTGCTCTATTTGGGCTTGGTGGTGTCGGTAAGACCCAAATCGTGCTTGAGACGGTGTATCAGATCCGTGAGATATACCCAGATTGCTCGATTTTCTGGCTCTCTGCCGTAGACATGGAATCACTCCACCAAGCATACCTGAAGATGGCATATGAGCTAGGTATAGACACCTCCGACCCAAACGGGGAAGATGTCAAGATTCTTGTACAAAAACACCTCAGCCAACCAGCATCTGGAAGATGGCTGCTCATTTTCGACAATGCAGACGATCACGACATGTGGATCGGGGGCAAAAATCCAGGATCGGAGACGCTCAAAGATTTTCTCCCAGTCAGCGATCAAGGCGCCATTGTGTTCACAACACGAAGCCACAGGATAGCCCATCACCTCAGCCCTGGGGAAATTATTGAGATAACCGAAATGAACGAGGAAAAGGCCACACAGCTTCTACGGAATAACCTGATCAAGAAAGAGCTCCTGAATGATACTGATGGCACCCGAAAACTTCTTGACCGTTTGACCCATCTCCCATTGGCAATCGTCCAAGCAGCTTGTTTCATGAACGAGAACTTCACATCAGTTCAAGGCTATCTGAAGTTGATAGACGGCCAGGAACAGACTGTCATTGATCTGCTGAGCGCAGACTTCGAAGATGAAGGTCGATACAAAAGTATTCGAAATCCCGTGGCAACCACATGGCTTACGTCCTTTTTTCAAATCCAACAAAAATACCCACTCGCTTCGGAATACATGTCTTTGATGTGCTGCATGACCGGGCAAGATATACCGATATTTCTTCTGCGTGGGGACGATGCTCTTGAACGAGAGAAGGCAATTGGAATTCTTGTCTCTTATTCCTTTATCCGCGTACGGGAAGCGGAAGAGACTGTAAGCATGCATCGCCTTGTGCACCTGGCCACAAGAAACTGGCTCGGATCTGCCAATGTATTGCATTCGTGGGAAAGTGCGGTACTTCGTCATATTTATAAAAGTTACCCCCGAGGCGACGAATCTCTCAGGAACGTGTGGAGATCAACAGTGCCCCATGCTCTTCATATACTCGAACTGACGGCAAATGGAGAGCCTACAGCAACCAGAGGCTTGCTTTTGAAAGTCGTCGGTCAGTGTCACATAGACGATGGCCGATATAAGGAAGCCGTGAAGCTGTTCAAGGAAGCCTCTGCCATAGCAGAAATTGTCTATGGTCCTGAAAGCGATACGTGTGCCCACCTCCTTTACGGGCTAGCAAGAGGATACCGAATGCAGGGGAAGACCGAGAAAGCCACCGTTCCAACCAAAAGGCTCGCCGAAATAACCATGAAAATATATGGTCCTGGTCACTTGGAAACCTCGCGTGCGAATGTGGAAGTAGCATGTTTACATTGGAACAAAGGAGAGATCTTGGAAGCCCAAGAGCTTTGGACCAACGCGACCAAGAATTACCTGAAGCAATTGGGCCCCCGCAATCTGGAATCAATCCATGTTGCAGGTCTTGTGGTTGGCACATATAACCAGCAGGGAAGAATCTCAGACGCCGGAGAGCTCGCCTTGCAAGTGCTGCAAATGTCCAAAGCAACTTTCGGGATCGATCACCTCCAAACAGCCTTTGACATGTGCAATCTAGCACATACCTACATTCAGCTATGGCGACTGAAAGAGGCCGAGGAGTTGTATAGGACAGCGTTCGAAACTAACAAACGACTTGCTGGTCCTGAGCACCCATACACAGTGGCCACTATGTCGTATTTGGCAAACGCATGGGCTCTGCAGGGACTTCAAAAGCAGGCCATCGCCATGATGACAGAATATGCTCAGTTGATGAACCAGTCTCATGGGCCGGATTATCCCGCCACGCGGTGGGCATTTGACACCTTGAAGGAATGGAACTCATCCAGGCAAGTTACCCTCTCCGCTATATCTGCAGTACGAGAATTGCTAAATGAGAACTTGTTGATAGTAACCTGAAGTCATTTCTCAGAAATCGTTGGAGCGGAATGAGACGGGCGGATATGATGCGACAGCGAAGAAGTCTGTATCCTAAAGTGAAGGTTTATGGGCTGTATCGCGTTGCGCGACAGACGAAAGATGGCTCTTTACTTCGGGATATCAAACAGGCACTTGCAGACCTCCATGTGGATAGGTAGGATTCTAATGACGTGGCGACTCTGGCAGAAAGCAAGCGGACTGATAAGTCGCCCATGCCAACGCCTCAATCCACCACATTGTCTCTATGACGAGAAGCTGTTTTGGAATTATCGACACGATCTCGGACCATCTCCACGAAGGCGATGACCAACCTTGGAGACCCGAAGGACATACGAGCTATTGAACTTCATTGTGGCATGGTAAAAATTGGGGAAACTTCGGGTTCCCATGTCATATAAGTATTGTTAACATAACAGGAAGTGTGATCGTATCTCCCCTGAGAGACTTGCCGGTTTTGTAGGACGCGAAGCAGCTACCCTTGGAACAACCAGCTCTGCATAGATTACCCATATTAACCTAAGAGCTCCCTGGGAGCACATCAGCAAAAGAAATGCCGCCAGCGGTGGTTTAAAATACATTTAATTTGCTCCAATTCACGCAATTATTTCCAGCGCCGAGCTGGATGACAAAAGAGCTCAAATGTGCAACTTTGCAGGCATGGGATATAATCAGTGGTAAAATCTCGGGTATAAGAAGGACTTCCAGGTGGAAATTTATCAACTAAATTGGTGACCTGGGCCACCGTTCGCCATGACCGGTTCTCCACTCCACCCTCGGACGGAGCGCGATGGGGTTAGATTGGAGAGGTCATACGAATCCTCGAATACGTACCAGAAGGACTTGGCGCGCTAAGCGATAAATAAATCGCAGGATTGAAGGGCGCTGTACTTATGCGAGTCAGGACTTCAAATAAGACTACGTTAGAAACACGGACTGTTTCCGAGGAAGTCGGAACCTCGGACTACTCCGTACGAGTACGATATTTTCATTTGATAGGGCCTTGGGGGCAATTGATCGGCAAAAAATGACAGCCGACGATCGAGTATCATTTCCTGAAACAATGAAGCCATCCAAACAAGCTCACCACCCGGTTGATCCGAGTTGATCCGATGAAAATTTCTTGATCAGGCCAGGATCAGATAACGCAGAAATTTTCCCTGAGCCCAAGCGAGATCTGATAATTCCAATTGATTTGACCCAAAGGATAATTTGGACAAGCGGATCCATAATCTCAGCCAAGGTCAGCCAAGGAGGCCAAGCGAAACCAAGCGAAGCTTGAACAGGCCACTCCGAAGCTTACTTATGGCCGACGCTTACCGGATTGGGTCATTATTATGGGGCGATAAGATGAGCACGGCATCTGATTAGATTAACTCCCTTCGTCTCGCTTCCCTCTGTGGGACTGGTGGCTTCCTTAGTCCCAAGGCCTGTTCTTGGAAGTGGAGGGCATTGGGCTTGTCGACTCCATCTCGGCTTTTCCCAACAAATCACTGGGCAAGGCCACGCAAAGTGCCTTTGGCTAGTGTCATAGCACCGCGTGGTGTTTGTGAGTTGATTTTTCCGAGCCGATCCTCCGAAATCTCTATACAGGATATAAGGCCCATGGCCTCCCCGGGGTGCTCACCCTGAGTCCATAACTTTCTTTCATTTTCGCTATGGGTGTTCGTCTGTTGATCCGCAGAGCCCGAACCGTCCTCAACCGCTTTGCGGCGGATGATGCTGCGAGTGCGTCGTCCACTCCTCCAGCAGAGGGCACGACCGTTGGAGAAAGCAAGGGAGTACCTGCAACCGACGCTGAAGTCCAACCGGAATTGCCCTCGGAAGATCTACAGCATGGTGTGAGAGATGTGGAGGCCATTACCCTGACCTGGTCTAAGAAGACCCTGGCCTTTGTCTTCATCAAGTATGTTTCTTCGATGGCGCTCACTGATTTTAACGGTCATTAATATCACCTCTATCCAGCATTTGGTTCTTGTACTTCGTCAATGCCTTCCAATCTTCTGTCTTCAACAGTTTGAGCCCCTACATCTCCAGTTCTTTCACAGCCCATTCCCTGTCCGGTGTTCCGACAGCTATGGCCGATGCTTTCTCCGCAGCAGTTTACATCCCCGTCGGAAAGATCATGGATACCTGGGGTCGTGCTGAGGGTTTCCTGGTGATGACTTGTTTCGCAACCCTGGGATTGATTCTTTTGGCTGCGTGTGATAGCTTCGCTATTTACTGTACCGCATATGTAAGTGCCTCATGTCTGATGTTTATCCTGTGAGTGCTTTTTTAAATACTCACACAATTTCTACTAGGTGTTTTACTATATCGGCTTCAGTGGTATGGAGTACTCCATTGATGTCATCACTGCCGATGCGTCCAAGCTGAAGAACCGAGGCCTGGCGTTTGCTTTCACTTCCTCGCCTTATATCATTACCGCATTCGCCGGTCCCAAGGTCGCCGACGAGTTCTACTACCAAGTCAGCTGGAGATGGGGTCTTGGATGCTGGGCTATCATCTTCCCCATCGTCGCGGCACCTCTATACTTCATTTTGAAATCTACCCTCCGCAAGGCCGAGAGAGAAGGTCACCGTGTCAAGGAGCCTAGTGGGCGCACTTTCTTGCAAGGCGTCTGGTACTGGATCTTGCAATTTGACTGTGAGTATCAAGTCTCTTTTCGCTTCCAAAGTAGAGCCCCCCGGGTCTCTACTATCCCTGGACGCTCTGATTCTACCTCAACCTCAATTGACCACGAATACTAACCTCTCTCAAGTGTTTGGAGTTTTCTTGTTCACAGCAGGACTGGTTCTCTTTGAACTTCCCTTCGATATCGCCACCGAGGCTCCTAACGGTTGGGGTACCGGCTACATCATTGCCATGCTCGTTGTTGGCTTCTGTATGCTTTTCATCTTCGCTATCTACGAGAAGTGGGTGGCACCTGTGCCTATGCTCAACTTCCCTATTCTCACCGACCGAACGGTTATTGGCGCCTGTCTTTTGGATGCAACCTACCAGTTGTCTTACTACTGCTGGAACAACTACTTCACCTCTTTCCTCCAGGTTGTCAACAACTTGACAATCGCCGAGGCTGGATATGTAAGCAACACATTTGATGTTGTTTCGGGTGTTCTCCTTCTCCTCGTCGGATGGATCATCAGTCGCACCGGTCGCTTCAAGTGGCTGTTGTACATTTCCGTCCCTCTGTACATCTTCGCCCAGGGTTTGATGATCTACTTCCGCAAGCCCGATATGACTGTTGGATACCAGGTTATGTGTCAGATCTTTATTTCGATTGGAGGATCCATCTTCATTCTGGTTGAACAGATTGCTATTCTCGCTGCTGTTGATCACCAACACATTGCGGCCGCGCTGGGCCTACTGAATGTTGTCGGCACTATCGGTGGGTCCGCTGGCTACACCATTTGCACCGCCATTTGGACAAACACCTTCCCCAAGGCTTTGCAGATGTATCTCCCCGAGTCCGTGATGGATAACTTCGAGAACATCTACGAAGATCTTGCTACCCAGACTAGCTACCCCATGGGCAGTGAAGTGCGACTGGCTATCCAGAAGGCCTATGGCTATGCTGAGGTGCGCATGCTCTCTGCTGGTCTTGGTATCATGGCCTTGGCTATTGCCTGGACCATCATGATCCGAGACATTGATCTCAAGAAGACCGCCCAGGTCAAGGGTACTGTCTTCTAAGAGGCCATTTCAACAACTCGACATTGGTGCTGGGTTGACCCTAGGGATTCGATCACTGAATCGCCAATACTCTCTACACTTTGGAAATATCCAACCAGAACCTTTTAATTTTATCGTGCAACGCCAATATTACCCATGTCGCGCTGTGGTGTCCCTGGCCATACACCCGTCACCGCGGGGGAAAATAAATAGCAATAATATATACCCAAATGGATTCCTACTTTGTTTTTTTCTCTCTATATCTTTCTCAAATTCCAGGACTAGGGACATTCCGATGTTTTCCCGCTTGATGGCTATATCTGATGCACCGTACTGAGCCTGATTTATCAGGCACCAAGACAAGGAAATCGCAGGTGGCTCCCCGCGCTGCCCAGGCGTCGACAGCATCTCAACTGAGGATGTTCCCGAGTCACAGTCTTGAAAGCTAATGTATTGGCACCACTAGGAGAGGATCTACGGCGGAGGCCGGCGCGGCGAATTACCCGTCAATCAGATTCCACATTCCCGGCCATGGCGTGTGGCATTTACCCCTCAACTGCGGCCAAGAACAACACGCCCAGAATTGGCGCCCAGGCTCAAATCAGCTTGAAGACCTACAAATTACTCACGGATTTAAATCCTCGGCACTGCCCTGACATCATGCAGGTGCTGTGGTGTTGCATGACCCGGCGCCAGGAACAGATTATTAGGTCCACCCTAGCTAGGCCGACATTTCCCCAGACGGCATATTCCTGGAGGGGTATCGTCTAGTTCATGCACTCCTCATGGAGATTTTCCCAAATGGGGCATGTAGCATCGGTACTTTGCGTGCTCTCGGCAGACATCGTCGTCTGAGAGCGAAGAGATCAACCCTTTAACCCCTGCTTCCTCTGATTTCATCTCCGGAAGTCCACGTGAATCGAGATGAAATGAGGAGTGGGAGAATTTAGCCGGTGGGCTCCTTGCCGGTGCCTGGTTGATGTGCATATAAATATCCCCCACTGGGTGCCGTTTAGCTGTGCTTCGTACATTTTGGATAGGATCGGCAAGCCAAACAGCTAGTTGGGACTGCACACAGCAAGATGCTGCACAAATACCTCCTTTTGCCACTGCTGGCATCTTACGGAGCAGCCGTCACTATCTCAGTCGCGAAGTCTGGCGGCAATGCCACTTCGGGTCTGCAATATGGTGCAATGGAAGAGGTATGTTTGGTCTCGTCCTGTGAAAGATGGGGGGTTGACAATTCTCAAGGAAATTAACCACTGCGGTGAAGGAGGTCTCTATGCCGAATTGATTCGCAACAGGGCTTTCCAGGGTAGTTCTAAATTCCCTTCATCGTTGGACGCCTGGACTGCTGCTGGAGATTCCTCGCTTTCCCTCAAGAACCTGACCGATCCCTTGTCCACCGCTCTCCCGACCTCTGTCAATGTCAAGGGAAGCGGCACGGCTGGTCTTATCAATGCAGGCTTCTGGGGCATTGATGTGCGCCCCCAGAAGTACAGTGGATCCTTCTATGTGAAGGGTTCATACAAGGGGTCATTCACGGCCTCTCTCCTATCGCCCAGTGGAAAGGTCTTGGCCACCACCAAGGTTACCTCAAAGAGTAAGGCAGACTCGTGGGTGCAGCACAGCTTCACCCTTACCCCGAAGTCTAAGAGTTCTGATAAAAAGAACACATTCTCTTTGACCTTCGACGGCTCTGTAAGACTTGACAATGCCCATCCACATGTTCAGCCGCTGATACGAAACAGAAAGCATCGAGTGGCTCGCTCGACTTCAACCTGATCAGTTTGTTCCCCCCTACATGGAATGATCGTCCCAATGGCATGCGCAAAGACTTGATGCAGGCCATGAAGGATATGGGTCCCGTAAGTCATCGATTTACCGAAACTTGAAGAGCATAGCCTAATTCGCCCTATAGACTTTCCTCCGCTTCCCCGGTGGCAACAATCTCGAAGGTGACACCATCCCAGGTCGCTGGAAGTGGAATGAGACCATTGGACCCCTCAAGGACCGCCCTGGCCGTGCCACCACCTGGCAATACCAGGAAACCCTTGGTTTGGGTCTCGTCGAGTACATGGAATGGTGTGACGATCTCAACATGGAACCTAGTGAGTGAACTTTCAATCATTTTAAGGAAATCGCTGACCCTGCTTGCTTAGTCCTCGCGGTCTGGGGTGGTCTTGCCCTGAATGGTGATCTGGTTCCTGAGTCCGAGCTCGACTTCTACGTGCAAGATGCACTGAACGAGATTGAGTTCCTGACTGGATCCGTGGACACTGAGTATGGTGCTTTGCGTGCTAAGATCGGTCACCCAGAGCCCTGGAAGATTAAATATGTCGAGGTCGGAAATGAGGACAACCTCAACAACGGCTTGGCGTCATACAAGGCGTACCGATTCCCGGCATTCTACAAGGCTATCACCGCCAAGTACCCCGATATCCAGGTTCTGGCTTCAACCATCGACATGACTATTCCTGGAACTGCCGGCGGTGATTGGCATCTGTATGATACCCCGGATAACTTCATTACCAAGTTCGACATGTTCGATAACTATTCGAAGGAGCACCCCATCCTGCTCGGTTAGTAGTTTCGTCTTTTCGAGAGAATACTGGCTTACAAATTTCTAGGCGAGATTGCTGCTACCGAGCCAAACAACGGTGGTGCTGGCATTGACTGGTCCAACACTCACTTCTCTCAATACCCATGGTGGATTGGCTCTGTCTCCGAGGCTGTCCTGCTTTTGGGCGCTGAGCGCAATGCTGATAAGATTATTGGAACTACCTACGTCAGTCTTTCAAATCTTATACACCCTTGCAGCTTCTAACATACGACAGGCTCCCTTCTTGATGAACTTGGACAGCTACCAGTGGTCGCCGACAATCCTCTCTTTCAACTCCAACCCTGATGAGACAGCACGCTCAACGAGCTACCACATTTACAGTGTAAGTGGACAATTTTCGTGATACCCCTTATGAACGAACATTTTCTGATATGGATTACGAAAAAGCTGTTCAACCACAATATCATGACCAACACCCTTCCATCCACATCCCCTGACGCCTTCGGCCCATTGTACTACGCAACGGGTCTGGATAGCAAGACCAACTCGCACATCTTCAAGGCAGCAGTGTACAACAGTACTGCCGATGTACCAGTGTCCCTGACCTTTGAAGGCGTCGGCCGTGGTACCAAGGCCGACTTGACCATCCTGACCGCGCCCGATGCCTTCACTATGAATGCTGTTGGCGGCTCTAACCTGGTCAAGAGCACGACCACCCACATCAAGGCCGGCAAGAAGGGTGAATTCAGCTTCAAGCTTCCCAATCTCAGTGTTGCCGTGCTTTCTACCAACTAGGTCCGGCTTGGGTAGATTCACATCTCGTGCACAGCATAAATTCTCGTGCTATATAGAACTTAGCTTGGGGACACACTCTCCTTTTGGCAAATGCTATATCTCCTTTTTGTTCAAACATCATCTAGAGCAGCACTAGGCGATAATTTTTATCATCACGAGTCGGGTACTCTGTAAATTGTACTGATTCGATCTTCATTGCCAACTTGCAAATTCCGATTCGTTTGTTTCTAACCTTGAAACCTTGGATTTCTTTTGCAACGCTGTATAACCTTTTTCATCCTCACGGCTGCAAGACCACATTCATCTATCTACATCTAAAATTCCCCCCAACATCCCAACTCGACAATCCCTCCTACTGGGCCTGACCCATCAAGCTCTAAATGGGTCCACCACGTTCGCACTGGGGTGCGACTTGAATCGCCACGCAAGCGGCGACTATTCACCGTTGAGATCCTGCGGGTGGATTGCTTGTATCCACCCCTTACCTCTTTACTTGGCGCCCGCGCGCTCCAGTCCCTTTCCACGGGTGAACAGAGCAGCGACGGTCGCGACGAAAGCAAAGACTGCCGACGCCATGAATGATAGTCTAATACCGCGATAATAGACCAGTCGGGCAGCCATTTGCACATCTGGGGGAAGGTCATAAATGGCGGAGACGGAGTGGCGGATTTCATCAATCACCTAGGGGGGTTCAAAATATGCGTCAGCGATAGTTCGGTGGTGCAAGTCCCACGAGAGCCGAAGAGGTAGTACTTTCCATTTGTCTGGTAATCCACTCAAGGCCTCCCCGAGGCCTGAGCTCAATGTATTCTGCATGATGGTGGAGGTGATTGCGACACCCCAAACGGTTCCGAGTGAACGGATGAGATAGACGGTTGAAGCGGATACGGCGTGGTCTGGCCGGCAGCATTAGCATGAGGGTTTCGGGATATGAGCCTTAGCGGAGGGCCCGCCATTGTATAAGACAAAGTCAACCGATTGCTTACCAGAGTGGTCGAATGCTGCCAGGAAGGTGAACAAGATTCCTGGGTACACCATGCCCTGGCCTAGGTTTGCGGGAATGACGAAGGCGAAGTATTTCCATTCCGAGTCATTGAAACGGAGTAGCATGACCAAGAAGTTTCCGACAAACATCAAGGCCGCACCGGTGCGCACTATGTATGCGAGCTTGCCCCAGCGCGACATTACAATGCCAGCTATGAGACCACCCAATGGGGTAAAAAGGCATGGAATAACCAGACGAGTCCCAGCTCTACTGGGCGAGTCCAGTAGAATGACCTGGAACATCAAAGGCAGAGTGAAGAGGTACTATATCGTGTTAGTGATATGAAGTATCAATGCGTACAAGTCTGGCATCCACTTACGGCATAAGCCGCCATTCCCACGCAGACATTGGCAATCTGGGTGGAAACAGGGAGGGTTCCGCGCAACATCTTCAATGGAATTAGAGGCACGGCCGAAGTCTTTGCCTCAACGGCAACAGATGCAAAAAGAAGAATCACACTTCCGACCAACGGAGTGACCACCCAAACGTGACTCCAGGGCAGAATGTTGCCGCCCAAACTGAGCCCGACCAACTGGGCGGACAGGCCCAGGATCAACAGGAGCGCACCCCACACATCGATCTGCTGCCAAATGCCCTGTGGTCGACCGTCTGCGCATTCCGTGCCTCGTGTTGGGAATTTCAGGACGACATAGCCCATGCCCAACGCGAAGAGAGACACGGGTACTTGCAAAAGGAAACACCAGCGCCATCCAATGGAGTCGACGATGGAACCGCCGAAAGACGCACCACAGATGCCACCGAATCCATAAGAGACATTCTGAATAGCCTGGTACATTCCACGCTGGCGGAAAGGAATCAGATCAGAATTGATGATAGTGGCTGGTGGGTGTTAGCGACCGGCAATAAATGATGAACTGAATTCCCTTTACTCACCCATCGTCATCAATCCTCCACCACCGATGCCTGTCAAAGCCCGCATAATGTTCAAGAAGACGACATCGCGTGCGATGGCACAACCCAGACAACCGGCCATGAAAGTGATCGTGGCGGTGAAGAAACAAGATCGGCGACCGAGCAGATCAGAGAAACGACCATAGAGAGGCTGGAATGCCGTGCTCGTAATCAAATACGAGGTGGTCAACCACGACGCTGTGTTCGCAGCGTTAAATTCGGAGCTGATCACTGCATAGGTCGAGGCAGTGATTGTTCCATCGAATCCGCCCAAGAAAACGTTGGCCATGATCGCTGTTTATGGTCAATATTTTCTTTCTCTTCAGCGCTTTCTATGGACTCACCAAATTGAATCAACAAAAATCCTGGTGGTGGACTCCATTCCTTCACTACCTCCGATTGTAAGAGAGGTTGCTCTTCGCTTGGCTGCTGCTGTTCCTCTACAATTGGTTCGTCCGAGTGCGACATCTTGTTGAGTTATCAAAATCAAGAACTGTGACACAAAAGACCATAAGAATTCGGAGAAAAATATTTGAACACAAAACATTTCATGCGAGGCCCAAGAGTCCAAGACTTTTACCGAAGCGGGCACTCGATCGGGTAATGCGAGGGGAACATCAATTGAGCCAAGCACGACATATGACAGCCCTGTTGCACGATCACACATACGAGAAATGGAGTATATAGGGCAGCATATCCTTCTTCTTTTCTATTTCTTCTTCGTCTTTTGCAAGAGTCGAATTGTTGTCAAAGTGACACAGTGCAGAATACTAAACTAAGGTTAATGTACCTAATCTTGTCAATGACCAGCATCATGGATACTGATCGGTCCAGTACTTATCATGAAGCTCCTTGAGGCCATCGCCTGCGCTTCGGCGCTCATGCCCCTTGCAGCCGCGGACTGGCAGTTCAAATCCCGGACAGACCTGGCCCCACCCCGTCTGAACATCACTATCCCGGCCACCAAGGACGTCGAGCAGGGCTACCTTTTCGTGGCCCCGTTCCCAGGCCAGTGGGCAGAGCCGCAATTCCACGGCCCTCGCCAGGAAGCCCCGTATATTGTGCGGGATGACGGCGAGCTGGTCTGGTCCGGCTATACCTACTTCTCCATCTGGGCGGCCAACTTCCAGAAGGCCCGATGGAACGGACAAGATGTCTTGTTCAGTTTCGAAGGGGATCACAACCCAGCCTACGGCCATGGTCATGGTCATGCAACCATCCTGAATCAGCACTATGAGACTATCCGAGAGCTTCGTGCTGGCAATCACAAGCTCATGGACAAGCACGAGTTCCATGTGGTGGATGAGAAGACTGCCCTCCTTCAAGTCTACCAGCCCGTTCCGAAGGACCTCTCCCGATTTGGTGGCAGTGCTGAGCAACAATGGATTGTAGATGCCATCTTCCAGGGTATGTCTGCCGTCGTCTTATAATGTAATCTGCTAATTGTTCGCAGAGCTGGACATCCAGACTGGAGAGCTCCTGTTTGAGTGGTCTAGCCTGGACCATGTTTCTCCCGACGGTAAGTTTATCTTCATCCTGATATATCTGTTCAATTTGTTGATTGGATTTCTTGTAGAGGCAGTTCTCCCTCTCAACCCTGGTCAAGCGGGTGCGGGCTGGAACTCGTCGGACGCATGGGACTATTTCCATATCAACTCCGTGGACAAGGATACTGCGGGTGACTACCTGATTTCTGCGCGTGATGCGTGTGCAGTGCACAAAATCAACGGTACAACCGGTGAGATCATCTGGCGTCTCGGCGGAGTTCGCTCAGACTTCGAGCTCGGCCCCAATGTGAAGTTCTGTTTCCAGCACCACGCCCGTTTCGTCGAGCAGAGCGGTGACGAGGAGATTATCTCTCTTTTCGATAACTCTGCACACGGAACCGAGAATCACCGTGGAAAAGAGGTGCACACCAATCCCTTTTCTCAAGGAAAGGTCATCTCCGTCAACACTGCCACTTGGACTGCGGAAATTGTCCAAGCCTTCCAGCCCCCAGATGGCCTTCTGGCGAAATCTCAAGGAAGCACCCAGCTTCTGCCAAATGGCAATGCGCTCGTCAATTGGGGCTCCGAAGGCGCCGTGACTGAGTTCCGTGCAGATGGCACCCCAATCTTCCACGCTTACATGGACTCGGGCCTCCTGGGCGAGGGTGTCCAGAACTACCGCGCGTTCCGATACAACTGGACTGGTCTGCCAACCGAGGAACCCGCAATCGTGGCAGAGAAAACCTCCACCGGTACGACTGTGTATGTTTCATGGAACGGCGACACGGAAACAGCCATCTGGAGATTCTATGCAATCACAGACCGCTTCGGGTCTCGGGCTTATTTGGGCGAGACAGCGCGTGATGGCTTTGAGACTTCGTTCTCGTTGTCTGGTCATTTCTATCACAGCCTGGCGGCGGAGGCTGTTTCGGCTGCTGGGCGTGTTTTGGCAACCACCCGGGCTACTCGTGTTGAAGGAGTAGTCCTTCCCCCATATGAACCAGAGAATGGAAAGCTTGATCGTGGCACCTGGGTTCAAGCTGTTCTGCGGGGTTGAGTTGGATTTGATGCTCGGTGGAGGTTGTTTGTGGGGAAGCATACGGGAGAATGTGCGGTGAAGGGGAAGTATGGATGGATAGATAGTTCAGCCTAGGGTCAATACCATCTGAGCGAGCTGTCGTGTTCTTCGGGGCTCCCAAGTTCAATGTGCCATATCCTTCGATCTAGTACTGAAACATTCACTCATTCAGAGAATTTTCCTATGTCTTCTCGGACTCGTACGTTGGTGATTTGTGTTTTCTTTCTGATCGGAGTTGTTTGACTCCGGGTTGCATTTTCGACCTGATATTGTCCGAAGTGACCGACGTGACTGGAGTGGGAATTTGCCGACACTGTAGATATTGTGGAGCTGTACAAAAAGGTCTGGTGCTCTCAAATCTGCCGAGAACTGGGTTTAGATTGAAACCATGTAGCTTGTTGTACGCAACGTATCTAGAAGCGTATATACGGTATAGCCCAAAGAGCTTCCAACTCGAGCTACACCATTCAGCCCTCAACATAACTCCACTTCCACTCTCAACTGCTCTGATTCCAGTCATCCAAACCACTTCACTGAACAATCGTCAAATCCCGTGGGACACAAGGTTCTCGGGCCTGTGGGATTCCGTTTCCCGCTCGGGGTTCCTTCACCTTTATCTCTTGATCTTCTTCTCTTCTCTTCTCATCTCTGGTCATTTTCATCTCTTCTCTCTTTCACCTCTTTTGTTCCCTCCTTGATTGCCTCTTTGGCTGCCTCTTTTCCCCCTCGTTATTCTCTTGTCCTCAACATACTACAGGCACCATGGATGTGCCACCCGCTCTACATACTTCCCCGGAATCGTCAGGGACCGATGAACATCCAGATGACCCAGACGAGCAAATCCACCAACTTGCACGATCAATGTCCCAGCTTTCCAAGAATGTCGATACCTCTGCCCTGTCAAAAGAGGGAATCAACACATTCCTTGACCCTACCGGTGACCCGGAGTTGGATCCCAACTCCGACCGGTTCAACTCGCACAAATGGGTCAGAAATATGCTGCAAATGACCCGTCAAGATCCCGACCGTTATCCGCGTCGCACGGCAGGGGTCTCCTTCCGGAATCTCAACGTCTACGGCTATGGCACCGCGACGGATTACCAGATGAACTTTGCCAATTTTTGGTTCAAAGCTGCCAGGTCGCTATGGGGTAAAATCTCTCCACAAAAAAGAGTTCGAATTGATATTCTGCGCGATTTTGAAGGCATTGTCCATAGCGGGGAGATGTTGGTTGTGCTGGGCCGTCCAGGCAGGTAAGAGAGTACAAACAAAAGAAACTTCACCGTTGCATAACTAATGATCATCAGTGGATGTTCAACCTTGCTGAAGACAATTGCCGGAGAGACACATGGACTGTTTCTAGATAACAAGGAGCACGTCCAGGTGCAGTATGATGGTATCTCATGGAACGACATGCACAGCCGATTCCGTGGAGAAGTGATTTATCAGGCCGAAACCGAAATTCATTTCCCTCAGCTGACAGTTGGTGACACACTGCTGTTTGCTGCCCATGCTCGAGCTCCAAGCAACCGATTGATCGGTGTTACACGCGATCAGTATGCGGTCCATATGCGAGACGTTGTGATGGCAATGCTAGGCTTGACCCACACTATGAATACCCAAGTTGGCAATGAGCTGATCAGGGGTGTCTCTGGGGGCGAGAGAAAGCGTGTCAGCATCGCAGAATCTATCCTATGCCGATGCCCTTTACAATGTTGGGATAATAGCACCCGTGGACTGGACAGCTCAACAGCCCTGGAGTGGGTCAAACAAATCCGCGTCTCTACTGAGTACAGTGGATCGTGTGCTATTGTTTCACTGTACCAGGCGAGTCAGGCCATCTGTGATCTGTTTGACAAAGTCATTGTTCTTTATGAAGGGCGTCAGATCTACTTTGGTAGTGCAGCTGATGCGCGGCGCTTCTTCACGGAGATGGGCTTTGATTGTCCAGATAGACAGACCACCGCCGACTTCCTTACTTCCCTGACAAGTCCTACCGAGCGTGTTGTGTGCCCTGGAGTTGAGCATTGTGTTCCTCGCACGCCTGATGAGTTCGCAGAGCGCTGGAAAGCCAGTCTTGATCGCACCAAATTGCTTGCGGAGATCAAGGGGAATGAGCTCAGTGACTTCGCCAGCGATAAGAGACTTGAGCGGTTCAAACACTCTTGTGAAATGGAGAAGCCCAAACATACTCGGGCAGGCACTCCATATACTCTGTCATACTCTATGCAGATTCGCCTATGCCTATGGCGAGGGTTTAGGCGTCTCAAAGGGGATCTGGCAATGACACTTGCTTCTGTTATTGGAAACACTGTGATGGCTCTAATTCTCTCAAGTGTTTTCTACATCTTGCCAGGCAACACAGGTACTTTCTACAAACGTGGCTCTTTGCTCTTCACTGCTGTCTTGTTCAATGCTTTTGCTAGCGCACTTGAGATTCTCATAATGTGGCAGCAACGGCCGATTGTTGAGAAACACGTGAAGTATGCTCTATACCGTCCCTCAGCAGAAGCTATCAGTGCCTTCATTGTTGAGCTTCCTTCCAAAGTTGTGATTTCAATCGTTTTCAATTTGGTCGTCTATCTCATACCTAACTTGCGTCGAACACCGGGCCACTTCTTTGTATTTCTGCTCTTTTCATTCACGACTACTCTCGTTATGTCTACCATGTTCCGTTGGATAGGTGCAATATCACGTTCTATGGCCCAGGCCATGACGCCAGCCTGCATTTTCATGCTGATACTGATATTGTACACCGGCTTTTCTATTCCCATTGGTGATATGCGTCCCTGGTTTCGTTGGCTTCAGTACCTGAACCCAATATCTGTAAGAATGCTCCATGCCCTTTCTCTCTCTACACGAAATATGTGCTTACATTGATTAGTATTCTTTCGAATCTCTCATGATAAATGAGTTCAGCAACAGGCGGTTCCCTTGCTCGGAGTATGTACCGGGTCACCTGGCAATATACGACAGCGTACCCCTAAGCTCCAAGAGCTGCTTGGGCAAGGGCGCTTTAGTAGGCCAGGACTTTATTGACGGGGACAGGTACCTCGAGATGAGCTACCAATATTACCAATCTCATTTATGGCGAAACTTTGGCATACTTTGTGTGTTTTTTACCGGCGTGTTTATCATGTATACCGTCTCCAGCGAGTACATCCGAGCCAAACCCTCCAAGGGAGAGATCTTGATCTTTCCCCGGGGTAAGATGCCGGCATTCGCCAAAGACGTCGGAAAAAATGATCCAGAGGTGGTGATTGCACCCGAGAAATCTACCGTCCTCGGTGAATCTCGAGGCGAGGCCGCTGCTATTGTTCGTCAGACTTCTGTCTTCCACTGGGCGAACGTATGCTATGATATCAAGATCAAGGGCAGTCCACGCCGTATTCTCGACTGTGTGGATGGCTGGGTGAAGCCAGGGACCTTGACTGCACTGATGGGCGTGACAGGGGCTGGAAAAACGTCCTTGCTCGATGTTTTAGCTGACCGTGTGACAATGGGCATCATCACTGGTGATATGCTCGTTGATGGTCACTCGCGCGATGACTCTTTCCAGCGGAAAACGGGATACGTCCAACAGCAAGACCTTCATCTTGAAATCAGTACTGTTCGTGAAGCACTGGTCTTTAGCGCCTTGCTCCGTCAACCTGCTAATGTCTCTCGGAGCGACAAGATTTCCTATGTTGAGGAAATTATCCTAATGCTCGGTATAGAAGAGTACGCAAACGCTGTAGTTGGAATTCCGGGCGAAGGTTTGAACGTGGATCAACGCAAACGCCTTACCATCGGCGTTGAACTAGCAGCAAAGCCGGATCTCTTGCTTTTCTTTGATGAACCGACCTCGGGTCTAGATAGCCAGACTGCCTGGTCAATCTGTACATTGATGCGAAACCTAGCTGATCATGGCCAGGCTGTCCTGTGTACTATTCACCAACCTTCAGCTATCCTGATGCAACAGTTTGACCGGCTGCTATTCTTGGCCAAGGGAGGTCGGACTTTGTACTTTGGCGAGCTCGGCCAGAACATGGAAACCTTGATCAAATACTTTGAGGATAAAGGGTCTCCTAAATGCCCACCAAATGCCAACCCAGCTGAGTGGATGCTAGAAGTTATTGGTGCAGCACCAGGATCTCATTCCGACAGAGATTGGGCGCACGAATGGAACAATAGCGCTGAACGTGCAGAAGTCCAACGTGAACTTGCCGCAATGAAAGCAGAGCTGTCAAGCAAGCCTGGACCCTCGCGCACTTCGACATTCGGCGAGTTCGCCATGCCGATCTGGTATCAGTTCTTGATTTGTATTCGTCGGATGTTTCAACAATATTGGAGATCTCCGGGATATCTTTACTCCAAGACCGCTATCTGCGTACTTCCTGTCAGTATCGTTTCCCGAATGGCATGGATATTTACTAACCGGCGTAGCCACTTTTCATCGGGTTCACCTTCTGGCGCATGCCCACCAGCCAGCAAGAACTGCAAAATCAAATGTTTGCGATATTCATGCTAATCACCATATTCCCCAACATATTGCAGCAGATGATGCCTAACTTCGTCACCCAGCGGGCTTTGTATGAAGTTCGAGAGCGGCCATCTAAGACATACTCATGGAAAACATTCATGGTAGCCAGTATCTTCACCGAGCTGCTGTGGAATGTGTTGATGGCAGTGCCCTTTTACTTCTCGTGGTATTATCCGATCGGACTTTATCGCAATGCAGAGGCAAGTGATGCAGTTGTTGCTCGCGGTGGAATAATGTTCACATTCCTTCTTATGTTCTTGATGTTCGCATCCACTTTCAGCTCCATGATGATCGCCGGGATTGAACAAGCAGGGACTGCCATCAACATTTCGCAATTCATGTTCTCGCTTTGTTTGATCTTCAACGGGCAAGTATTTTCCATATCGAGGGGCGGTCCGAATCGACGCTAATTAGCAGCAGTGTCCTTGCGAGCCCGTCCGATCTCCCCAGCTTCTGGAAGTTCATGCATCGCGTATCTCCACTCACCTATCTCGTGTCTGGCGTGCTTTCAACGGGACTCTCGGGGGCAGAGGTCCACTGTTCCCCATCCGAGTTGCTCACGGTTATGCCTCCAGTGGGGCAGAACTGTTCCAGCTACCTCGATCCATACATCAGCGCCTTTCATGGCAAACTAATCAATCCCGAGTCCTTGGCCGACTGCAAAATTTGCCCACTTTCCAGCACCGACCAATTCCTTGCTGCTCTGGATATCCATTACTCGGATCATAAGCGCAATATCGGGATCCTCTTCGCGTATGTGGGGTTCAATGTGGTGGGTGCAGTCGTTCTTTACTGGCTGTTTCGCGTCCCCCGCCGGTCGCGCAAGGCTCAAGCCTAAACGGCTCTTTGATCTCGGAGATCCCGGCCGTCAATGTTTTTCACCTTATTTTTTTTTTTTTAAACTCCTCATCTTTAGGTGGTCTACGGTCTACATTTGTTAAATGTCATTCTGTCTGTCGAATATTTGTATGAAGTGTTCCATGTGCCCAGGTGGTGAGCAGTGTTCTGGAATCATTTAGCCCCTGAGGATTCGCGATAGGCGACCACACAATAGCTAATTCTTTGCCTTAGTCAATTCTGGTCAATTTCTTGAGACCATTCGACTTCTTGGTCTTCATTCTGTATTTCTTCCTTTCATTTCGATTCAAGCCCACGGCTTTTACTCCGTAGTCCTCAAAGACCAACTAATTGGGAGCCCAATCACTTTGGGGCGTTGTAGCTACAGGCCAGCTCGCAAGTCTAACCCCAATTGGGCAGGTCTAGTTTGAGAAATGAAAAGAAAAATGACAAAAATACGACAATTTAACAGTGATGAATTAAATCAAGTCAAACTAAAAGATCAGCAAAGTGGAGCAGACGTATAAAGTACGGAGTATAATTTGTCAGTGCGCATTTGGGGTCCAATTTCACTCGGAGACGCGTTTCTCTGCATACAGACTCTTGAAATGGAGTTTGACTCAGTCGTAAGTCCTCAAAGAGACAAGGGCCAGATATTATTGGATGATCAGGATGTACCTGTCGCGTTCGCGCAGACTTCCCCTTTAGGCCATGTCAAGCATCTCGGAATGCAAGTAGTGCGCACTATCGTGTCCTCCAAGTACGCTAACTACTTCAGCTACTTGTAATCTACGGGTAATACTCCACTGATCCCGTCTGTTTTGGTTTGAGGAACCTACGCTGTTTTTGAGGCTCAATCTGCACACAAGGTGCAGGTCCCACACGGCCTCGCTAACATCTCCAGACTGGTTCGCCCTGGGCCGTTATTTAGATCCCGTTAGGCCCGGCTGGAGGACTTCTTATCTTCTCCCATTTTCATCGTCGGAACATCTGGCTATTGAAACCATGGAGACCTATTTCTCACTCACAAACCTACCTGAAACCATGCCCATGGATGAGATGGCACACACATATGAGACATTCGACACCTCTGTGCCGGGCAACCAAGCGTTTTTGAGCGGTGCACCATGTCAAGTTCCTCCATCTGCTTCGCAAGCCCAAGTGACCGACACTCTCTATATGCAATACCCATGGTGGAAAACGACCAGTCCACCTTGTTCGGAATATCCATCAAATGAAATTCTCCCATATAGCGATCATCTCTCGCCATGGGATAGTGGACTATCATCCATATCCGACCCACAAAGCCCCAGTAGTTGCGCCGGCAGTATGCCATCAGCAAACTACTACGAGTCGACACCAATCCCATATGAGGATCCGGTCGTGTTTGATGCAGCCCCTATCATGTATCCAATTCCAGAGGGCCTCAGGGACATGGGGTCATCTCTGGCTCTACCTGAACAGCCCATGATCGAGAATCAGTCCGAATGCCATTCATCCTTTACTGAAATACCCATATGGCCGATCAACCTTTCAGAGCACAACACAATAGAAACGAATCAACCCACTCCACTACAAGAAAGCATGCCTCCTGTTCTACAATCCAGGCCACGAGTTTCATCCCGGGCTCGAAACCCCACTGAAAGGCGCACTGGCTCGGCACTCGGGCGCCGTCGACGCCGTGCTGTCCCCCTCTCGAAAGATGAAGCGGTACTACGCACATTCGCTTGCAGCTTTGCACCCTACGGCTGCACAAGCACATTTGTCTCCAAAAACGAATGGAAGCGCCACGTCACATCTAAGCATCTCTTGCTCGGTTTCTACCGCTGCGATGTGGGAAAGTGCAAAACACCGATGCACAAGTTGAACAATCAGTCAGCATCGCCTTGCAAGTCAGTGAAATTTCCCAGTACACCTCAATTAGGGCAGCCGAACGATTTCAACCGCAAAGATCTCTTCACACAGCATCAACGACGTATGCATGCACCCTGGCTACAGTCTGGGCGCCGCAAAGTGCCCACAGATAATGAGCGGCATAATTTCGAATCTGGTCTAGAAGAAATTCGCCAACGATGCTGGCAGAGTCTACGCCAGCCACCCACGCAGAGCCATTGCGGGTTCTGTAAACAGACGTTTGCGGGTATCGGCAGTTGGGATGTACGAATGGAACATGTTGGACGACATTTTGAGCGCGAGGAGCCCGAAAATTTGGGAGAAGAGGAGGAGGATGTGGCGCTTCGCGAGTGGGGGCTAAAAGAAGGGATATTGACCTTTGTTGATGGTCGCTGCTTGCTTGCCTCGCTTGGTCTATAATTGGGCTGTCTATATAATTTCAATAGAATATACACTTTCATCTAAATCCAGAGTCATAGCCTATCTGTGAAGTTGAATGGTTATCGCATAAGCTGTGTAGTCAACCATGCTGGGATAGCCGAGACTCTTTTCAGGACAGTTTGGCTACTTAGGCACCATTGCTACGTAATGTGATGCAGTGATGCATATTATCAGCAGAAAGGAAAAAGAAAATTACAAACACCGAAGCAAGACATTACGAGTAGATTGATCCCCGAAATACCATACCGTTCCAAAGTGGACCTGTGGGAGGCAGTACAGATCGACAGAAAAGTCACCCGGATTTTTAGCGATGCGAAGACCCGCCAACGAAAAACGGCAGCGGCTACTCGTAGTATGTATGTGAGACTCCCAATAGGGATGCTACGTCGAACATGATAGGCAGGTTAGCTTAATTTCCTCGGTGATTTCATCGGGGATCTCCGTGGAGGGGAGCCGGTGACTCAGTTATGGCGTGGGAAACTGGTGAACTGTTTTGGATAGATCATTGATGATCGCAAACTATACCGTAGACGGCTGATTGACTCGGGTTGACCCCTGTAAACTTTCCAGACAAAGGCCTACCTTTGGACACCTTTGAGAATTGGTGGAGCATCACTCATCCAGATCATGCTCAGCGCGAACCTTGACGGGGCAGGGATCTCCGACCGAGATCGTCCGAGGGACGGAGTTCTGGACGCCCGAGCCGTTGGTGGGACTATGTACTATTGCTGTGAGGCACCATGATTCCAGACACTGGCCCAGGGATTCGGGGCGTGCTGCAATGTAGGAAGACAAATGGACATGTCTAGAACCAACTGGTTTCAAGCCAGCATCAGCCGATGTTCGCGATCCCACACAGACCAGCCAAATCAGTCCGTAATGGGGGGGGGGGGGGGGGGGGGGGGTGTGGGGGGAAAGAAAATGGCGGGCAAGGAAGTAAGTTTTCTTTGCCTTGGGGGGGGACTAAACCGAAAAGACA